TTTAAGCTCAGTAGCGTAAAACTAGGCCTAAGGTTATATTTGCCCAGCTGAGAGCAAACAGACCCATGTTTGTCTGTCCAGGGCTCAATTCAGAAGAAGCCATGTTACTGCAATGCTTGCACACTCTGCCTGCCAGCAGTTTTGTTTATACACAGGTATGTGACTAACACAGCCTCCAAACCGGTATGGTCTTCCAGCCTATGAGCTCAGGGMAGCTGAAGACATCTTCACCACGGTCTGCAGACATGCCTTCATTCCCAGAACTAAAAGGGCTCTTGAAAGCTGTCAGGAAAGTCAAACAAAAGCTATGAGTAGAAACCAGTAACAGACAGTCAAAGACTAATTTTTATGACCAGAGACACAAGACACCTGTTGTCAAAGCTCCAAAACCAGTGCTAGTTTTGCACCCCGAGGCACCACCAAGCTTTTTGAAAGCTGTTAACACTTTTTTTTAAATTATGTCTAACTGGAAAAGATGAAAGAGCTAGCAAGATCTAAAAGATACCAGGTTGAAGATCTCTTAGTGTCATTATCACCAGATCAATAGKCTGTCTGCAGGTGTCTTTGGGAGGAAGAGGAGACAGGGCAGAATATCCTCTCTTTTTTAAGGGGTGGGCAGGAAATGAAGATACTGTTCTAAGGCTTTTAGGCAGAGTTCTTGTAAAAGTAAAAAGAATAAATACTTCAAAAGCACAAGGTGTAAGTTAAAAGCTTAACTTCACAGTCCTCTCTGTTCAATGCCACCACACAACAGAGGGGTTCAGAGATCACCTCTCTGTCACCTTTTGTGTCCACCTTCAACCAACCCAGCCAGTCCTCACAACTCACCAGAATACACAGCAGCTAAAGTGTCAAGAGTAACATCTTACCAATAGTTAGTCATCTTACCTTCCTCTGACAGCTAGTAAACTTTATTGTTCAGTTAGTAAATGATTCAATTAAAAAGGCTCTAGTTTTGTTTTACTAGTGCTGTGGTAAGAGCCCACACCAGTGTGCTGCACTGACTTCYACTCAGTTTATGTTATTTATGAACTAGAAGCATATCCACTCAAATCTGGTTTTAATATTCAAAGGAGTACTAAGATGTTTAATACCCAATAGCCACATAAGGACAGAAGACAAAAGTCATTATATATTTATGCAGGAAAAGCTAAAAGCACAGTAGTAAAAAACATTTAGCTCAGCCATGACAGTCCCATGCCAGGGAATTACAATACAAACATATCCAACAATTTATCTCCATGGAATTTTCAGCTAATGGGAAAGTTATTTCAGAGTTAAAGCTTTCAGTGATGTAGAAACTTSCAGTGTACATTCACCTAAATGCTACAGATTATGCACTTACTCTGAGTAGCATACGCAAGTTCTGAGAACTTGTGTGAATACTCAGGTTGAGAGCAAAATACGGACTGATTTTCTTCTGAAGCTTCCTTCTGATGCAAAGCACACTAATCAAGACAAGCTACTTCATGGAAATGCTCAGGAGAGGGAGTATATAACCTTTTAAAACTTCSAAGTTATGCCCTATGAAAATTACATAGAAGGCAACTGTCTGAAGAATTTACTCACGGAGAGCAAACATCAAAAGTTTTTTAAAGCTTTAAGTGGACTTACTCTACAATGGTCAAATTTGAAAAGAAGTTAAGGTTTAACCAACAGAAATCCAGGGTAAAGAAATGCAGTTCTCATGAAAATTTTCAAAYAAGCCAATCAGTAGGATATACCATTAAGCACGAAAATTGAGTCCTCTATAGTCAACTAACATCAATGCAACCAATATTTTATTTTCTAAGTAACTTACAGTCAGAACACTCACACTTGTAAGTTACAATTCATACATTTTATCCTTCCGGGTTTAAAGCTCCACTAAGCAACATTTCTTATGATTAATATGGTTCAGCAAGTCTGCTCATTGCTGAAATATGTCTGTGAGCTAGAATTAAGATTGTTTCATTCTATTCCACCACCYTTCTTTCAAGAGAAAATTAAAGTCTATTTAAAATAAGTTGCTGGCCCACTTCCACTGTGTATTTGCTAACACTTTGAATCAAATGGAACTTTAATGCTATGACTTGATAAGTTGATACAAATAGTGCTAACCATATATCACACATAAAAGTTGTTATCCATGGGCATACTGTAGCTATTTAGTTTATTTCTATTTATATACTAGAYAAATACATGCTCAGAGACATCAAGTGGGCTAAGGAACACAAAATGGCAGCAGAAAGCTGGAGTTACCCAGGTACCTTGTTGCTGTTTGGTGACAACCAACACAACACCACTGATTTCAACTACCTGAAAGGAACACACAGGCTCTCTGAGGTGCAGACTGGTAGGACAGAAGGCAAGAGACTGAAGTTGCGAGAAATTCCAATTAGACATGGGAGAAAAAGTTGCACAACAAGGGTAATCAAACATTTTAACAAGTTACCCAAAGAGAGCAGAAGTGTTTATCAAAACTCAACTGCACAAATTATGTGCAAGTTGGTCCTGCAATGGGTTGGGCCAGATGACATAAAGGTTCCTTCCAACATAAAATTATTTTGATTTTGCAACATTTGCCCAATGCCCATTTCAAAGATTCACTGATAGTGGCGGGGAAGGATGCAGCCCTTATTTAATCTGATGTGGCATGCAAGACCTTGCTCAAAAATCCTACTGCCAAAGAGCCTCTCTAGCAGGACCAATAGCACACTAAAACTCAACATCCCTGACAGCAACAAGAGCCAGGAATTCCATCACAGCCGTGTTCAGCTTTAAAAGAATATGGTAAAATAGAAGTCAAAATGCGAAAGAGATACAAAGTTGGCACTAAGAAGGATCATATCCTTACAGGTACCATACAGAGAAAGTAAAGACATTATACAGATATACCAGGTAGTAAGAAATGCTTGGAACAGCAAAAGAAGACAAGCAGAACTCCGAGAATACTGAAAACAAGAAGACAGCCTTCACAAAGTTGATGTGGTACTCAAATGAACATAGCCATGCAAGACTGTTAAATTTGTGAAAATAAGGCAAAGGAGACACCATCACCCCCTCACAATTTATAGATAGAATAATTAAAAAATTATTTCTCTTTCTTCAAAATGCTTAGAGAAGAATCCATAGGATCAAAAGATAAGAGTACAGAAGGATCATCTGGAAAACAAACACAGAACAGGGATTTCTTTTTACCTGCTCTGCTTTGCCTTCTCATCCTTGTAGGAAACTGAAGTCTAAAGTCTTGGAGACTGCCATGATTTGTCTGAAATTGAAGGAAGCTGAAGAACTCACAAAGCAGAGGAGAAGGGAAACAGAACTATGTAGTGAGGCATGTTTTGATATGGCTAAAATACCCAACACAGTAATAATAATACACAACCTCTCACTTGAAAAGAAATTGAATGTACACTGTTTAGGTACTAAAAAGAAGAGTGGCAATCATGATTCAACTTCTAAGGGAATTTCAGAAAAGATCTCAACAGTAAGCCTGTAAGCCTCATGTCTTTATTGAACAAGAGAAAAAGGTAGCTCCGAATGAGTATCACATAAATCAGAAGAATCAAAGGGAAGAAACATTAGGGAAGAAAAAAGCAACTTTACAGAGTGATTTCCCAACTCAGAGACCAAGTAGAATTCTYTAAAGGAAGAAACAAGCACAGGCATCATGCTGCTGATGCAGTTTGTGTGAATGCCTACAAGTACTGCAACAAAAGACTTCAGAAAGTTAACCAGGCACATGGCAGACAAACGATCCTTTCACAGACAGTAACTCGCAAAGAGAGAGCAAGTAGAAGGTAGGAAGAACAGTCAGTTCTTACTCACTGGAATAGGCTGGCCAGTGCTGTTTCATAGAYAGCTGTGCCTTTTGTTGCCTCCATTCCTAAATGACCTGAAAGTTAGCTCATACACTTTGAGTGGGCCATCATTATGACAACCATAAGCATTTGTAGAAGGACTTTACAGGACTGAGTGATTAGACAATAAATTTTCAAATTAAACTCAGTAGAAGTAGGAAATGCAATGAACACAAAACAGTGTAYCACTATAAAAATCTAGAGTACATTCACATTTTGTCTTCTGTGTGAGGCTTTGTCCTGCCTCCCATTCTCTTCTCCTCACTTAACCAAATTGGGAGGAAGAAAAGGTCTGGAAGTTTGTGCTCTTTGAGTTCAATTTGTTATTAGGGTTGTGTTGCARCTGATCAGACTGTGAGATTTACAGCCTGAAACAGTGTATGTTGAAAACTCTTGAGTACAGCACAAACACATACAGAGACAGGTAATGGTACAACACGGGAATAATACTGGGGAGCCATGTAGAGTAGAAGAYGCCAATCCTAATAAAAACTCATTCATACACWATCACAGAAATGGCCCCAGATTAGCCTATTCTCTGCACTATGTCCARTCCAGTGCTTAACTAAATAGTTGTTAAGCAGCCACAAACCATAAGGTAGTTCAGCTTGTTCCTCACTCAAATTTTACTTAGCAGCACAGRTTCCAAACCTGTGTATCAAACGCTGGTTTTAGTACTCTAACACTCTGGGATAGCTGTGTTTTGCTACAGCACTCCCTCAGTCAGAACAGAAGTCACTTCAGACATAGATTCCCTGTCTTCTCTAGGTACCCGGAGAGGAGAAAACACATTTTAGACCCAGCTCTACAGTATAAGGTGTTCCCTAAGCAATAATCTGGCATGCCCACCTTCACATCACATTCATCTTTCTAACAAGTACAGTCTTTCTATATGGAAATCAGCAATTCCCTCCCATCTTAGCTAACAGCCTCTCCCCAGAACTCAGAATAAACTTGCAARGGCTCTAGTGTAAGAAATCCTGCAAAGAGGCATGATCTCCCAAGTCAGGATACTAAGCTAGAAAGAGCAAGCACAACTACATCTTTATGGGGGTCAGGATGTTGAACTCTCCACTGCCCACCTACTGCATAGCACAGCTTTTGATCATCTTTCTAAACTGTTTGCTAAGAGTTGGCAAATGGCAAATCTTTACTTACCTGAATGAAAGTAGCACCCTCTACTGCTGCCTTCAGGTCTGTACAAACGCTAATGAGAGCCAACTGCTGTTCCGCACTCAAAGCTCCTTTCAGGAATCCCGACTTCTCCATCTCTTTCATTTGTTTGCTGACAGAAACAACACAGACACATTTAAACACTTTATCATTGTTAAGCCAATATTACTTAAAAAAACCTACTTCACAAACGAGGTACTACACTATTTGCCATGCTGCTGCACACATTTATATTCAAAAATACAAAGCTAATTTCAGTCATTTCTCCTTCCTCCCCCATCTTTTTTTTCCTCTTTTCAAGAACAGACAGCTCTAAGATTAACTCCTAGATGCAAGATGGTCACCACCTCAAACTTGTTTTAACTGGCGCACAATCAGCAAGAGTTTTTTTCTGTTCATATTTAATAGGAAGCAACGTCCCTTTAATRTATTTCATTGAGTTTTACAAACAGCTCTTTCGATACAAAGCCTCACTACAGGAACAGCTCTTTACCTGCACAGAAATAAATAAATACATTCAGTACAGCCAAGAGTCCTTCCTATAAACCCCACGCCACTACATTTTGGGGTTATTTAATGACAACAAAACAAGTGTCAAAAAATTCAAGTAGATACTAAACTTGAAATGAATGCTCAAGTACACACCACAGCTGGGACAGGACATGCCACTTTCTCAGAAAAGGTCTCTACAGATTGAAGCCCTTGAACATCCAGAAAAAACAAGCCATTTTTCAAAACCATTATAAGCCACTTAGAGGAACAATTTCCACAGAATTTAAGGGGGATTAAACTGTCTGATCACAATCAACCTAAAGCTCTTTTATGTAGCCATTATCACAGTTAAACCTGTTCAGTTACCTCAAGTCTTTCCTCTGAGCCTTTGGTTATTATTCAGCAAAAACTGCTCATCCTGAAGAAATGAGGAAATTGAGCTAATGAATAGCAGCAGGGAAAAAGAAATCCTTTCTTCTTCCTACTTGGCTTCATTAATGACACAACAAATGGATGGCTGAAAAGCACAGACTTCTACCTCTTAAGCAATCTGCATGGCAAGGAACAGGAAACAGGAATCCTCAGCTCCCTTTCCCAAGCTCACAGGGTATACACACCACAGCTTGCTGGGCAGAAACTTCATCTGGTGTTTAAGGTTTCTCGCAATAAAGGTGCCAGTGTTTCATATGTAAAGAAACAGGTGCACCTAAGCTAGAATATCCAAACTTCTGGCTCCCTCACACCTTGTGTGAGGCAAGATAAGGCACCAAGAAATCAAAAGGTCTTAACTATCTATTCATTAGAAGTTATCACTTCCTAGGTGCTCTTGCCCAAATCCAGCATATTCTTGCTCACAAGCTATATATATTGCTTAAGAAAAACCCAAACCAAACTAAAAACACCAAAAAAAGAGTTACATCCTTTGAAAAAGAGGGTGAAGTTCTTGTTCACTCTCATTGCAACACTACATTTGTCTCATCCTCCCTGGTTCTCCAAAATGACAGTACATGATTGGTAACTGAGAGATTAAAAAAAGCTAGAGTCATAAGAGACCTAGCTTCTTTTTTTCTTCCCCAAGTCTTACAGAAGTTTGCAGCACCCATCTCGTGTTTCATATCTTTCCTCCTCTGCCACTCATAACCATCCTGTCATTTTTGTTTCGCTGTCATAAACTATTAACAATACACYGTGCACTGAGAATACCATTTCCTAGTTAACCTGCAAAACTAACCATCTTCATCTTTGGAACTTGAAGCTGGATTGATTTTTTTTTTTTTTTTCCTTCCTAAACAGAAAATGTTCCTATTATCCTGACCACTCTCCATGTTTGCCATGTATTTAAATCAGTTAAAGCATGAAGTAGGGATTATGTGCACTACTTCAATTTTGGTCTTTCCTCCTGGGAAATTTTCATTTTTCACACCCTTTGCCAATTTACTAATTGTGGAAGTTTTATTCCACATATAAATGTTAAGTCTTTCAAATGCTGAACCATATTTATACTCCCCTGGGGTATTAGACTGCTACAGAACTGTGAGAAAACAGTGTTCCCTGATACTTACCATACATTAAGGCACAAAGGTTTGCACCCAGAGCAGTGCATCACTGACCTCTACTGGATGACTTTTTAGTCAAGGCAGCCTAAATTTTTAGGGGAATATCCCTGGGAAAACCCGAGACTGAGCTCATTGCAGCCATGTCCATAGCACACAGGGCTTCACTCAGCAGCTGTGCTGTGTGTGCRGCTCAGAGAGTTTCACTCAATACCTGTAAGGTCTTTAAAGAATGAAGAATTCATGTCCATAACAAAATACTATTTCCTCTTTGAGCCTATCTATCTCCAGAGTTTTACTGCTGTACTTGTCTGCCAACGTCAACACCACTCTGGAAACTGGGCTAGTATTTACTTCAGGATAAGGCATCCAACCTATGGGAACACTCCCAATCACAGAAAATGCCTGGAATGCTCCTGGTTACAAACTCTACTCTAAAAGTCTTTACAGAAGGACCCTGAAAACAATGCTGACAGTTAACTTGTTCACTCTCCACTTGCCTCACCTTTATCCGCAGCTACTGGGCAGCCCTTGTATTCAACACAGTTGCAAAAAGCAAATACTTACAACATTAAACACCCCTTAATCACAACCATATTGCCCACAGCAACAAGATGGGAAGAAAGAGAAGAAAACACCAATACTATTCTTCACAAGTTCAGACAGCACTGTAGCCCAAAAACTAGAATCTTTCACCAGTTACAGCATTACCATCTAGTGCTGGGTAGTTGAGGGCAGTTGGCCTGTAAGACAGCCTGGAAGAGTAAGCCAGCAAGCCTTGTAATTAACCAATCTTAATCAGCAGCATAATTATGTTCACAACAATAGCACAGTAACTACTTGAAAAAGTTTACACATTGTAAGAATCATAAATTTATTTTTGGCAGAGGGGCATGCACTAAAGCATTTCTGAATCCTATGTTTCAGGACTAAGTTCAGGAACAGGACACTTGTTTTTCTAATTCTCATTATTTCAAAACTTAGCAATCTTGCATTCAAACCAGAATCACACTGATGCAGAAAAAAGCATGCTGGATATGAAAAATTACATTTCTCAAGGCAGACTACTACAGCAYGCATTCAATAGATCCAGTGTGGTACAAAGGTGTTCACTAGTTTGTTTCTTCAACAGAASAGAAGGTTGTTCCATTAGAGCAGACGCTGGTTTGCCACATCACCGGTACATCCCGTTCAATGCAATGTGCAGTCATTCCACATGTCCAGGCACTGACTGCTACATGCTGCTCAAAGGGTAGATCAGTAGAGTAAATACATCTCACCACGTTAGATCTTAAGAAGCACACTCTCCTTTCTGCTTCTGGTCTAYTGATACTGTGGTAACATGACACGCATTTTCACTTGTTTCAGTAGATCCAAATTCCATACTGTAATCTTATCTTTTACCCATAACAAAGTGTTTCAAGTAAATTTACAAAGTACATTTCAGATTTTCCATACAGATATGTGTAGGTTTTCACAATGATCTTATGTMCATCTCAGACTCATTCCAGTCCTCTTGCAGGATTACACAGTCCTGCTGCCTACCTGCTGTTCTCTGAGGTATGAATTAATTAAGGAACCCYGAGTTGTTTTAAACTGATACAAAAGGCAATGAGTTATGAGTCAACTATATAATGTGCCTTTTAGTATGTTAAGTATAATTTCTGCCATCGAAGTATCATCTCCTTTCAGAAGTGAGTGTTGCTTACTACTCAAATCCCACTTTTCTTTTTTTTGGAAAAAGGAAACTACAAATAGTCATCTGTGCACTCCAGTTTCTCCTTAATAAGCAGTACCTCCATACASTAGAAGACTGTGGACTGCAGACTAGAGTGGAATAAATATGTTCCAATACTAAAACAAACYGAAGCACAAAACTCCTAAGCCTAAAAACTTCCCTAAAAGTATTTGCTGTTTGGAGGGAAAAAGGAAAGCAAATTACATCAAGCTCAGAGAAATAGTCACCAGCTCTATCAAACAGCTCCAACAGACATTCCCTTCTGCTCTCCCATGTGCCCACATTACCTACTCAAGCTCCAACTGTTACAGAARTATCATTTCAGTAACTCATGTGATTTACTGCAGGTTGTGTGCTATGTAATCAGTGCAAAGAGGTTTGAGCATATTTTGATAGATACAACTATTAAAATAGTGGTTGAAGAAATGGTGTAGTTTGTATTCTTATCACAAAAACTGTTTGCCTGAAACTAGGCTTTTTAACTGGAGTATCACAACAGACAAAATACACAAGTTAATTATAAATTAAGAACATCTTACATAAAAGGCAAAACCTGCCTTGAACTGAACTTGCCGTCAGTGACTTGGATGAAGGSGCAGATGCCTCCTCAGCACATTCACTGATGACACAAAGCTGGAAGGAGAGGCCAACACCCCAGAGGTCTGTGCAGTCCTTCAGACGGACCTTGACAAGTTGGAGAGATGGGCAGAGAGGAACTTGCTGAAATTCAGCAAAGGCAAATGCAGAGTTCTGCACCTGGGGAGAAATAGCCCCAGGCACCAGCACAGGCTGGGGCTGAACGGCTGGAAAACAGTTCTGCAGTAAAGGACCTGGGGGTGCTGGTGGACATCATGAGCACCAGCACTGTCCTTGTGGCCAAGAGAGCCAGTGGGATCCTGGGATGCATTAGGAAGAGCTTTGCCAGCAGGTTGAGGAAGGAGATCCTGCTCCTCTGCTCAGCCTCGGTGAGGCCACAGCTGGAGAGCTGTGTCCAGTTCTGGGCTCCTCAGTACAAGAGTGACATGGAGCTCCTGGAGCGGGTCCAACAGAGGACTATGAAGATGATTAAGAGACTGGAACATCTCTCTTACAAGGAAAGGCTGAGAGAGTTGAGCCAGTTCAGCCTCAAGAAGAGACAACAATATCTATCAGTATCTGAAGGCAGAGTGTCAAGAGGGTGGACCAGGCTCTTCTCAGTGATGCCAAGCAATAGGACAAGAGGYAACAGGCAGAAACTCGAATATGGGAAGTTCCATCTGAACACAAGGAAGAATTTCTTTACTGCAGTTAACTAAACACTGGAACAGGTTGCCCAGAACTCTAGGGAAACCTGCTTGAGCAGGAAGGTTGGACTTGATCACCCCCAGTGCTCCATTCCAATATGACCCGTTCAGTGATTCTGTGCACTCCTACAGAACACATGTAGGCACAGGACAGTACAAATCCACTCAAAAAGCACTCTATCCTATTACACATGACATTCTATGCTTCACGCTTTCAAGCTGAAAACCTTGTAAGGCTAAAATTCTCATTTTGCTGTTAGATAAAGAAAAAATTGGGACAAGTGCTGGCTTTTGTAATGAACACCATAAAACTGCCACCTAATAATCCAAGATTTCATCATGGCTACCACTRTGGCAGCAACTCTGAAGAAAACCCAAAAGTTTGTGTCATCTAGGTGATACAACAGAGATGTTTGGTCTGATTAACATCTATCCAAAAAATTTAAAATAAAACAAAACAAGATTTTCTCCGGCTTTTTTAATGAAGCATTTTTTAGCAAATCTAACTAGACATCACATCCTCTTTAACTTCTGAACCCCAACAAGTGAACTGACATACAAGGCTTTCTTGAAGTCACTCCTGTTTGCTTTAAGACTTGTTACAGAAAGCAATTAGGATGCAACACACTAAATCTTCTTTTAGGAGCACCTTACACCCTATACACCTGACACACAAACTGACATATGTCACTCCCAAGCATAATGAATGGAGAGCTGATGCATTTAGGTTGATGCTAATTGTGAAGTCATCTGAACTTCAGCATTAAATGCCAATACAGCAACCTAAAGTTGTGCACTGAATTGCTTTACAAGTGTACTTTCACCCTGTCTCACAGGCAGATAAAAGCTGTATTTCCATGCCCAGCAAGAAGAGGGTGCATAGCACCAAACACACATGTTCCTTCTAACACAAGAATTAGGGGTCAATCAAAGTAACTGAGGAGCCAGGTTCAAAACAAACACAAGGGAATGGCTGTTCACAAAGCGAGCAGTAAACCTGGAGAACACAAAGTCCTTTGGCAAAGAGGCCACAGAAGGATTTATATCACTTCAAGGGAAGGTTAGAGAAATACTTGGAAGAAATCTAGTTAAGAGTAATTTTACAGAAAATTAACTTGTAGGCATTGAAGGTTGGGGGAGGGGAGCAGACAGGCAAGACTTGAACTTGTGGCTCTTATAGTGCAAAAAGCATGAGGCTTTACTCMCAGTGCCATGGGCAACAGAAGAGGGCTGGAGGCCTGCTGGCCTCAACCAGTGCAAGTAATGTCATGTTCACACCGTCAAATTTGCACTCCTAAAGATTCTTCCCACTTCAACTATAACTGATCAGTCATTGCATCTTCAATGACATTAGCAAACTGTTCTTTCAGAACTCAAAAACAGCAGTATAAGGGTTTAAAAACTAGTTACAAAATACTAATAATTGTAGCAGTAATTCTCAGCAATCCATCTTAACCTAACTCCACTTTGAAAGAGACTTTCTTGCCTTTCTATGCAAAAACTCTTATGTTCATATATTTTAAACCTAGCCTATAAACAACCTAATGGTAGCAAGCATTATTTTAAAAGAAATTAATTTAAACTTAAGCTCTTGAATAAATTAAAAATTAAATTTCTCTTCAGAAGTGTCAGTGACACTTGGAAGCACAGTTCTTCTGATCTTAACAGGATCTGCACTTCTAAGTTAAAGACTTCTTCAAAGCTGAAAATCTGTGCTCCCTGAAATAACGAGATATGGCTATTCATTCATAATTACAAAAATCCCACCGTTTCATTCCAACCCCAGTTATTTCAAGTCAGGTGACCTACCGAATATTTTCCAGGGCACTTGTCAGCTGCTGTTGTGCAATATCATAAAGTTTCACTTTGAAGCCTCCAGCAGCAAACACCATGGCCCAGCTGCGACCAATGAGTCCACTGAAAAGAAAAACAAAAAAATCAACCAATTAATAAACCATCATTTAATTGGGGGAAGAAGTCTTRAAAGCATTGCAAAAATGAAAACAGAGCTTGGACTCTTTAATATTTGATAAAAAGATCAGTTACATATTGATAAGAAACAAATCTTTCAAACAGAGAAATCTCCTTTGTTGGCTGTRTGYAGCAGCTTCTCTGAGAGCTGARAGTAAGATAATGGGGAAGAAAAAAMCAAAACAAAACAGAAAAAGGAGCACAGAATTCAAACAGGAGGAACCCAACTTTGGGACACTGGACTCAATTACCATCAGTTTTGTCAGCCACAATCTTAACCTGGAGCTGGTRCATGGAATTACATTAAATAAAAGAAAAAAAATGAATAATTTGTTCAGTTCATAGTCTGAAGACAGTCTATGGCAGCAGTCCACTGGTCCGAGAGTGCAGGACACCATTTCAGAGATGATTAGAAAACCTAAGGCCTGGCTACTGAAGTCACAGGTCCTCAGCAATTCAGAAAATACCACAAGCACATGAAAAGGGAAAAAAATCTCAGAGCATGGGTTTGATACTATTTTTCCATCTAGCCATTTCTAGCACTACCTTTATTTTTAGATGAAGCACTTTATCATGCTGGATACACACAGGAACAGTCTGCCTACATCTTTTGGTGAAATCATATTATGGAGCACTACATASAAGAAATTTGTAGTAACTGACAATTTTATTAATTCTCTTAAAGCAATGCAGGTTTTAACTTCTACTAGATGTGCAGCAGACAGCAGTCTTTTCAAATGGAAGCACCAAGGCACAAGCTTAAGTGTCACAAGCTTTAGTAACCTGAAATCACAAAAAAAGGGGAAAAAGATCCATAACAGAGACAAGATCAGAACTCCATATCCACGACTATTTCGGTGAGGTTTTGATAATTACATGCATTTTCTGTCATTTCCAAGACAACAGTCATTGCAGCACTAAACTTTAAGTGATCTCTGGCAACTGAAAAATTCAAGGCAATTAGGGCATCAATAAAAGATTAAAAGGGGAGCAAAAGTCAGAGATACAATAATAGGGCAGATGAGAAAACAAGGAAGAAAAAAATAGGAACATGTTCAGCCTTTRGTTTCAGCATGCATTTTAAAAAAGGAACAAAACAGGAAGTTCCAGGAAATAGGAATCAGTGGAAATAATTCAGACCAAAAAAAGGGCAGTTTTATGAAGCAGATAGTAAGGCTTCCCTCAAAACGTATCATTTAAAAGTAAAAACACACGGCTTCTCTGTAGAAAGGCATAAAATCGGAGGCAAGCAACAGAACAAACTTGCAGAATAGGCATGGTCAAGGTTTGTTAGCTACTGTAGCCCCCTGGYTAACAAGTATTTATAAAATAAAAGCGTTTGAATCAATTAAACTGACATAAGCATATCTGAGCTACCGGTATCTTTATAAACTAGCATAATCTCTCTAAATTGCACTTTTAAATTAAATTTCCTTAAAACACACAAAAGAATTCTTGCACTTCAATACAGTTTTTTAGGATTGTAGGGTTTTTGTTTAGAACTACAGAGCACACAAAGTAAGTCGGCAGTAGGTATAAGACCTGCACAATTACTCCATTGTATACAACAGCATCATTACAACCTGTTAACCTGATGTTAGCATATTTRACCCAAGACAATGCTTTTTGACACTTTAAGCACTGTTCTTTCAGGCCCACCGATAGACAAAGTATTAACAACCAGATCTGCTCACACAACTTCTGCAGGTGCTACCAATACCAGGTTTTTTCCTTCAGTGCAATAGTGTCACAGCAGCCACAGTTGGCAGGCATCCAACTCTCCTGACCTTTCATACATACCTACAGTGAATAAAACTTCCTTAAGTGCCAACAGTAGGAGCCAGTTTGGTCCTTTGGTCTCTGTCACACAACAGCACCGAGACTCCCAGGCTGAGGCTTCAACTAGTCTCACTAAAGAAKTTTGCTACAGACAAAACTTGTAGTACCAAGGTACAGTGGTGCACAGGGGACTTTTACTGTCTGGCACGTATTTTCTGTCTCCTCCAGAACACTATTCAAGTAAAGAACTTTAGAACTGCTCAATGAGAGAATGAAGCAATGCATTCCCACACAAGCCAGAAATACTGAATTTTGTGGCAAGTAAATTATTAAAAAGTGTCTGAGATGAACTTAGCAGTTTTTTGACATAGTTGACAAACAGGACGGTAAGCTGTGCTTGGATTTTTCCACTGCTCTTGCACTTACACACACACAAGGCACAGCAATGAAAAGCGACAGCAGTCTTTCAGACCCAAAGGGTGATTTACTTCGGTAAAGATGTTTGTTTGCTGTTTGTTTTAAAGCAGCACAGAGCTGTCAAAGCAAAGGCACTCTAAGGAGCCGAACAGGTGCCTCTGCCCCACTTCCCAAGATCCAACAGCAGCACGCCCCCGAACTGCCCAAAACCCACGGCGTGCCCCGAGCCAGCACCTCGCTGACACATGCACCGGCTGCAGCAGCGGGGACCGACACGGTGTCCCCAAACCCCCTCCCCGCAGGCCGGGCCGAGCCGGGCGACGGCGACCGAGCCCCTTCGCACGCCGCGGGCATCCGTCCCACCCGCGCCGGGCTGGCACCTCCTCCGCGGGACGCTGCACCCGCCCGCGGCGACGAGRGGCTTTACCTGCCGATGATGGCAACCTGCGAGGGCTCCATGGCTGCGGGGCCGCGACCRGGAGATGCGGGATGGGCAGCGGAATGAGCCACCTCTGCCCTGTGCGGRCCCGCCCCTCCCGCGGCTCCCGCCATGTCACGGACACCCATTGGCTCCGCGGCCGCCACCGCCCCGGTGAGGCCGAGCCTGTCCCGGGGACGGGGCGGGGCCAGGAACGGGCGGGGCGGGGCCAGGAATGGGTGAGGCGAGGCCGGGGCGGGAGGGGCGGGGCCAGGAAAGGGAGGGGCGGGGCCGGGTTGGGGCCGCAGCTCTCGGGTGTCGCCCCCGCCGCTCCCGGGCATGGAGAGGTGTCCCAGCCGCTCATACCTAGGCTAAGAGCAGCTCACCTCTTCATTACCAGAAATACATCAAACCCCACTGCTTGTGACACGGACACAAATGGATTTCAAAGTCCAAATTTCAAAGCAATTCTCTCCTTTCATGTTAAGCAAAGCCCTATTATTCTTAAAAATACTCTCTAACTGAATGCTGAATTCATTTTTTTTTCTGTGCTTGGTGTCCATACAAACTCTTTTTAAAGTTGTGCCAAAATATGATGTTGCAATGTTAACATAATACTGTAAGCTGCTTTATGACATGTACTATAACTTTTGTCATGCTGCATTACACACTTTTTCCAATTTGGTGTAGTTCTTACTCATCTGCATATTGCTCTGCAATCATGCCAGATATTCCTGAAAAGAAACAAAACATTTTAAATGCTTCATTATTCTCAAAGATTACACTACTTTACTATCAATATAGCTGAGAAATACTTAGAAGTTTCTTTCCGGAAAAAAAAAAAAAAAATCAGTTTGATCCCAGAATAAAGGTTTAATAGTTACTGATCAAGTTCAGTTAACCTTTGTTTGGCTATCTTCTGAACCTTTGTTCAGCTTATCCTTTCTTCTAGTTTCCAAGAAAAACAATATATAAGGCCAACATAATCCTTTGGTACATCTGTCCCACTCACTGGCACTTCCAATCACATTCAACAACAAGATRGAGATGTCAAAATCATAAATTCCTGAAGGTTTTTGCTCAACGGATAGCAGGTGGAAAACCAAACTTGTATCTCTGTGGCTTCCTGACCTTAACATCACCACGTAACCTGAGATATGCCACTACCTGGGAAGTGTTAGTGGAGCAAAGTGCCGTTGATCTGGGCGATGGGAAGATTTAAGGCAGTGGGACAGAAGAGTGCAGGATGGTGTGCCAGTTCTGCTGGTCAGGGCTTGTGTAGGCTGGTTTAGAAAGCAGTGTTGCAAGATTTTAGTCGGTAAAAATTTTGCTTCTTTGAAGACAAATTCGAAATGGCATGTCTTGGCACATATTCTAAATACAAAGACCTTTGAMTAGACAGAGCATAACTGAAGAAAACAATGTATACCTATTTTGTGAACTCAGGTTTTTTACTTCAAAGAAAATAAAGATAAGTTCCTAGAACATAAAACTAATGTCACCTGGGCTTAAGAAAAATTATTTTCAGAACAACTTTACCATCACTTCAATTTTAAAGTGCTTATCAGTTATTTTAATAACTCTTTGACCTACTGAGATGTATATTTATACTTTATTTGTCATCAGCAATAGACTAAGAGACAAAAGCCTTTACAGATACACAAATGGATTCAGAGAATTAAAAGCTCAATTTAGGACAATTGCTTCAAGGGTTTGAGAGCTAATCACAGCTAAAAGCAATTATAAGGCCTTTTAGTTCTGGGGATGAACGAAACAAGTCGATGGCAATGAAATCTAAACATTATTATTATTATTATTATTGCTGTTGTTGTTGCTATTATTATTATTATTATTATTATTATTATTATTATTATTATTATTATTATTATTATTATTATTATTATCAAAGCCCTATGGCTCTGCATTACTTAATCAAAATTAGGGTATGACAGGAGCCATATTCCCCAGCATCTGCAGTGACCAGACACACTGTTGAGTCCAAATTAGATCAAAAGAAGAGAGAGAAATTTGCAAGAAGAAAGGAAAATATGGATGATTGAATTCTCAGAAGTGTAAGTCAAGGGAAGAAAATATGATTAAAAAAAAAAGTACAAGATTTATTTTTGTGCAATAGCGTAAGAGATTTACCCCCAGTTCTTGCAGCATCCACAAGTTAGGGATGGTGATTCTCCTCTTTTCTGCAATTAACATGGGAAGGACAGAAGGTGCTGTAAGCCCAGAAACATCATGTACAACCAACCAATAACAYTGTGAAAGGACTTGGGCTCCATAAGGGACTGAAAAGTAGGGCTTGTATGGTCAGCAGGAGAGGCCCAAGTGGAGCAAAAATGCACTCAACAGCATATATATTTTTTTCTTCAAAGTGAAATAAACATAGAGGCAGATTTGACTTGTGTTGGGAGCTGCAGTTGATCCCTCTAAGCCTCTTTTCTTGGAGTGTGCTCCTCTGCTGCCCCACATACAGAGCTGAAATCTGCTACAGAAGGCTGGATTTACTGCAGAAGAGAAGCAGGATGGTATGAAAGGTTCATGTAATAAGCAAGAGGAAATAATTCTCACTAACTCTGAGCCATGCAGAGGTGGAATATGAAGGAGATGTTAATTCCCCCTTAGAGAAAATAAAGGAAGGGTATGCTTTTAAATACAGAGAATTCTAGTCCGAGCTTTTAGTGTGTAACAAATAAGAGAGGCATAGTTCACATTTGTTAAGAATTAGATCTGTTTAATACATTACTTGTTCACCAGAGCAGCCAGAAAGCACATTTATTTGGTAATGTACTATGTTCTTAATGGTTCAAGAAGCATAATATCTTAAAATGATAGCTTTAATTAACAACTATATTGCTGTTCTGTAGAGTTCTAGCTAATGGTCTGCGTACTGTAGACCATTAGTGATTGTATTGAAATTACATTAATATTTTTAATTATTGTTAATAGTTTGTGCCATTAATTTGGGTGGTCTTTCAAAGTGCAGATGGCCTGATGCAAATACTACTGATATTGTTAAAATTGCTAAGGAAAAGATCTGCTGGAATCAGAAAGAAAATAATAATAAAATAGATATTACAAAAGCAAAACTAGATAGAATTATATACTTCAATAGTAAAAATACCTGTTAAGAAGATAAATTTCCTGTTGCAAATGCATTTTAAACCCCAACTATAACATATGATACAATATAGAAAGGCTATGGTGTGATTCTGGGGTGTCCCGTGCAGGGCAAAGAGCTGGACTTTGATGATCCTCATGGATCCCTTCCAATTCAGATATTCTATGATTTTATATGCATCATTTGCAACATATGTATCATTCATAATGAGGTTATTCCATTCATTTTCTTTTCAAATTGTATGCTGACAAGATGCATTACTTCCCCAAGGAGCAGTTAAATGCAGCTTCACTGTATGGCAGTCTAGCTACTTGAATGGTTTCTGCATGACAGCAGGAAATCCTGAAATTACTTTTTAAAAGATTATAATGGGAGAGTTACATTTTGAATTCAGGAAAACAACAGTGCCTGATCAGATGTACAGTTCAACTGACAGAGCAAGGATAAGGTACACACTAAAAGTGATTATAAAAAGTACACACTAACAGCAATTATAACAGGTAGACARTAGCCAGTAACCCCTGAACCCAAGTTAGTAGGTCCTGGAACAGCTTGTCTGAGTCCTTATTTGCAGAGTTACTCCTGCAAAAAGACAGATACACCATGTATTGAAAGAAAAATAAATTCTTATTTAAGAGTATAGATTAATGGTCTCCTTAATCTGTCCTAAGTTTTCACTGAATTCACTGGATCAGTACTTGAGTCTTGAATGGTAACTGAAGGAAAACCTCATCATATTAGCAGTTTGCTTCAGCTGCTTCTGGAGCCAGTCAGAGAACTGATGTGGGGCATTTAGTGATAGTCRTGGCTTAATCCAAATTAAAATGATCATGAATTTGCAACATACAATGCTACTTGGACCATATACTATCTAGGTTGCCCTCTGGATTTAGCCAATAAAGGCAATTACATCATCTTACACCATTACAGCATTTCTCCCTGCAGCATCATCATGTTATATGATGGCTTATAATCATAGCCCATGAGAAAGGCCCCGGTTGCCACAAAGGATCCTGAGATTTTGAGAGTTTGTGGGAAATCTTCATGCATTAAGGTCTATTTATACTTCATAGCACCAGAAAAAAGAAACCCCTGTAAACACAGCCTCATATTCTTGTGAGGATGTCAAAAGCAGTAGCTGAAATGTAGGGCCTCGGGACCTGGGCCAGGGCACGTTCCCAGTACGGTCAGAATCCATACAGGCCAGGGGCCACTTAAGTCTGAGTGTATACACTCAGTTTTGGAGGGTAAGGAAGTTTGGCAATACAAACATGGTCAGATTCCAGTGATGCTTTGGCACCACCTCATTTGCAAATTAGATGTGTTGCCTCCTTAACACAGTTCCCTCTTTCCACTGCCCTAGATATTTGGGCTGAAACATCAGAATAGTGCTGGGCACCAGTATGCCTGTATCCCTGATAAGGACAAGCTGGATAGCAGAGCTAGGTCTCTTGCCTGTTGCTAGGGTACCTATTAATGCCTCTGGGGTCAATGAGAAAAATCTAAAAACCATAGGTTCAATTATATCTGAGGAGTCACAGGCAGAAAAAGAGAGGCTAAAAATGTATAAATATTTCTTATGCTGAAGTTCATAATTTGTGGCTAGTAATGCACCTGAAAACTTTTCCCACTCTAAGTCTGTTATTAGGTCCCCAGAAAATTCAGGTATACTCTCATGTCCAAAGGTCTCAAATCTCAAGTTTCTGTGTGAAAGTGGTTCATGCATGGACCACGAACAGGTTACTGCAGGAAGTGATAATGTCTTAATACTTCTTTATGTTATCTTTGTTTCTCTTGTTGGGAGCCAGAGTAGAAAGACCTTTCACTCATATCCTGTGCACTTATCTCTTCAAAAAGGACTTTGAGGCAGAAAGGTGAGCAGCAGAGGACCCTGGCATTGCATAATGCACGTAAACCCTGACCATAAAGAGTATTCTGCCTGTACTGTATATTGCCTTTGCAGCCTTCTTATGCTGTTAGCATAAGGCAATAGGGCTAAGTTTCAACTGGTCTCAAAATGTTTTCTCTCTCAAAAATACTGTAGGGGTRTTCAGAGATGCCCTGCTCTCTTCTGTTTCCCATTTAGGCATAGGAAACTTTCCCCAGAGTGTAATCATTTGCTGTAGGCATATCAACCAACGCTTGTTCGGGTTTCCAAAATAACAAGAGAAAGTAGTAAAAACAGTAGGAGGAGTCATCTTTTTGAAAGACATTCAGGATTTTAATTTTTTTGTTTCAGAAACCATGGCATAAGGGAAGCTTTAACAACTTTTTTTTTTTTTAATTGAACCTTTCAGTTTTGAGAGCAGATTCTCAGCTTATTGTAAGAACGTTCTGCATTGCGACTGGGGAAATGCAGCGCGTATTGAGACACTTGACGGAGTTTTCCCGCTGTTTAATTTCCAGAGGCCCGCAGGGAGGGACTCTCCGTTCCCCCGAGGCCCAAGGCCCGGCCCGCCCCTCACGGCAGCTCCGCCCACCGGCGGTGGCTCCGGCAGCTCCCGGCCCCGCCCGCGGTGCATGCGCGGAGCTCCGCCGCGTCCCGAGCAACGCCGCCCGGCCCAGAGCGCGGAGCTCCGCCGCGTCCCGAGCAACGCCGCCCGGCCCAGAGCGCGGAGCGGGCCGCAGCCGCAGGCGAGCGAGGACGAGAATCCCATCCATGTCCTGAGCCGCCCCCGCTCCGGGGCGCATCTCCGGGCCCCGCTGGAGGAACCGCGCCGGGAGCGGCTCGGCCGCGGGGGCACCACGCACGGCGGGGGAGCGGCGGGGAACATCGTCCTCCTCCCGCTGCTGTTGCTGGAGAGGAACCGTGCGCTTCGTGCTGGCTGAGGCTTGCTTGCTGCAGGGCATGTACTTCATGTTATCCATGAAATCAAACGTTGCCTTCTTTAGGTTTTTATGAAAATACGTAGACAGGCAAAGAGAGATGACTTAGTGTCTGCCCTCCGTGAGGGAAAGGCCACCGGGTGAACGCGCCGTATTAGACAGGGAAATACTGGTGGACAGCGACTTTGGAACCCGGGCTTCTTTGATTCTAGCTTCTAAAAACCATTTGAATTGAAATGGCTTTGTAAGTGTAGCTATTTGATGTTAGAGTGCGGAAAGGGAGGAAAGGAAAATTCAAAGCGAGATGAAGTATCTTTCATTAGACTTACCACTGTGGTTTGGCCTATAAAGACTAACTTTAGAATATGAGTTATCTTACACCTGAGTTAGCTGAAARTGGAAAGATAGCATTCTAGAAATAGCAATGTGGTTACTGGTTATTATAATTTGGTTTTAATATCTTTAAAATAGTTTTCACAACTGGTCTAAGTACAAACAAAAAAATAAATTGGTGAAATGSTGCCATTAAATATTGTTCATAGGCGAGTCCTAGTTTTTATGACTAATCAAAYTAMTGCTGTTTRTATTTTGCATTTTKAAATATTTATGTAAAACCACCGAGATAACATTTGGCATGTGAATTATTTCACAGCAAAATGATGCAAAATGTGCATCTGGCTCCTGAGAATACTGAAGATGATYTATATTCTGGCTACAATGATTACAACCCCATGTTTGACACAGAGGTAAAATATTTRCTGTTTCCCACATTTCCCATACATAGAATTTTAACTTAGAAGTATAAGTTAAGAACTTACGGGTACAGTAACATACAAGTTTACAATTGCTTTGAAATGAAATTKATTTTATTTAGCAAGAAACATCTAAAGCTTCTCCAGGATCTTTTTAAATAGTTAATTCGTTGATAGTTTTCTATTCCAACTAAATACTTGTTCAGATCTCAACGTGCTTAATGTAATGCTTAGAATTTACAAAGTATAAAATCATAATTATAYGTAGGCACATTCAATGTGGTGTTTCCCAGGTTGTGTGCAGCAGCARGTTTTCTGACAGAGGAGGCTGCTGAGTGGCCAATAGGTCATTGATCCCCTACTGTGCTTCTGCTGGAGGAGCTTGCAGTAGAATGGAATCCTGCAGGTCTCTGTGCAATTGGGTAGAACATCTGGGATGTCTTAAAGTAGCTCTGCAGACCCMTTTTGGGTAACTGCTGGTGTGGTGGAATTGAGACAACGTGATGTCATGTTTGTCCAAACCCTCTAGCAGGACTTAGCATCCTGTGTGAAATCCCAATGCCCAATTCATGRGACGTGCTTCATGACCTGAGAGATAAGATTACTGTCTTGCATGGCAGTTGTAAATGTCAAAATTCAGAAACAGCATAAGTAGTAAGCATTTGGATGGAAAAAAATTCATGTTACATTTTATGATTTCGGCTCTGTTTCCTCTTTGTGTTTTTAGAAAATAATGAGGTTTTACATTTCATAATCTAAAATACCAAAAAAAAAGATAAATAATATCGTTGTCATATATTGTCAGTAAAACCTGTTGTTCAGTTATCTTCAGGTCAAGTATTTTGTGAAGGATTTTTGATTTTTTACCCATCTGCTCTCAGTAGTCTGAACGTTCTGGAACTGTGACTTTCCGTGTTACAGTTTTAAAAGGGTTGATGTCTTTATCTTATCTTTTCCAGGATTTAGAAAATGATGCAGCTTTTCAACAGGCAGCAAGAACAAGTCATGGAAGAAGACCCCCTGTAAGTATCTTGTAAAACACTTTGCATTAATGTAGTGTAGTATCTTATTATGTAGAAACACTAACAATTGACACATATGCTTTTTAATTGGCGGGGTTTTTTTGTTTGGTTCTCTTTTTTTTCCCACCCAGGTGACAGCCAAAATTCCTGGTACATCAAGTCCAAGACCTCTAGCTACTGGATTTGGGGCAGGTTTTTGTTCTGCTGTATCCTTAACTAAAATGTCATGTACCTAAAAATAAATGTACCATTTAATTCCATGCACAAAGTGAGCCCTTTTAAATTAAGGGTTTAATTTCAGTGAACTGCATCTATTCATTGATTTTAGTTCACTACTCTGCACTTGGTCAAGGCATGGTTGCTGGTTGTTTTTCTTTTCAGAAAGTAAATAGTAGTAAAACCAGTAAACAGTAGTGAACCATGTTGCAAATSTTCTATACTGCATAAGGCATTAGAATCCAAGGTATTAACCAGGTTCATTTGCAGGGAGAACTGAACAGGTTGTTATTTGGGCTTGGGAAWATTTTCTGGAAGATGAGGTGAAATCAAGTCCTGAAGAATATGGGCTCTGAAACACTCTATTTGAATCAGAAAAAGTTGGTTGTGTTTTTTGATATACTTAACCTATTTTAACTTTTAATAAACCAAATTAAAATGCCCAATATTCCAATAAATTTTATGTCTGTTAGCCTGATTCAGTAAAATTGGAAAAGCAATACTTTTTGGCTATAATGTTCCTTAAGTTTTATGATAAAAAAGGGACAACAAATGGCTGTAGTTCTCATGCAAGTTAKCTGGCTAACAATTTCAAGAACACCTAAATTCTATTATGTCACTGAAATACAACCATCACTCTGAACCTTCGGTGACCTGCTTTGAATGTATTAGAACCATGGAATAGTCCAGTCCCCCTGCAACRAACAGGGACATCTTCAAATAGATCAGGTTGCCCAGACTTTTGACATTGCATTTTGTTGGCAGTTATATTTACAGATGTTTAGCATAGTACAAAGCTGTAAGGGGAGAAGCTATCTTGTTAAATGRGTGCACAAAAGGCACTTCCTGGGGATAATAAAGACTGAGATGTTCATCTGCAAGAGCAAAGCTAGAAACTTCCRAAGCATTGTCCACTCCACAGCATTATATCTTTCACTCCATGGATTGTTTCTCCTACACAATAATCCTTGCTAATGTAGGTTCATCCTTAGCAATAAAAATGAAAAACCATCATGATGTGTGTGGATAGTGAATATAATAGTAAAGCACAGGCCTCTGAAAGGGAATTAGGGGAATAATTTTCATGGCATGGAACCCTATATATTGTATTGTATATTTGTAGCAAACATAAGCACTTACTAATAAATATTTCACATTTATTTCTTTACATTTTTATCCTTGACAAAGAAGGACAGTATGTGACATTCAGAAAATGGAAAAGATACCTGCTGGCAGTTAGAAAGTGTATCTGTATTTATAGATAAAATAAATCTGCTTGAAAATATAACTTAAAAGATTAATACAGATTTTATCAGGTTTACACAAAATATTACTAAAGTATTTTGTCTAAATTACTTGTTCAATTTAAAYGTAGCAATTTCAATAATTTAATAATATGAAGTACTGCTGTCTCAGATAATTTTCCATGTACTTCTTTCTAAAAGAGCTGACAAAAATATCCAAGTACATAAAAAACCTTTATTGTGAATTTGTGCTAACTGAAGTATTCAACATCTTTAAGTTTSCCAGGCACTGGCAGTATATTACATATGAGTAATATAAATGGGAACTTRTTATGAGTTTATGTGAGAGTTAGCTGAACTTTTAAAATTTAGTATTGAGAAGACCATACATTGGCTTCTTATGCTTAGTGAATGACAATTTCAAACAATTTACTTGTTTTTGTAGTCGAAGGCGACTTTACCTTCATCTATGGGAAGACCCATGACAGGAAGTATACAGGTAAAAGTTCCAATATTTACATTTTATATTCATTTGGAACAATGAATTTTTCTGGTAAGAGTTAAATACAAGTATTTAGAAGTTCATTGTATTAATACAAATTACTACACCTTTGTCTTTTTTTGAATATAGTACTGTCAGAAAGCRTGTGGTAGTGATGTGTATTTTATTTGAGCACAAAGTTGGAAGCAATAACAGTGTAGTACTTTCTAACACTGAAGTACAARTGAGTAATTTGTCAATAAAACAGTATGTATATAGAGTAAATAGAATATATAAAAATATATATTAAAATATATAATTATTTCTGTATTGCCTGTRATACAATTTTTAGTATGATATTTTAATGTATTTTCTTCTTTATTTGAGGATGGGGTTTCTCGACCAATGACAGCTGTGCAAGCTGCAGGTTACACTAAGGCAGCTGTGAGAGGTATGGTTTGTAGAAATCACCAGTTGCCACAGGGAGATGTTATTTTACAGTTTTCAGTACTCTGTTAATTTTGCAGGTTCTTCATTTGATCCTCTTGGCCAAGCAAGAGGTCCTGCTTCACCTCTGGAAAAGAAAACTTCAGACAGGTTTGTTCAGTTCTGCATTACATTCTTTCAAAGCATTAACAGCAGCCAAAAAACAACCATACACAGAGTTTAAAAACATCCAGGCAGTAACAAAACCTTGAGGGGCCAAACTCTGAACTTAGTGGAATGATGCCACAAACATTTGTACCTGTGGTTGACTGACTTGCTGGAGCAGTTGCTCTGACTCTCAGGAATATCTGATTTCAGTGATTTCTGGGTCTGACTAGCTCAGCAGCCTGGTGTAKCTGTGTTGCCTCACAAATGCTGTGATACTTACATAGAATGTGCAGGACCATGAAAGAGTGTGTTACTGGCAAGGAACACCRTGATTCTTGCAGCTCTTTGGGAAGAGCTGTGGGGAATTTGCCTGCTCTTTCTCCCTGTTTGCTCTGACCTTTGCACTTGAGCTGAAACTTGCACACTGGTGTGAAGGCTGTGAAGGTCACTGAGCAAGCTGTTGAGCTTTCCAATAGTAAAGTTGTGTTCCCCAGATATAGCTATATAGGAATAGGGAATCCTACTGAAATGTTGGGTTACTCAGCAGAGGAAAAGGTCTAGAAGAACCACAACTTTTTGCTATAATCTGCATTCACAAGCAATGCTTTAGAGTTATCTGTGCAAATAAAGGTTCACTTAATTGTTTTTAATGTGATATTTCACTTCATTAATGCTTGATATGAAAGTTCATCTGTTGTTTTGTCGTTACTTCTCCTGAACTAATTTGATTTGTTAAATTTGCCTATCTATACTTTTCTTGTCAGAGGATTTATTAGATCTCTGTTCTCAAATTAAAAATGTGAATGTGGTATCTTTGGACAATCTTCTCTAGGCATTTCACGCAATATTTTCTTTGATGGGAAGACCAGTTAGTTGTGACATCTGATATGTCATTATGTTGTTTTATTGAGAATATAAAACTTGTGTAGAAGCTTAGCATTTCCAGTTACATTACTAGCGTTAATCCTTTTCTTGTTATTTTTATTTTAGTTTAGAAGAGAAGATGAGGCAGTTGGAAAAAAAAGTGAATGAACTGGTTGAAGAAAGCTGTATTGCCAATAGCACTGGAGCCTTCAAATTGGTACTTTTTCTGGATTTCACTTCATTTCTGCTGTGAAGAAAAATTTGTATAGATAGATGTTTCAGACTGACTTGCGATCAAATGCTTACAGTTATTAAAATAATTTTCATTAGAACTTTGTTATGACTCTTCTAGTCTAGTGAAACCTTGCATTGCTGAAAGAAAATGTAGAGGTTGTGTTTCTGGCATATATATTTGTTAAGATTTCAATGTTACAAAAATTCCCCCTATCTCCATTGACCTCTTCAGATGGGTCTGATGAGTTGGTTGTACTGGCACAGTTTTGGCCCAGGCTAGCTAGCATTCAAAAGTTGTATATGATCAAAGGTTTCTATGGATAAGGAACTATTTCCAACAGACAGTTTGGATGTATTTGTTCTGTTACAGAGGATACTAAAGCATTGCTGTGCCAGTTAGTAGTGGCTAATTAACAGGCTCTAAATTTGATTTAAACCTAGTATAGATGTAATTCGAGAGCTCAAGCCATTTGGACTAGTTACCACTTTTCTTAAGTGTTGTCTTGACACAATATTTTTCTATCTCTACCCTGTTTCCGACTCTTTCAAATATCTCTTCAGGTCTTRTGAAACATACATTCAGCATAATTTTATCTTATTTTGGCTATCTTAATGTACTGGATCTGTTGAGAAGTTTACAGTCCATCTTGGGGTAGATCATCTTTGTTGAGATGTCTTTGCATTTGTCTAGAGTTCCTTCAGCTCAGGAACAGCACTGGACCCGGTGACAGTGAGAGCTTTCTTGTTTTGAAGGGACTTTTTGTTGTTTGGTGCTCTCTGCACACAGTGAGGGCCTCCTTTGCTCTCTTTTGCAAAGTGATACTGTGTACATGTTATATCCTTAGAATTTGTATTAGTTTCCAACAAGTCCAGCAGAATATCCRTTTTCCTGTGGAAGTCATCAAAGTTGCTAAGTCATTATCTATAAAATAGCCAGGTTGGATTTGTCTTCTATCATAGGGACTAGGACTCAAACTATATCTTGAAGTACTTCCTTCACCACTGGCTTCCAAATAGATGCATTGAGTAGTAACAATTACTTTCTTAAATCATTGCACCCTTGTGGAGGCCCACAGGACTGCTAATGGCACTTGYTAGGCCCAGAGCATTACTTGGACAAAGGATATTGACACCAATCTGCAGAAGATTATAATTGGGTACATAATTATACAGCTAAGCAGGCTTAGATAACTGTATGTCTGCTTGTTGCTAATTAAAATCTTTTGGTGGGTTATAGTGCTTTTTTCAGGCATTTGGTGCAGTCTGTGCATCTAAAGGAAATATAAATTAGTATATTCTCTTCATACTTCTTTTGGATGTATTTTTGTCATCATGAGTTATTAAGATTCAGGCACTGTTAAATTCTAGTACTTTGTTTAAGGCTCTGGAGAAAGCAAAAGAGGCTGGAAGACAGGAAAGAGAATTGTTGAGACAACGTGAACAAATTGCTCCTCCAGAAAATATCAACTTAGACCTCACTTACGCAGTAAGTGCTTAGAATTCTTCAACGACTGAAATACTGCTAAAAAACCTCCTGAACAGAAATGTCAGTGTTTCCTGAAGTATGCGTGTTGTTATGCTCCTGGCAATTACCTGAGGAGATCCATTATGTCATCGAGTCTATTCCTTTTCAATCTCAAGTACCAGAGAAACCACATAGTCTACATTAACTAGAGAAGAATTCATGTGAATATCTATTCTAGGTATTTACTCACATGTAAAACCTRCATATCAAAATATACCAGATGTAGACCCTGCACTTCAGAAATAAATAATCTATAGAATGTAATATGATGAGAGGAGAAATCAGGATAGATCAGATGCTGCCTTTAAATTGAACTGCAAAGTGACACAGGATATATTACATGAAATAGGATAAAGTAATATTCCTGAATCTTAAAGCAGGTATCTACATTTACACTCTGGTTTTCAAATGGTAAACTTTTTTTTTTTCAAAATAGGGTGCAATATGCATAAAAATACTGGAGTGATAATTCATACCCCAGGTAGTGCTGTAGAGACAATTATTAACAATTCAAATATTGAATTAGGCAAACCTGGTAATTTATTTTACAATGAAGGTCAGAGTAAAGCTGTGGAAAAAATGCACGGGTTTTTACCTGACACCAACAGAACTTCTGTTGTGAAACAGCAGTTTGGAAGAATTCTTACCTTCTAAACTGAGTAACCACAGGCATTAGGACCATTTTCCACATGTTGAGAGTCATAAATTGCAGTTTCTGAGAATTATSTTGCATGAATATTTTTTAATAACCTTGCATTATAACATTGAGTTTAGTTAGATTTAAAGCCCATGTAGCGTGACTTTGAATTCTAGTAATTTATGTACAAAAATAAAAGAATTACCTAGAATAAGTAGCTTTTAAACTTGTTTCCTTATATCAATGTGCAAGAACAAAGTAACATTAAAGATGGGAAGCTTACAACTGGTAAAGACAATAGTTCCAAGGTAAAATTAATTTGAAATTATGATCTGCTGTGAGTTCGAGTTTATTACTGTTTAGAGGACAGTGTATTTTCTTGTACCTGTAATTCTAATTTTTTATAGGTTCTTCTCAATCTGGCCAGTCAGTATGTTGCTAATGAAATGTATGCTGAAGCACTGACTACTTACCAAGTTATAGTGAAGAATAAGATGTTCAGCAATGGAGGTAGGTTATATTACAAAGTGGATTAAAACTGGTAGTCAGGCATTCAMAATAAGGTCTGTATCTGCATGGTGTTGATACACAGAGAGCTCTGCCCTCATGAGTGCCAGTCAGAGTGGGTGACATACTCACAGTCTCTTACTAGGAGAGCCGAACTACTTATACTGACTCATGAAGTCTTTTTCCATAGACTAAACATAAAGAGCTAAACATAAAGACAAATATATAATTTAATCATGCCACACTGTCCTGGTTTTGCTTGGTCCAGTTTTTTGGTGGTGGGGGGATGGGACCAAGAAACCACAAAGATGGCTCCTTTGACAAAGTTCTAGAACTTTTCTCCTTATTCTCCAGCAAAAGGAGCCCTGTGTTTCAGAACCAATCCATTGTGGCTCTGAGGTTGATGGACAGGCTCCTGGTCAGKCCTGGGCCAATTGCACAGGTTGGTTACACCTCTGTGATGACGTATGGTCTTGTACTTAAGAAGAATTCAAAACAAGATAGAGTGCAGCCRCCATTTAGTTTTTAGGTTGTTAGTATCACGCACCAGGGGAAGGACAGAGGAGGAGGGTGAGKAGATGTAGGAAAAATGGAGACCCAAGATCACAGTAAGGAAGAAGACAGGTACTCTTGCTGAGGTGCCCCACATGGAAAAAACAAGCTGTTCTTGAAATTACTATTCTTCAAAGGGAGACCTGTATAGAAAATAGAGGCCCTGCACCCAAGATAAAAACCTGGCCTATGAGGACTGGACTTAYCATAAGCCAAAAAGGGGAAGAGTCTTGGCCCCCCTCTCATGTCTGAAGCAAGTGGATGCTTAGAAGAAACTGTGCTCTGCCAGGAGATTTGAGAGAGTGGCCTTGGAGGAATGTTTTCTTTTCTCCCATGTGGTAAAGGAAAAAAAAATCCCATGCCATCAGCAGTTATACACTGACTGCTTCTTGGAAAAAGAACTTCCACAGCTTGGAGCTGTAAGGACTCTTCTCCTATGATGCTGGATGATAACTGTAATGAGTAGTTTGTTCTATGTTAAAACTTTCATCCCTGCCCACTTTGGGCACGGGAAGGCATGGAGGGGTGGGGAGGGACAACCTGAGAGACAGGTTCCCAGAAAGAATAACAGGTGTCTTAAAATGTCTGTTTTTATTTCTTCTCCTTGTAAATTTTCCCCTATCTCTGTTCCTCTCCCTGGTGCAGTAGKTTTTTRGTAGTTTTTAGTAATAAATCTGTTTTGCAGCTTAAGTTATTCAGCCTGTCTGACCATTTTCTGGAGCTTATATGTATCTTTCTCTCAGTTATGTTATGTTATCTAAAAGCCATAMATTTTGGTGTTAATTGGGCTTTTTCTCTCCCTTCTGCCTCTCTGGTGGCGGGGGGAAGGAACATCGTTTGGTGCTTTGGCTTTCGGCCAAGTTCAAACCATGACACACACACACACCATGTTGTCTTCTCTAGTGCTAATAATTTCTCTTTTGACTTGCCCTTTCCCTCTCCTGAAAGCTTCTTCTAGTATTTTGCTTATCTTTGAGACTCCWACAGAGTGTTTTTTCAGAAATGTTTATTTACAGGTGTCTTCCTGAAGAGCACTATAAATAATTTCTACTTCATCCCTCAATTCATTATCAAAATCAGAATGCATCTTAGATGAAAGTTCTTTTCTAGGTTTCATCACTACTTCATCTTTTTTCTCATCTTCTTGAGTTAAATTCACATGAAGCAGTTCTGTGCAATGCTGCTTTAAAAGTACACTATCCTGTAAGGAAGGCAAATTTGTTCTACTCTGTCACTTCAAAGCAATTTAGAAATGTTGTAACTCACTGACTTCTTTTGATAGGTATACTGAAGGTAAATATGGGAAATATATATTTGAAACAACGTAACTATTCCAAAGCTATCAAATTCTACCGTATGGCTCTAGACCAGATTACTAGTTCCCACAAACAGATGAGGTGAGTTTCTTCTTGAAGTTATGAAATAAAAGTTTTGGATACAATACARTTTGGTAGTTAAAAATATAATCTAAACTTGATTTCTTTACTTAGGATAAAAATAATGGAAAATATTGGAGTTGCATTTATCAAAACTGGCCAATATGTTGATGCCATTTCTTCATTTGAAGAAATAATGAGCATATCCCCAAACCTGAAGGCAGGCTTCAACCTGATCCTATGTTACCTTGCTATTGGAAATGGTGAGCAAATGAAGAAAGCCTTCAAAAACCTGATTGAAGTTCCCTTGGAAGTGGATTATGAGGAAAAATATATTTCATTAAATGTAAGTTAGAAAAAAATAAACTGTGTCTTTATATAGTAAATTGGGAGACAGAGAGAGAGAGACTGAACGCTTGGACTATACTAGATATGGAAATGGATGTGTATTTAAGTACATAAAATAACTTTTTTACCAGTATGCATTTGGTATGGCAATACTACTCAGATGTGTAAAATAATGAGAGAACATTTAAATCCTTTTCTCCTCACATGATGTACATAAAACCCACCGTACATGCTTGTCTTCTTAATGAGTGTGTTGAAATTCATTTGGGTTTACTTACGTAGCTCACTTACTGCTTCACCATCTTCATTTATTTAGAATTTTAATAAAATATTTATAAGGTAAAATAAAGGGAGCAAAGCAATGAGTGAGTTAATGTAAATTTCCTCAAGTGAAGACTAATAAAGCTTTTAATGATTTAGTGTTATTTTACAGAAGAAAATTGTAGTGACATTTTAGTTTATTAGATTTTGTTGGAAACTGGACTTGCTTTGACTTTCCATGATGCTAAGGAGAGGAAAAAAATAGTTAATAGGTTTAGGGTCTCTCTTAGAAAAATACTCTATAGAAAGATCAAGCCTTTTATCTTTTCCTAGCCATCTTTTTTTTTTTTCAGTGATGCAAAGTTTTCATTTTCAGTCCTAAAGATTAAATATGTAATTAATCTTCAAACTCTTTGCAGCTATAGAGTAGCTGTTGTTTCCTGCTCTTACAGCATAAGGGAATAAAATTTAATAGCTGAAACTTATAGATATATTTATTGATAAATATGTTTATATTTTAATAGATTTTATATAATGTCTTATATTAGAGACTATGTAAGAGTAAGGATCGTTAAGCCCTTGAATTAATTGAGGACTATGTAAGATCATTCATTGAAAGAAAGCCGTKAGACAGCGGAAGTTATTTCTAAGGGTAGGCAAGCTATAGTTTTAACAGACACTCCAAGTTCTCTATTTTTTTATGTAGAGGTCAGAGAAAAGATCATGATTTCCTTCTGGTCTTTATTTTGTATAAATCTCTAATCTGTCCCCAATAAATGAGGAAGGGGTGGCTACCCTGCCTTACTTCTTTTAGAGCTGTCAGAGATGTGATAGAATCATAAGATGATGGTGCAAATTATTGTAATGAGGAGGTAGCAGAAATACTTATCTGCTGAATACCACAGCAGTTCAGCAAATGCATATTTTTAAGCGTGAGAATATTCTCACTCTGCTCTCTCACCTTCCTGGTCCAATACATGACATGAACTACATCTGTTAACAAGCTTAATGTGAGCTCTGACAACATACATGAGGAGAAAAMCAGGACTGAAGTAGTTGTAATGCCAAATTTCAGATTAAAGGGTTGGAAAACTAGTTTAAACTGAAGCTAGCTTTTTCAAATGTGGCAAGTAAATAAGTGACATTATGAAGTATGTGTTTTGTAGTAATTTATGTTTGCAGTCATATTGTCTATAAAATAATTAAAATGTTTGTATACTGGCATAATATGCAGTTGTTTTGTCTCCCTCCAGGATGATCTACATACGAATCTACTGATTGAAGCCATTAAAAATGACAGCTTAAGTCAAATAGAACGTGAGAGGTAATGGTGGACTATTCTTTCTTGACTGTGGTACCTTGAATTTTAGGTCTTCAAAGGATTATCGGTCTTGTAACTGTCCACAGCTCTTGTTACAAAAGTGTCTTCTCAATTCTTGGGGAAGACTAAGCTCAGAAGAGTCAGTGTGATCACTCAGTTTAGTGTTCTGCCCTAAAGTAGAGTATCTACCCCAAATGTTATAAATTACATGGCTTAAAACTTGCAGCAATTGAGTATTTTTAAAAAAACACAGTGTGCAGTGACAGAGAAACAATAAAAATGAAGATATTAATCAAGATTCAGGAGAGTAGTGGTAGCAGGGAACTGGTTACATTGACTTCTGAGATTGCCCTGAGTGCAGGAAGAAGTAAGAACGTGTTTCATTGTGGTTTTTTTCTCTATAAGTGTTTTTTAAGTGGTGATGTAGAATCAAATGCAATCATAGAATGGTTTGGGTTGAAAGGGACTTTAAAGATTATGTGATTCCAACCTCCTGTGTCACGAGCATGGACACCTCCCACTAGACCAGGTTGCTCAGAGCCCCTCCAGCCTGGCCTTGAACACTTCCAGAGATGGGGCATCCATAACTTCACTSTTATGTCTTGACAGCCTGTTCTGCTGGCTCACTGCCCTCACAGTAATGAATTTCTTTCATATTTTTGTATTATGTTTTTGTGCGATTTTTTTTCTTTAGGAAGGCCTTGGCAGAAGAATACATCATGACAGCTGCTAAACTCATTGCACCAGCAATCGAGACATCTTTTGCAGTAGGCTATGACTGGTAAGAATCAAGTGGGGCTTCTTTTTGTCTAAACTGTATGTCAGTCTTGTGCTGGTCATGAAGACAGGTCACAGATGGAAGCAGCCTGGGAAACACTGTTCACTGTGTATCTCAAACACAGCATCGAGACTATTTTCGGATTACCCCCAAACAAAACAAAGCATGAGCATGTATTCTCTTTTGAAATGTAATTTATCATTGAAAGTCAACCCTTAATTATACGTTTTGCAGTGTTCTGAATTCACACAAAAAGAGCTTCYAAAGAGCTTCTAAAAGAGCTTCTTTTCAAAACCGAAAAGCTTTTAAAAGTCTCAGTAGGTGAATGCTATACAGAAGGCAATGATTGCTAGTCTTCACTGTAAGGTTGAAGATAACATTATGAAGACTTGGGGTGCCTAAGATGTTTTGATCACTCCATAGAGTCATTATATAAAACACTGGAATCTAAATTTTAAGAACAGTTTGTTTGAATCTACTGTTTCTTAAAACACTTATGCAAGTGTACACAGTGATAGGCTGCTGACTCATTTCATCATTTGGACTTTATTTTTCAATTTACAGCTTAGCTTTTGCTGTGGTATTTTCTTCTCTTTAAAATAATTCAAAATAGACACACTTTCTATAATGACAATATAAAAATTCGTCGTATAACTTCTCCAAAATTTAGTTTTTTTATTATAAGGGCTTGCTTTTATATTTTTTGTATTTTAATAACTTTGGAAAATAACATGTATGCCAATGAATGTTGTGTATTGCAGATACAATATTTCTAACATATATGTTAGTGTTTGGATAGTGAAGAGAGATTGATGGGAAAATAGGGCTGGCCTTTACCTGGGTTTTATGGCCTGTTAGGATTGTTCTCAAATTTTGCAAGACCTATAAGTATAATTTACTAAGAAAGCTGTTCATACTAACATGAAATAATCTCTCACACAGACATGTATTGTCTGTTAGAATCCACAAGGTGGTGTTTGATGTCTTAATAWTCATTATAATTTTATAATTTCCCTACTTCTGCCATTCAGAATTATCAGAACTTAAARAGTATGTCTTGTGAAAAATTAGGTTGTTGTTTTCCAGTTTGTCAGCATGAGGAAGTAAGATTTTTCTTTGCTCTGTGTCTTGTTTTTTGTTCAGAAAAACTGGAAAAACTGGAAAAGTTTGTCAGATACTCAGTTTCCTTAGTGTTACCCACAGAATACTTGCCATGAAGTAATACACTCTCATATCTGTTCTGGCTAATTGAACAACTTCTGCTGAGATGTGTGGGATTGTTTTTTTTGTGTAGCAGGATGGATTTACTCTTTGTTATTTTAGGCTGAAGTTTTCAAGCCCAGTGAAGAAGTTTAACCAGCATCTTGAGCTTAGTTTTTCAAATTATAAACTTTATGGGTTCTCTGAGTATTAAATGTATTTTTAATCAAATGTATTTTATTTAGAGAAATAAAGTGGGGACAAATAGTCTTCAGATTTCMTAACTTCTTACTTAGATTTTGTCATTTTTTATACAGAACAATTGGATAGTTAGATCTCATTCCGTTTTATGGTTAAAGGATGTTAAAAGTAAMAGTTAAAAATATGCTTTTTTGATGTTGCAAAGATGTCTGTAATAAAAGAAGAAATTACTATTTTTTTATTGTAACTTTTCCTCTAATATAAAATGCTTATCTAAAGACTGTCCATGTGCCAAACAGCAGGGAGTTTGTTAAACTAATGTTAAATAATGTTTGTTAAATAATGTTGGCAAAATAGCCAACTATTAGAAGGAAAAAAAGTGGTTTTCCACCAGTTAAAAAGTAGTCAGATTAAGGAGGCATCACACAAGTTGTTAATTGACTGTGCCTATTTTCCAAGTGTTTGAGAGAACAAGATATGCATACAATAAATAAAYGTCTTACTTCAAATGATCAGGCAGCTTAAAGTACACCACATGAAACCCTGGAAGACAGTGGCTGTGAATGAAGATCTGAACTGCCTGCTGCCTTCTGTTCTGCACTCTTGAAAAATTATTTTAGTCAGTTTTTGACACCAAGCATTGCTCAGTGATGGAAAATAAAGTGATATTTAGGCAACTGATTAAAAAAAAAAAGAAAGCAGAGATACTGTAATAAAGGTAGGTTAGGGGACTGAAATATTCTTATAAGTATTTTTAATCAGAGTGCTCTTTGCCACTATGAAGAAGGATTAGCTRGGAAAATTCAGTTCGGAAAGCAAATTACCTGAAAAAAAAATATATAACTTGGAGGCATTTGCACAGATGCATTTTGTTTATCTTTTTGACTTGCTTTCTTTTGCAGGTGTGTTGATGTGGTGAAATCTTCCCACTATGTAGAATTAGCCAATGATCTGGAAATAAATAAAGCCACTACTTACTTGAGGCAACAGAATTTTAACCAGGTATAGTAACTTTTCACATTAGTASTTTTTAATACTGTATTTGCAAAGATACCTTTGTTAACCACAGTGTTTTTTTTGGCAAAGTATGACTTATGCGAAGAACAATTATTTTGATGTTGCTCCATAAAGTAACTTTATAAAAACACTGCCAAGAGAGAAGTTTTATCTAACTGAAATAAATGAAATAAGTGGGAGTTAGAGTGAATGCAGTGCATTTCAAAATCAAAACACCTAAATTTAGTTATCTTCACTGCCATTGCAGTTAATGGAACTGAGGTCAGTACAGTCAACAGARCCTAGCAAGTCTATTGCTAATCAGTGTGGGGATGTTTTCATTGARTGTTTCTCTCAATTAGATTGACTATAGTGCCAGAATATATGGAACTGCACCTGCTATGGATAGTTACTGTTTATGCTCTGGTATTCTTGCTGTTCTGCATGTACTACACCATTCCCTAAAATACTATAAAWTGTCCTTGTACTATAGTTGACTCTTCTGTCGTTTCATTGAATAAAAGGCTTGTTTTGAAATGTGAGTAGTTAGAAAACAACTTCATCTGAAAAGAAACAAGCTCAGATACCTGACAGGATTTGACCAGTTTTCTTCTAATGTCCACTGGCTGGAATATGTGATAGGAATGCTTGATAAATAAGAAGGAATATAGCAATCCCCAGCTATGCAYGAGTGGCAAGAATTACAGGAGCTCATATACAGCAAAATTAGAATTGCAGCTGTGAATACCTGTCTTCTTCTAAGGTTATTCACCTTCCCACAGCTTGGAGGGATGCACACAGGGCCACATGCTTAACTTCAGCCTGCTTTTACTTCTCATATTTAAGCTTTTGTAGTTTTCTGAGMAGTTCTTGCTCCTCCTGTCTGTCTTGTTCTCCTTCCCTGTAGATACAGCAAGAGTTATCCTGTGTTATACTGCATGTCTCACTGTTGTGGTTTAGCCCCAAGTGGCAACTAAGCACCACACAATCACTCGCTTACTCCCTGCCCCACTGGGACAGAAGAGAGAATCAGAAGAGTGAAAGGGAGAACWCTCRTGGGCTGAGATAAAGGCAGTGTAATAGGYWGAGCAAAAGCTGTGCRCACAAGCAAAGCAAAAYCAAGGAATTCATTCACCACTCTCCAYKAATGGCAGGCAGGTGTTYAGCCATCCCCAGAAGAGCAGCACTCCACCATGCCTGASGGTGACTTGGAGAGACAGACACCRTCACTCCAAATGYCCCCTCTTCCTCCTTCTTCYCCCAGCTTTATATGCTGAGCTTGRCACCTTTTGRTCTGGGACATCCCTTTGGTCAGCTGGGGTCAGCTSTCATGGCTGTGTCCTGTCCCACTTYCTTGTGCACCCGCAGTCCACTCGCTTGTGGGGTGGGGTGAGAGGYAGAAAAGGCCTTGACTTTACTGTGAGGCCAGCTTAACTAAAACTGTTATCAGCAGTTTCCAGCAYAAATCCKAAATGGAGCCCCATACAAGTTATTATGAAAGAAATTAACWATCCCAGCCAAAACCAGCACACTGAAACCTTTTCCAAGGTCAGGAAGCAGCTTGAGAGTTTGCAAACTTATGGGCAAATCTGGTCGCTTAACTAATGATAGCTTCTGAAGGGTGAGAGTGTTATTTCAGGTAGGTAAAAAGTCTTATCTCAAGAATTTATTGTTTCAATGGTAATTTTTGTGATTCAGTTATGTTTACTATAGGTTAAAAAAACTAAAATCAGTTCTCAGAGATAAAATGAAATACAGAGATTGTTGGTCGTGTTTTCTGGAGTACTTCATTGGAGGGAGATGGAAGTGTGTTGGAAGTTAGGAGTAAGGGGAGAAGAATCTCTTTTTCTTTGGATTATGTGACAGAAGACCTCTAACCTGCACTGAAACCACTCAGTAGAGCATGACTGCAGGATGGTGATTGCAGAGCATCTTTAGGTTTGTTTTGTTCCAATAAAACTGCAGCTGACATTTACATCCATCCTGTCTGTCTGTTGTTCATACACTTGCTAACTGTCCACCTGTTCAACACACCTTTGGCTGAAGAACAAGGATGGAAACTTTTTGTAATACTCAGTTCCAAGGCTGAAGTTTTATTGTGTTTTTTAAAAAAAAATTACTGAACTAAAATAGATTTCTCTYGTTACTACAATGGGCTTAAGTATCAGTTCATGATAATGAATATGTTATTTTAAAACAGTCCATGCATATAAAAAATAGAATAAAATCAAGGGGTAACGTACCATGTTATGTTTAGTTTTGTGTGCTACATATTTTGGTTTTTTTTTTTAATATTAAAGAAAAGCTTTCATAATTAATTAAAAACCAAAAATCTGCAGGTTAACCAGGCAGTTCCTTARCATCTCTTGCACATTCTGCTAGAGTCAGGCAAGCTGCTTTGAAGTTTGACTTCTGTAAGCAAAAAACTTAGATGCACTGGAAGCAAGTCACAAAGAATAGTTTTGATAGTTTGTGTTTTTATTGTTGAATCTAAGTAATTGGTGTTGTTGGGATTAAAAAGTTAGAAGTTCTTTAGAAATATTTAAATGTAACTCATGATGCAGTGCTGCTTCACAAGGATGAAAGGAATATTGCTCTATTTTCATCCTAGGGCTCATAATTTCTGAAATGGTTCTAGAGACCTGCAACATAATTTACCAGTAAAGAGTCATATGAACTTTTCATTATACATGAGGAGGGCATTTTATTATCAAAGGTGCCATTTRGCAATATAAACAAAGGTAAATAAATCAGAGACAATGGGAAACTTTTCAGAAAGCAACTGAAAAGTACTGCGTCACTTTGAACTCTAAACTCAAAAACTCTAAACTCACTAAAAGTTAATTCTGTGAAGAGACAAATCTTTGCTCAAGACTAGAGTACCTCAGATACACTAGTGTTACATCWGGAAATATTTGGGATCATTCACTTTTTGGAGAAAGTCACAAAGATATATATATATAAAAATAAAATTATCATAGTTACAATTCTTACATTTCTGAGACCACAAAATCTAGAGCCKAACTTTTGAAATGCATTTTTTGATTGAAATTGGTGTATTTTTAAAGAATTTTCTATTATTATGAGAATATTAGGATMATTTGTAGTTCATAGTTCTTGGGTGCAATACAGTTGACTAAATCAATGAACTACATTTAGCTGTGTAGATTTTGTCATTTTACACATCATTAATACAGTTGTGGTTTTTGTGTAGAGTAACTGTGAGCGCTATGTATGAAAGTTAATTAAAACTACTCTTTATGTTTGTTTTGGCATTTGATATACAGTRTCATGCATTCGCTTTGATATGTAAACGGCAGCTTAAAGATTTCATGTAAAGGAGAAAGGAAGCTTTTGAATTGCTAATCTTGGTGGCTAAACTGTGGTTGCCACATGTGTGTTGTAATAGATGATGGAACTGGGCTCACTGTGATAGTCTAACAGTTTGTGTAGTTAATATAAATATTTAGCATAAAGAAGACAGATTTTCTTAATAATTTAGTCTGCAGTTACAAGTGTTATTCCTTAGTCAATGACAAGAAAAAGCTGCCTTTTATTTCAGCTTTTTCRTGATTCATTTGTTATAAATATGCTCAATTTTTGGCTATGAGTATCTTTATTTTTGAGTTTATGAAATTTAGTTTTCATGTAAAAGTTTTAAAAAAAAATCTGCCCTCATGCTTCCCATTTGAATACTTCCTGAACTTAGACAATTGTCATCATCTTATTAGACAAAATAAAGGCACATTGAAATCCAGTCCTACACCAAGAGGTGTATTTTTTTATATAGTGTTCTTTTTTAGCTATTTAATAAAGGTTTTAATGGCAACTCTTTTGTGTTCACTTAAAGAACTAGAAAAATAGGTATGAGAATTTTAATTAGTTGACTAGATTAAAAGCAAATCATTTAGCATTGTGTTTTGTATGTATAGAATTGTCAGATACCTGTAGTTCAGGGTAGCCTTATAATATGAGTTTTGGATAATATGAGTTTTGGATAGGTAATAAATAGCCAATATCATTGAAATTTTGTGATGGAAGTTAATATTTTATATAATACAGATACACTTTYGTGTGTACATGCTCACAAGTGTGTGTTACAAGTTGTAGTCATTATCATATATATAAATATATGAGTTGGTAATTTCAGCTGTTTGTTACTGTGTAGTTYATCAATGCTTTGTGAAAGGATTTTGAAATAAGCTCACTTCAGTGTGAAGTAAGTTGTTTCCAAATTATTTCCAGGCACTGGAGACTTTGAAAATGTTTGAAAAAAAGGATAGCAGAGTAAAGAGTGCAGCTGCAACAAACCTTTCATTCCTTTATTATTTGGTAAGTGTTTACTTCAACAGAACCAGTTCAGAGCTGCAGTCTATGTAGCAACCTCTGTATTTTTGTAGTCATTTTTGTGTCTGCCTCAATCTCTGTAAACAAGAAGAAACTGCCTTAGAGTAGTTATTCTGGAACACCAGTTGAAGTTTGGATTGGGTCTTTTTGTATCCTGCTGATGGGAAGAAGAGTGAGATAGAGCCCCAGGCCACGGAARCATGCCTGAAGTTGGATTTGTGCAGAAGTTCGGGGCTGCATTTAAAACAGGACTCTGGGGACCCTGGCTGAACTTCAGGAACATGTGAAGTATGTAGCTTAGGCAGGTGTGTTTGTGTATGAAGTTTGTATGGATACAGATTTGTTTGTTTGTTTTTTAACTAAGTGCTACTTTATTACAACAAAAAAAACTTGCAGACTGAATGGGATAGAGTGGCAAGACATGTCTCAGATGTTATCTGAAACTTGGAAGAGATGATCTACCTTATGCAAAAACATAAAAAATACTTTAGGACTGAATAATGAGGTTGTTTTTCATCCTCAGTCTTCCAAAATTTCTGTAAGAAGCCATAGCTGCAAGAAAATTGACTGACAAATGATTAATACAATGTTTGTTTTGTCCRTGTAGGGGAATGAATTGGAACAAGCAACTAACTATGCAGATTTAGCTGTAAATTCTGATAGGTATAATCCAGCAGCTCTAACTAACAAAGGAAATACTGTTTTGGCAAATGGAGACCATGAAAAAGCAGCTGAATTTTATAAGGAAGCTCTCAGGAATGATTCCTTATGCACTGAAGCACTTTATAATCTTGGTAAGTCACAGGTGCTTTTGTGATTTAGTTTTTGTCTRAAGGTAACACTAGTGTTCCTGAGACTCTATCTTTGAAAGTTTTCTTGTAGAAATATGTGTGAATGATTATTACTTTATTAATATATGTTATAGCAAGGTATTAACTTATACTACCTGTCTGTTCTGCAAAAAAAAAATTCCCAGTGTTAACAATGTCAACTAGTAATTGCAGATGAATAAGTTTCTTTGAAGATTTATACTACCTACTAAAAGGATATCAGTTTTATCATTATTAAACCATCAGCGTCATTTTTCTCTAAAAGCCTTGCCTTTCTCTCATTTATCGTATTCAAAAAGTGAGATTGCATATGTTCTTGGTCTTTTTGATTGGGTTCACATTCCTTGYCTTTATCAGTTTGGTAGGTCATGATGGCTGGTAATAATTCTGGGCATAGCTCTCACAAATAGGCTCCTTTAAAGTCAAGGCAGTTATGCTGCGTCCAAATACTGTGTTCCTATTTTGCTTTTCTTGGTTATTCTTTCAGTTAATATGCTGAACTAATCTGTTTTTTCATCATATTAATACTGTAACCTTTATTTTTTAGGTTTAGTGTACAAGAAGTTAAACAAGATAGATGAAGCTTTGGATTGTTTTCTGAAACTCCATGCAATCCTTCCAAATAGTGCCCAAGTCCTTTACCAGATAGCAAGCATGTATCTTTTTCTGGATTATGATAAGGAATGGTGATTTTAGAAAATTCWTTTCATCTGAAATGCATTTTTCAATCATGATGGTGATTTAGAAATTTACTGTGGTGTACATTGTAGTAMGAATGGTTCATTACCTGATAGTTGTGAAAATGACACCAGAACTTAACCCTTTTTGAGTATTTCTGGTAGAGCAAGTGAAGAACATTAAGACTGTTCACACTGCAGGGATTAGATTTACACTCAATAATTAAATTGTGTTGTGGAATATTTAAAATGCTGCTGTCTTCATTATGAAAATGATGCAGCAGATGTAATCACACTTAAGTAAAATACTTAAGAAAAAAATTATATAGCTATTAAATGTGAAGTTCTGTTCTGAAATGTTTTCAGATTAGTGTATATGTAAGAAAATAATTGTCTCCCAGCACTGTTTTCAGATTAGTGTATATGTAAGAAAATAATTGTCTCCCAGCACAGCTAAAGCTCAACAGATTAAAAGCTGAGGGAAGGGATTGGCTTTGCACATCATCAGTGGTATTCCAAACTGAGAATTTCTTTAACCATGATTCTGAGGATGTCCAGACTGTAATAAAATCCTCCCCAAGACAGAACAGATTCCAGCTGTTGTACTACACTTTTAAGAATAGTGTAGGTAATAAAAATATATTTTAGTCAGTAAATTGAGTAACCTCCAAAAATACAAAAGGGCTCTGATTCCATGTATATCCCCTTTACAACAGCCTAAATGGCCCGAAACAACTCCAAATGTCTATCTGGGGAAGAGCTTCTCTGCCCCAGAGCTATGTAAACCTGCTTTCCACTGATTCTCAGAAGTTTCTCCCATGACAGGTAGGATGCAGCAGGARCTGCAAAAACAGGTTGGGCAGTAGCTCCAGCTGACACTGGAGAGCTTTGAGCCATTGTGCCACTTGGGGTTGACCGGGCAGGGAAGAGCACACGGCAGGCTGAGTTACAGCTAAAGCTGCCTCTGTTCGCTGGACCAGAATCTTCTGGGTCATGCTTCTTAGACATCCAGCAGAAAACCCTCTGCTGGCAAAAGTCTGTTCTTGGGAATAGCACTTTTACCTAATCACTTTAGAACAAATGCTGTTAGTATGAAAACTAGCCAGGTTGTAAAGGCTGCGAATAAATGGCCTGGTTCTCATGYTTCATTCTTATAAATGAGGAAGTCAAAGCAAAATTAGTGTCAGAGAGAAAAAGGACAACTGAGCCCAGAGTTCTGCTGAGCCCAGCGCGGTAATAAGGTGAAAGAACAGCCAAAGTCTCAGAATACTTTCCTTCTTCTTGCATAGCAAAAGTACTTTCTGATGCAAATAAAATTATGAAAACTAYGTGGAAAAAAAAGTCTTTGTATCTCCATGCTGCAGTGACTGGTATAGTGTTTCGGCATATGGATTGCATTAAGTAAAGTAGTAGGGATTCTGAATAAATCAAACTACCATCAATGTCCATCCTTGACTGAAGAAAACTCAGATATGAGATCATGGAAGATCCCAATCAAGCCATAGAGTGGCTTCTGCAGTTGATCAGTGTAGTGCCAACTGATCCACATGTACTTTCAAAGCTAGGGAATTTATATGATACTGAAGGTGATAAATCCCAAGCTTTTCATTATTACTGTGAGGTACTTGCTCTTATATTGCTTTTTCAATGCACTTTGTAATAAGTAAAGAAAATTTTGCCATAGGTTCCTACATCAAATCAACAATKAATTAATTTAAACTTTTTAATATGTCATCCAAAAAGAGGGAAAAAAGGAGATATTAGGGGAGAGCTAGCAAAATCTGATTTTTGTAGTCAGATCCTAAGGAAATACATAGCTTATGTTTCCATGTGAATATTTGCCTCAGACCTTCTTTTCTTTTTGTTTTAATGTGGTCATTGTTTACATTAACCTGAAATAATTTTAATTTAAAATACAGYCTGGGACAAAACAAAAATGAGATATAATAAATGTCATTTTAGAGGTGTGTAATGTGACTTAGTTGATTGGAAGTTGTGTCTGTATAATAGATATGGAGATACATATATAATGTGTTTTGTTTATGTTTGAAAGTTTATATAYGTATTGTAATAGTATAGCTATACATTATGTATACACAGTTGCCTAAATATAGGCAGCTTCTTTCATTTCAAACCAGCTGTACTACTGCTCAGAGTTTGTAGAAATTCTGCTGTGTTAGAAACAAGAATAACACAGGAAATGTGTGGTGCAATCTGAGGGCTCTCTTTATCTGGCAAAGTGAGGATGACCAAAGGCTATGTTGCAGTCTGAGTTACTAGTTGAGTTGTGCTTGATGATAATTGTGCTGCCTATTTCAGTGGGAATTTCTAAAAAGCTGAAGGTRTTATTCATGTACTTATGTATAAGAAAGAATGCTTTCGGGTGAGTGTTCCAGCAGACAGATASGAACGTGGAATTGTACACATATTAGTTAGCATTTTTTAATGTTTTAGGTAAGCTATTCATGTATAGACATGATTTAAGTGGTTTTGCTGTTGCAAGCTATTTTAAATAATATTTCATATAAGGCTAGATTGAAAATGGGACAGACTCATCTTGGGTAACTTCTAAAAAGTATTCTGCAATTAGAAAACTTGGCATGCCTTTTTTTTGCCCCCCACCAGGATCACTTAGTGTAGCACACTACTTCCATTCATTTATATTACATGTTTTGGGCATCTGGAGAATTAAACATTTGAGTAAGATATTCCAGAAGCAACATAAAGATGTTATTTATCACTAAAATTGTGTGTTTTTTCACCTTTCCTATTTTTCAGTCATACCGGTATTTCCCTTCAAACATTGAGGTCATTGAATGGCTTGGAGCRTATTACATTGACACCCAGTTCTGTGAAAAAGCCATTGAATACTTTGAAAGAGCAGCACTTATCCTGTAAGTAGTTATTTTTTTATGCCTACTCAGATTTCTGATTAGATATCCATTAGTATACCTAGAGATAAATAAGTTGGATAACTTTAATAGTATAAGTAAACACCAGGGTTAAGAATATTTGTGTTATTATTTAATTTCCTCAACTTTCTGTTAATTTACAGTGTGGTTTTGCTCTTACTGTGTATTTTCAGTGTTAAGTAATACCCTCCATWGGGCCAATACAGTCTTAGGCATTTGAACCTATTTTTTTCTATTACCTGCCATTAAACACAGCTGTGAAATGAGGAACAGTTCTACAAAGCCACCAAGACCTCTTTCTCTATGGTTTTATGTGATTATTTCCTTTYTATTGTTKTATTATGTGATRAGGATTTGGTGGTTTAGRTAAGTGCCTGTTTTAGCTGATCTTSCTGCATTTCCTCTTTTCACRTAAAYTTCTGCTTCCATCAAATAAAGCATRTAAKTAAGGAAAAATGTGCAGTGCAGAACTACCAGTGGTCAGTGAAAATAAATTGAGAGGTGGCCAGTGGTCAGTGAAAATAAATAAACTGATCCTGATAAAGGTGTTTGAAATACTGAGTTCAATTCTGCAGCTTAATAGCTGAAATTGTTCTTTAGCAGAGTATGATGCACTCAAGAAAGTATATAGGCCATATACTTTATTTTAGATCTGAAAGGAACCTTACTRGAGAATGGTTCATAAATAAAATCGGGCCAAATTTAAATTTATAATCCAGAGTTCAAAGAGAATTCTAAAAATACATGCATATGGTCTTTTTATGCGAAAACAAATATTTGTCTTCAGGTTCATGAAGAATTTCTGTTGATAGGCCAACTAAAATTCACTCCCATCAAGAGTCAATTTCTCCATTTTGTGTTTTAGGAAACCTGTGAAAAATTAGACTAAGCAAAACTCTTATTGCTTGTCTTGTGATGATCTAAAATTTGACATTCTTTTTGTTCTGGGAGTCTGAATGACATGTATGTACAAGACAACATGTAAACAACAAGTTTGTACAGTATAATTCAAGGAAAATCATACTGCAAATAGGTTGTAAAAAGTCCATTAAAAAAYCCTARTTCTGKTTTTGAGACGYGTGGGTTAGMRTAGRCATTAATTACAGAAGAGAAAATCTRATGTTTAATTAAGGATTAACAATTAAAACAAAAAATAGAAAAACATGTATACCAAATGGTGATATAATTATGAAGAAATAGAGAAATATATTAGACAAAAATACACAGGACATAGTTGACAGAAATCGCAGTTCACAGGTTTTTCAGTATTTTTTCCCTACAGATGCTGGGCACCTTAAAATATTTTATTTTAGTCAAGCTATGAGATTGATATGCTGGCATTCAGGRTCTTCTTAGAAAATTTGGAAAGAAACAGCTGAAACAAAAAAAGAATTATTTCATAATCTTGTTTTGGCAAAGATTTAAATATTTTGTGCTTCATGTCGCACTCATTCCATGCATGAASTATGTGGATTATAAAGTACTTGTGAGAAATTGGCATATGATATTCTTTAGTATTTCTTGTAATTGTAATCTATCTGTAATACAGAAAAATTGCTTCTCTGCGGGAGATATTTAGTAGTAGATATCAGCATAAATGTTTTGCCATTTATTTATTAATTAGTTATGCTAATTGGTAAATATGAATGTAAATATAAATTGCTACTGACTTTAAATAAAGTTGTATTTTAAAATTATGTGTTTTAACTGCATACAGCATTTTTTAGTTTAATTTTTTTTGTTTAGTGAATTCAGTGTTTTAATCACAGTAGCTACTTTTTAAATTGAATTCTAAGATAACATGTTAGATGATGAATTGGGAAACAGTTTTTTGCTATTTTATTTTTACCAGCATACTCAAATCTATCATTAATATAATGAGTTAKTGCAGTTAGCACTTGCTGCTGACAATTTATTCTCTCTAGAATTTTCATACTGAACTGTGTAGTAAGTTCTGTTATGGCGTGTGCTTGGCTGCCTTTGCAGGAGGCACATTCAGCTGAAACTAAAAAGGTGCAACATCTGTATTTCATGAACTTGCTTGGCAACTAGCAGGCAAACAGATTGCTTAGAGTTAAAAATGGCCTGTGCTATGCTTAGAGAGGAAAACTGAAGAGGTTAAGTACAAAACTATTCGGAAAATGTTACTTTAGAGTACCTTTTGGATATGCTGCTMTTCAATAGTAAGCCACAATTGTGGAAAGTGCGTTGGCTGTCAGAGGATCCTTACGCTGTTAATGTGAAAATTTCCTAATTTTCACATAATCTTGGTAAAAGGAAAAAGTCTGACAGTTTTATTGTACCAGCTCAAGCATTTCAAATGTTTTCTCTGACCATACTGTCACCATTATGTGCTAAAAAGAGAAGGACAGGCAGCAGCTAGGGCATCAAGGTGATAGCACAGAGGAGGAGCCAGAGTTCAAAGCTGTAAGTGGGGACTGTGCTCCTCAGAGCACAGTTTAGCATTATGCCCTCCCCCATTTCATGGTTCTGTATCTCTGACAGAGATTAGGGCTTTGCATGTCAGGTCTGTGAATTGTGTCTGGGCACAGAATCATGAGCCCGCGAAAAGCTATTAACATGGAGCTGAAAATGTGTGACATTGAGTCCTGGAAACAGGTGGTAAATTGTCTATGAGCTGAGCAGGCTACATTCTTTGAGGAAGGCAACATGCTAGATGAAAAACTTAGTAGTTAAATAGTAGGTCTTTACCAATGCTGTGCAGATTATTTTGCTCATTCATTGTTTGGCAGTGTGCATGATTGTATTTTATTTATATGCAGGCCAACACAAGTGAAGTGGCAGCTGATGGTTGCCAGTTGCTACAGGAGGAGTGGTAAGTTCTGTAACTTTTTTTTGTAATTGCTTGCCCGTTTATAACGTTTTTTTTGTAATTAGTTGGAGTTGTTCAGCCTGGAGGATAAGGAAAGGGGTTTCTAGGACAGATGGAGACAGACTGGAGTCTGCAGTKCCAGGTCATAGAGCAATGGTTTAAACTGAAAAAGGGTAGACTTACACTGGGCATAAGGGAGAMATTCTTTACTGAGATGGATGGTGAGGCAAKGGCAGAGGTTGCCCAGAGAAGCTGTAAGTGTGGATGCCCCATCCCTGGAGGTGTTCAGGGCATGCTTGGATGGGACTTGGAACAACCTAGTCTAGTGCAAGGTGTCCACGTCCATGGCAGGGGTGTTGGAACTTGATCTTCAAAAGTCTCTTCCAACTCAAATATTCCACAATCCTGTGATTTGTTTTATTTTGATTGATGTTTTGATTTTTTTTCTTCTTTTGATCTTTTCTGATTCATGTGAGTATTSGTTCTAAGTTTGTGTGAACATTCAGTTATGTGTTATTTTGTAATTAATTTTCTCTATATATGTTATAAAACATGAAGTTTCTTTTAAGTCCAGGAAGTATGCCTGCACTTATACATGAAACATTTCTTGTGCTGTTAAATAAAATAAATAGTACAACATAAATGATCTGATAGAAGAATTTTAAATGTAATTATACTACCAACTGATCTTACATAAGTAATTAGTTTTTCRAGTTGCTTAAATCCCTTTCTTTTTCAACAGCAGATATGTTTCTTTGATATTAAAATAGAATTTGTGTTACACAAACTGAAGAGTCTTAATTCCCAGTATTTTCTTACTGGGAATAAGTAAAATATGCTGATAAGCAGAATGAAAAGAGATTAATCTTTTTGGCATTTTTTTCACCACCTAAAATGCATTCAAGATATTTGATGATGTAAATGATACTCTTCTTTCTTGCTGYTCCATTTTGTCACTCTTCATTATGCTTGTTTAGGTCTTTGCAGAGCAGTCTTCCATAACAAATAAGTGCATTTTCTCACTCAGCTCAATACAACAGTTAGAAAAGGAACAGGACCTAGGGGAATCAGTGAATTAAGAACAGTCGGCACCACCCAAAACTAGACACATGAACTGTTTTCTTATCAAAGAAACACAGTGGGCTTGGCTGCTTTTTAGATTGTTTATAATTTACTGGTAAAATTTCCAGCTTACCATGTTAACATTTCTCAACAAACTTTTTTTGTCAAGTATGCTATGGATATGATGTTTTAAATTCATGGGTCAATCAGTCCTTCCCATARTCAGTCTGAGTCAGAATTGAAGGYGAAAGTCTTAAGGARTAATTGCTTTGCTACCAGATCCAAGCAAACGAGAGCCACACAATTTGTATTTTGAGGGGAGGAAGGATATTCTGAGCTCAGCTGTTATATATTTCCATTTAACCAATCCATTCATTTGCAGTCTCAGATAAATCCTGTTAGGCTCATGCATCTCCTCTAGAAGCTGTTTTGTAGAACAGTGGTGTCATAGAGGAAGGTCAAGAAAAAAGCAAAAATCAGGAAACTCCTCCTCATTAATTCTGTTATTTACAGAATAATTTGGTTTATTTTCAGATGCTCTTAATTTTTACAATCAATTAATAAATATGTTAAGTTTGGTCTTTCCAAATTGGGTCCCATAATATGAAATCATTTAGCTAAAAAGATGAATTGATGTTAAAGTTGTCCAATTTCTCATAAAATATTCATTTTATGTTTGAATATGTGGATAGGAGATGTTTGTTTTATTTGCAGGTAACTACCAGAAAGCACTGGAGAAATACAAAGTCATTCACAGAAAATTCCCAGAGAATGTTGAATGTAAGTTGTTTCATTCTGTGGTGTACCTGTCAAAGGAAAGTTTGTTACATTGAATAGGTGTGTTAGTAATCATATATTTTTCATMATATATATGAAAATACTTCCATTAACTATCATTTTTATTCATGCCAATGCTGCACATTTTCTCTGACAACTCTGAAGGGTGATCTAAGAAATATCAGGATAATGCTGAAGAAGTGCAATAAAAATAAACTTCAACTGAGTTACAGTGGTTTGAGTTCTTTCTCATACATGCATCCTAAATTTTATAACTGTCACTTATTTAATCTTTCTTATGAAAAAATATATGTATTTGTATACTTCTAGTTCTGCTAGTTGAAMCTCCTGCTGTAAATTTCTAGATCGAAGAAAATCTTGTTGCTGAGTTTTACCGAAGTCAGGGTTTCTAAAAAAAGCTGGAATTTTGTTGCTGGGTTTTTAACTAGTTGGTCAACCAGTCTCTGGAATATCCATAGAGTATTTCAAGCAAAACTATGGGAAACATAACTTTGAAGAGTAAGATATTTTGCAAAATCAGTCACACCTGCAACTCAAAATAAAAAAAGCCCTGTAGAAAATAAGGGTTGTCAGTCGTTGTGTAAACATTCTCTTTCATCCCACGCTGTGCCTCACAAATTCCAAAAAACAAGGTTGTCGCCAACCAGTCTACGCTTTCAGATGCAATGTGGGAAGAACATTAATTGTATTTTATTTTGAAATTGTATCACTCTCCTTTAACAGATGCATTGCTTTTTTAAAGAGGAATCACACAGCTCCCTTAGACAAGTGAAATTCAGWACTGTAACTCCTCAAAGTTATAAGCAAAATACCATGTTCATGTGGGTCACACATTTCAGAGGGGTATTTAGTAAACCTTTYAGAATGCAAATATGTTTCTGAATGTAGTTTCTACAAATTTCACAAATGGAGGCAGAGTTAGGCAAGACAGYTTAACTGATTGAAGTTTTCTACTGCTGAAACAATAGTTCTTCTTCATCCCTCCCTGATCATGGGCTCCCTAAACCAGCAGAGAACTAATTTAACACAAAATGAAATAACATGTTTGTGAAAGCAGTCAGGAGAGAATGGGTCATGTCCTGCTTGTTTCTGCTTCAGTTCTTTGAAAKGAATGTTGACAAACACATAGGAATACTGCCAATGTTTTTAGAGTTTGGTGGAGTATCTCAGGAGAATGTTTTTCAGGGGTTCTTTTGGCTTGACCCATACAGTTACTGGTGATTTTCATGTCAGCTTTATTGGGGGGTTTTAATTAAGTATTAGTCTTTAAAAAATCAACCAGAGGCAGGGGAAAAAAACATTTTGATTCACTTGGCATTKGCAAAATTGTTTTCAACAAAATTCTCTTGATAGCAGCTCCTCACTAGTATCTTAGTATCATTACTATGCTTTTCAGCTTCCAAAATAATTCACAAATGTCAAGAATTCTGCGCCAGATGAGTTAGTACGTCTTGTGCCTTCCACATGTATCAGTGTTACTTGTACTGTTTACGGATACACACACAGAGAAAACATTGAATTACTTGCAAAATATCACAATTATTTGYAAAATTTATATAGTGATACTGCACTGGAGTCACCTTGTTTGCACAGTTACTTGCACTGTTTTCCATTCTGCATGTCCAGTTCTGTCAGGGTGCACTTTTAGTTTGACCTGATTTTAAGTATTTTTTTAACAATGCTTTGATTTCCAATTAGGCCTCCGATTCTTAGTTCGTCTCTGCACAGACATGGGGCTGAAAGAAGTCCAGGAATATATAACAAAGCTCAAGAAAGCAGAAAAATTAAAAGAAATGAGAGAGCAGGTAAGTTTGTTTCTCTGGTACTATACAGTGTACCTACAGACATAGATTAAGCTAAAATAGTGTTGATGATACCTCAAGATGTGTTAACTTTCTGGTTTACAGAAGCTTGTGTTTTGGGAGGTTTAGTTTTAAATTACTGATCAGTCTTGCAGCTCTCTGAATAGTTTCTGAGAACCAGATTTTCTGTGATTTTTAAATGTTAGTGAAAGATGGACTATTGTGGACATGATGGGAATGCCGGAGCCATTCAATAATTCAATGTCTCTGGAATGTTGTCTTTCCTATGTACTTGCCAGATTTTATTTAATACTTTAGTGTATTTATGAGCCAAGTAATAATGCAACTATAGGGAGAGATGGGAAGTCKAAGAATTTGTTTATGTAGAAGAACTCCTTTTTGTTTTATACAAAACTGCAGCATTGACATAAAGGTAGAAGTAAACTATTCATGTGAGTGCCAATTTTTAAACTGGAAAAAAATTCCATGGAAAAATAACAGGCTGTGAAAGGTATGAGATCATAACTTGTGTTCTGTTCAGAAGAGTGAGCTCACGTTTGTGTGTGTGTGTGTGTGTGTGTGCACTTGTGCATTATTTTCTTGCTATTCTGGTGATAAAGTAAGATTTTAAAATTTAAAACAGCTGCTTGTTTGAAAAGCATTATCATTCTGTTGAGCTGCAAAGTATTCAAGCTTGCTTTGCCTATCTGGAGAATTACCTCAAAGCTGCATAGTCTCATTATGATACATTGTCTTAACTAATTTACTCTGCTCTTAATAACACTTATTGGTCCCTTTTGATGCCAGATGATGTGCACATGCATCCTTAGTTACTTCTACTTAAATTCCAGGGAGTCTGAGTATGCACATGAGCACTAGGAGATTTTAAAAATGAAATTTGCAAAGGGAAGCACTGACTGAAGGATTCCAGATTCATGCTACTACTATACCTTGAGGGGCTAGCTGAAGTGTATTTGTTTGGATTTTCAGTAAATGTACAATTTAAAGCACATGGGAAAATGGGCAAAAAAAAAGCAGTCCACAGCTGTAGTGGGATTAATATTTCTCCATGTCTCCTCATAATTGTATCAGTAAGCAAAACAGATGACCAGGTATAATGCTTCTAGTCTGCAAAATTCATAATTAAGAGATTCACTGAAGTGTGTTAAACAGGCTTTGCTTGGTTTCCAATCAATTCAATTTCAGTGATATACATAGTTCATTGCAGTAACTTTTAATACCTCAGTGCTTTACTTGAGAAAGCTCAAAAACAAAACCAGATCAAACTGGCTAATTGTATAAGATATTATTATATATTTATTATATGATAAAAGAGAGAGAGAGAGAGAGAGAGAGAGAGGTCCCTGGAGATAGAAAGGCTATTTCCTTGCATGTAATTCTGGTCTTTTTTTACACTGAAGGTGTTAATTGTAGCTGGGCAAATGTTCAGGATTTTAAAGATAACGCCTCATTTTCTTTAAGAAAGTTAATATTTGAATACAATTTAATAAAACCTAAAAATTGCCTTATCTTTCTGTTTATTTCTTATGGGAAGCAGGAGCTTTCCCAAACACATTTTTGTACTTCCTGGTGAGGAAAAAGCTACTGATAGACTATTTAAAAGTGTAAGTCATATAAGTAACTGAAGATTTTAGTAACAGAGAAATTACGTTTAAATCACAGGGTTTTTTTCATTTTGTCTTCATTGTGTTGAGGGAATTCATTAAGTCATACCTGAATGACAGAAGTATCAGTGGGATCCAGCACAAGACTCATGGTAGCACAGGTTACTGCATAGCTGGTTTAGACTGCTCAGACTTTAGTAGTGATGATAATTCAGCCATGATGTGGAAAGCTCACTCAGTGTCTTGCATTTCAGTGTTCCTGTTTGAGTGTGTTGACTCTAACCTGTCATAGCACTAATCTTGCAAAGCAGGATCATGGAATGGTTTCGGTTGGAACTGATCTTTAAAGAACATCTAATTTCAACTTCCTTGCCATGGGCAKGGACACCCTCCACTATCAGRTTGCTCAAAGCCCCATCAAACCTGACTTTGAACGTTTCCAGAAATGAGCATCCACAGCTTCTCTGGGCAACTTGTTCCAGTGTCCCACCATCCCCATCATATTTTTTTCTCTTTCTCCACTCTTTTTCAGTTTGAAGCCATTACTCCTTGTTTTGTCACCACAGGCCTTAGTTAAAACTCTRTCCTCATCTTTCTTGTAAAGGCCCCTTTAGGTATGGAAAGGCCACAACAAAATATCCCAGTCTTCTCCAGGCTAAACAACTTCAGCTCTCCAGCCTGTCTTCATTGGAGAACTGCTCCAGCCCTCTTTTCATCTTTATGGCCCTCTCCAAGAGGTCCATGTCCTTACATTGGATGTCCCAGAACTGGACACAGAACTCCATGTGAGGTCTCAGGAGAACAGAGTAGAGGGGTCAGAGCAGATCTGTCTAGAACAGATAAAGTGTCTGTGATGGCACTTTTAATTAGTYAAAGCTTTAGGGTAGATCTGCTAAAATATTTCCTCTAGTATATTACCAAGAAAAGAAAATGTTTTTAGTTCAGCCTTTTAATAAGCCTGATTGTATTGTAATTTAAACCAATTTTCATTTAAGCAGATAAAAATGAAATGCACTACGTTGAATAAACCCAAACAAACCCCGAACAAATACTCCTCTTGCCTTTGTGTCCCCTCAAAACCACCGGCAATAATAAAAATAAAACAGGTTTCTTGTCAACTCTGTCAACTTCATTCCTGGAGACAGGCCAGTGTTTCTAGCCTGATTAAGCTCTGAATGTCAGCAAAGTTCTGCCCCTGTCATTCCTAGTATACTCTCTTCAGAGTCTCTGAAGTCTGATGARTTGCTTTCTGCTCCTTGCAGCTCCTTGTCTTGGCAGGACATGCTCCCATCTCCCTCTTTTGGCTTTCTCTTCTGTCACACTTTCCAAGTTCCTCCCAAAGGAAAGAAACAACTTTTCTCCCCCCAAGGATCCCACTGACACAGTTTTCTTAAAAATGAACGCTTTTGTAGTTGGTAAAGGAACTAAGACTCTAAGAAAAGATGTTTCAGGGCACACTGTAGTTTAGTATGGGGCTGTCCTGCATTAGAAATGGAATATCTTTCTGTAACATCAGTGCTATCTTGCAAACAATATCCCTGCAGTTCCTTTTTTTTTTTTGCTATGGATGTTACATTTGGGTTCCCATCCTCTGGTTTTGGGTTTGGGAAGGTTTTTTTTCATTTGTTTCTTGGTTGGGGATGTGTGTGTGTGGTTTTTCAGTCTTCTCTCTACCATCTGGCTTTGGAAGTTACTAGAGGTTTTTTTTTTTTTTTCCTAATAAGTTCCTTCTGTCATCCATGACCATACAGTCATAAACTATAYTTTCTAGTTCTAAAATTAACAAATTTAATATTTCACCACCTAAATGTCCAATAGCAATACTGGTTTCAGTTAGCAGTACTAGTTACAGTTCAATTCCTGCTCCCAATTTCAGACTAACCCTTGATTTCCCAATTGCACCCATTAAAGACAAAATAGGTAAAATGCTAGTGTAGTATACCTGTGTCTGAAAGTCTGCACACAGACTTTGTCTTCCCATACAAGTTTTTCAAAGTTTTCTATTTGGCATTGTTTTTCCAGAATAAGTATATCCACATGGAGTTTATACCAAAATAAATATTCTGGAGTACTTATTTCCCTCAGTTCTCAAATATGGACAAGTTGTTAAATACTTCCAGCCAAGAATCTGGGAACATCTGTGGAGTTCATTCCCTGTAGAAATTTTTCTCCCTGTTTCTCACACATTCATTTTTTACTGCAACCTTCATATGCAGGAGCATTTGAAGGGGGAGGGGGACTGGGAGCGTTGGTTTGGTTTGATTTGGTTTTGTTTTTTACTGCATTAGTCTTACTTTTTAATGTTTCACTCTAAAAAAGACAGGTAATAGTGTAAAAGTTCACAGAGCCTCCTTGGCGCTGATGTGTACACACATTACTGTTTATTTCTGTTAAGTGAGCTTAATGACTGAGAACGGGCAATGGGGTGTGGTGTGAATCACTGATGAGAGGTGCAAATGCYRGAGGGGCCTTACTGCCTTTATCTTCCACATYCACATCTGGGCTAACCATCCTAAATGTCTTTTGCAGTCATGGGAGAAATAGGCATTTTTAGGGTGGAAACCCATTTTGAATGTCTGCTTTTAGTATGGGATTACTTATGAACTACTCACTTGGAATTTTACAGGAGTTAAGCATATGTTTAAGCTGTAGCTCTTACRTAATATTTTGGGAGGAAAGTAGTAGGATGTAAATGCCAAGATGGCACTATCACATAGGGACCACTTCCTTGGGCAGACAGAAGCTTCTGCTGTCAGACTTGCTGTCAGTCATTCAACAGCTGGCTAGTCTGGACAGGYTTCCTGAAGGACTGATATATGCTATTTCACTGGGCTGTGAAAAGGATATTTAATCCAAAATTCAGAGAACAGATTTTAGACTTGAGGATTTCCCAAAACAAATAAAACAGTGTGAGAAATTCTGGTCCCAGACTGAATTGCTCAAAGACCAGTCCTGGTTTCACACAAGGCTCCATGCTTTCCTGTCTGACTCCTGTGGGTTTTGATTTAACAGTTCTTCCTTTCTCTCTTGACCAGTCTTGAAAGTTCTTTCACTTCTTTGGTATCATTCCAACTTTGCCAGACACCATGATATTTTTCTGGTGAAAAATAAGTGAAGAAATTACAGTAATTGACCTGAAAACATGGTTAGGTTGTGTGCATGTGTGTTTTATCAGATCCTGAATTAATATTTTTAAATAAGATCCAGAGATACTTTAGTAATAGCTGAGTGATTTAAACATCAGTTTTTTGTACCTACCTTTAAAAAAGTCCCTCCCTGAGGTGTCCCTTCTTGTAATTGACAAGATGTATGCATAAGAAATTTGATGTTTTGCCAGAAGAGCTAAGTCTGCCATGTCGTACATAGGTATTGCTTTGATAAACTGTTAAAGTTTTCAAATAACACTCAAAAACACACAGCTGGGAGATGTTTATGGTACCTTTCCCTGTGCAAGAGGGCTGACTTTTTACATACAGCTTTTAAAGTATTTACCTTCACCTTTATCTTGCATTTAACACTCAACAGCAAATTAAATTTTGCTGTGAAGTACAGTGCTGTGCCAAGAATTTAGATTCTAAGATCCATAGGTGAATAGGTCTTTTTTTAGATTCCTCCACTTCTCCCTTTTGAGTCTTTACAATAATAAAATGCTTTTGGTATTTACAAGACGTTAATAGGCAGAGGCTACTTTGAACTCATGCAAGGAGGTCTCTGTTGCCTGTTTTTTCAGCTGTACTTTACAAAGGAGCAGCTGAGCTATTTTTATGCACATTCCTTGTATAAATGTTATCTGAACAAAAATAATTTATTGAGATATTCTATTTGAATTTCACAAACTCTTGTTTTATATAAACATTGGATTTAACCCTCATTTTAAGGACWATTTTGTGTGTTGAAAAACAAGCTTTAGTAAGTCTAATTTAACATTCTTCTAGTGTTTTATCAATAAGCTGAGTTGAATTTTCAATAGATATCTCTAATATATATTACTAAWTTTTTTTTGTTCTCTTCTTTTCAAACCTTTTCCACTGTTGCACAGCGCATTAAATCAGSCAAAGATGGCAATGCACGCAGCCGCAGAGAAGGAAGCGGTGGTAAGTAGTCAACGCCTCTGCTTAAATATCAGTTTTGAYAGGATCCTAAAGAAAGTAGATTTTCTGAAAGTGATTTTAAAGCCTCCTTTCATTCTGAAACACACACAAATATGCACTGAGTAATATGTAAGTACTTCACAAATTTTATTTCATTTTTTTTGATTGGAATATGAAACTKCAACCCATACAGTAGCATGGATTTGGTCTAACATTTTGTGTTTTATATACAGATCTTACTGTATTCCTAAAGCTAAATTTCCAACGGTTTTCAGCACTGTGGACTTGAATATTTTTATCCCATTAACTTAGTAGTTGAACATGTTTAACTTTGGAATATTTACTACAAGGAATCATTTATTATAACAAAAGAGAACACATAAGCCATGGAAAACAGGAATTCATTGTTTCTTTATTTAACATGAAAGAAAGAGAATTTTGTGCCCACTATATAATATACTATGTTAGGTGTTTGTTACAAGTGCAGAGATTGTTCTGCACAACCAGCCTTGTCATAAGGATAACACACCCTTAACTATCTTTGAGCTCCTCCTTCCCCTTTTCCCTTTATAGCAGAATTGAGGTACTGAAGTCTTCCCTAGAAGAAAGCTTCCTCTATGCCTACTCAGTCTGTCTAGTTCTATAGATTTACAGTGCTGATTTCCACAAGTATAAAACTTTTGCAGTGTAAGTCAGGAAACTGCTCTGTTTTATTTTGTCTTCTCTGCCCTAGGTAGCCTGCATATTGCAGAGCTAATGATTTTTCCCTCCCATTATTAAATCTATGAAATTAGTAATGTAAACCTAACAGTCCCCCACAGCTGCTCTAAGGAAACTCCCAGACTTCAGGCTTCTTCAGCCTTGTGGAAAACACAATTAATATTTAGACCCAAAAAGGAAATGGTTTCTWTGTATTTTGCTTTTGGTTTATCTTKATATCAGTGTGTTTCATTAGAAGATAWCTSATAYAAATTCTTSCCTCTCTTCCCTTCYTTTTATAGAGAAATAATTTATGATWTTTTTTTCTTATTTGGTAATTTTATTTCTCCACCTATGTAGCTGATATTTTATTACACTTACCACATTCTATAGGGCCATGAAAAGTCGTGGCAATTACCAGTGTGATCTGAAAATGACCTTAGAATGCTGTTACATTTATAGACTTTCCTGGATTCTCTAAGGGTTAAGAGTGAGTTTTAGGTCCCTGAGAGATATATTCTTTTTTCAGCTCAGTACTTCCACTAGAGAAGCTTTTAAATAATTTCTTGATGTGTGGAAGAAACAACCATTCAGGATTGAATTTTACCTGTTCTGGGCCTCAGGCCAAAGTAATTCTTTATTTAAGTAACAGAGAGGGATGGAAATGTTTCTGGGCTCTCCTTTGTTACTTAAACCCTGTGATCAGGCAGCCAGCTGGAGGTGCCAACAAAACCGCAGTGTGAGACAGGATCGATCCCTGTTCTCTGTCATAGAGGAATCCACTTTGGCATACAGCAAGTAGAAATGAAGAGCAGCATTGGTAGGAGACAAGGGTGTTTACAGTTGTGCAAAACTCTGCATCAGGTATGTAGGCAAATGGCACAAAGGGTCTCTTTTCTTCCAGCTCTAGTTTGAAATTATCCTGACCCTCATTAATGAAAAAAGGGTATGTTTCAGGAGGAAGTGAGTCAGTAATTTAGCAAAAGAAGATATTAATAAGGGTCATGCTGAAAGGATGCTAAGACAACATAAATCCGCCAAACTACCGGTTTTTCAATATTTCTTTAAAAGTATCTATGGAAAGTTGTCTTCTTTCTCCTTTTTTTTTTTTAATTTAAAAAGATAAGAAAGAGGATGAGAGGTTAAGCAGGCTCAGAATCGACCTAGAGTTTGCCTTATCATTAATTCTTAATTGTTGCACAAGATACTTTGTCAAATACATGAAAGAATGGAAAAAAACTGAGTTTGGAAACAAGTCTGTATAAGAGCATGTTTGAGAAGTCTCCATTATACAAATGCAGTGCCAAAGATCCAGCCTTCCTGGAAATGACTCGGCAAACAAGCAGAGGTATAAAGAAAGTCCTGTATTGAGCCCAGAGTTAACTTCCTGCTGGGATTCTTAATTAAAAGTTGTGGTGAGCTGTATTTATTTTTAGAATGAGTCAAAGGTGCTGGGCACATTTTATCTGGTAATGTTGACTCTGGAGAGCTTTATCTATGAAGAAACTGGACACTCACAGCATCAGATACATGTAATTTGTCCACATCGTACTGAGGATAAGAGAAAYCTGAAGACCCATTTTATTTTGTCCAATGCTTGGCATTATTCACCTGGTTAAGTGAGTTTAACCTGGGTTATGAKCTGTAATCTGCAGTTTAATAAATTTATTCATTCCTGTGTGAAGACACATGAAATATAAACATGGGTTATTTTATTTCATAATATTATTATGCTTTTGATAAATTCATGRCTTCAAAAGGAGGGGGGAAGAAAAAGAAAAATTTGTATACATTTTAAGGTTAGTCTTTTCTAGTGGTGTTGCMAAGACCAAAAGGGGTCATTTTCCTACACTGTATGAGGGATTTGCCATCATTACTRAGCCCGGTGAAGCGTGGAGTCCTCCTTAGTTTAGTACTTACTAGCTAAATTAAAGTACTTCCTAGCTAACTGAAGTCTGTATGCCAAAATATTCCAAATATTTTAGGTATGATGTCTGTTTTATTTCTTTTCTCTGACCACTCACTGTCCCCATACCTGCTAGCATTCCTAATAGATCTTTTTTGGACCCAAGTATTTTGTCCCTATATAGTTATTTATATTAAGATTATTAATAATTCAGGTTCCTTGTTTTAGGAAATATGATTTAAAATTACTTTTAAAAAGGAAGTTAAGAAGAAAGAGAACTAAACCAACAAGCTTTGTGCTTCATAGGACATCCAGTACTTTGCCAATATAAATTAAAACTGAAGGTGTATGAGATACACCAAAGCACATTTTCAGCAATATGATTGATGTGTGCATAAATGGTAGACAAAATAGAAACAGAATGACCAAGAAAACTGACATCTATATCAATGCCAGTTAAAGTCTGCTCTTGTCTTGTGAAAAAGATACTCATTAAAATTAAAATGCCTGCCCAAAATTGAACACACTGTCACTCAGTATAAAAAGTAAAATTTTCTTCTCTCCASAATTACCAGTTTTATGATATTCTATCTTACTTGGGTTATGTTGGAAGCAAATGACATTGATATAATACTCTTAAAATTATTCTTATTAATTTAAGTAAGGAGAAAAAAACAACAAAACCACAACACCACAAAACTTGAAGGGAGCTAACGCTACATCTAAATTTAGGCAGTTCTCACAGATTTGCTTTCCAATAATATCTTTTTGTTTTTATACTTAATTTTTTGTGTTTTGAAAATATATGYTTGTAACACTCAGAACTTAGAAGTTGGTGCACTGTGGTTTTTAACTACCTTAAGAGATTTTTCCTGTTTAATAGCATAATGCCTTTATATGTGTAGATAATGCAAAGTATGACGTTAAGGAGTACATTCCCATGGCCGTGTTTACTCAGTCTTTGCATTTGTCCAGCTCTCTGAATGGGGAGTTTTGTGCTGRATGAGAGGATCCATGCAGTCTCGGACAGGAGCCCAAAGAAGCAGTGTTGAATTCAGAAGATGAAAGGCTGACTACTTTGCATTCTCCTGGTTACCTAAGCCTGACAGGATGAATATGGAAAATAAACCGCATGGGAATAATTTAGGTGTCTATTCCCTTTTTCATTTCACTGGTGACTGTGTCAGTTTGTCCATCCCCAGAAAATTTCCCATATTCAAACACCCTTTATCATCCCATAGGGATCTCCTCATATATTATGGAAGTATGTTGTAGATGTTAGAGCTGCAGGCATCCCAGATAATCCTGACTCTGACAGAGACAAGAGATTTTCTTGTTATCCTGCAGCCAGGACATCATAGTCATTTATATTTTCTAGGCTTTGTGTGCCTAATGATGCCTCATTATTACAAATCATTGTGGGATGGTTCTGTTGGCTGGGTGTGCAAAATAGAAAAAAGTTTTCTTAATTAACGGAGAAAGGAAAATCTGTAGAAGTGAAGAGAACATCTGAATCTGTTTTCTGCTCTGAACTCACCTAAGRAGTTAGCTGAACTGACACACCACACAGTTCTCATTCAACAGAATTTCAAATCAAAATGAACAGCAACAAAGTTACAAATTGCATCTACTTCTCAAGCTGTTTCATAGTATTAATATAATATTCTGCCCTCTACACTGGACTCACTCATCTCTTTGGTCAAACCAATGCCCATTCTTCTCCATGGTGGTGTCTGCATCTCAAATACGAAAGATACACAAAGGTGCATTTAAAACACATTCTGGATTTAGTAGAGCGTTACCCTCTGTGTACTTGGTTACATAAACATTTTACTGAGGAGGTAGATTACCAAACAGTCTTACCCTTTGGTGTCTTTCTTTGATGAGTAAAATAGTACTAAAAACTAATTTACRTCCTTTGTGATACTGGAAGAATTACCAATGCAGTAGTCTCATCACTGTAATTGCAACTAGTTAGATTCCTCTAAAAGACAAATGCAATGGATTTTATGGGTTKAAGTGCACATAGGTATCATGTGACATAGGAAGTAGAGAAACACAAAAAGACTGAGAATCTTTTTTGCTAGACATCACTACTTAAAATAGGACTATTACAAAATAGGATTACTTTTGCAGTATGTTGCATTATTCACTGTTCTGCTATATAAAATTAGCTATTTTTTAAAATTAGGTTTTACACTTTGATTCTTTTTAATTCCCGTCCAAATTCTATGTGAAGGAATTAGTTCAAATTAGTTTTTGTAAGATACTGAACAAATCTAAATTAGTGAAACAATTCGAATAGAATAATTTAAATATCCTAAATATAATAGCATGGCCATGACTTTTAAACAGATGAGAGGAAGGAATGCACTGTAAAAGATAATCAGCATGCAGAGTATTATTTATGTCTTTGTGTGCATAGTGCTTAGTTAAAGCTGTTGAACACAGACTGTGAGGGGAAGGTAATGTCAGCATGATAATCCAAGTCTCAAGTGTAATCATTTTACAGAGTAAATGTGTTTATAAATCCGATTTTAAAAATACATTCACCAGCTCTGTTTAGTCAGTTCCTGTTGCTTTTTCAACTGAAGTCTGGAGCTTTATTCCTGTAGTCAGTTCATGTGAATTTGACCAAATTGTCACCCTAAAGTGAGTACAGTGGGACTGGCTTCCACATGAACTACACTAATAACTTATTTAGTAAAAACCCAATAAAGAGTGGGTATTCATTGCACTGAAGGTTTCCTTAGCTACAGAGAGCAATTTAGTGCAGCAGTGGTCTTCCRTTGTTCAAAAGCTGCCTTGAATTAGGAGCAGGTGTTTGTACACTTAATAGAATAATAGAGAGAGAATTAATTTGCAGTTTCAGAAGTATTTACCTGTAGTCCTGTGATTGTAGGTACAATCAGATGTTAATACTCAAAKGTGTGCTTTTAATAGAGAAAAACTATGAATAAAGCTTTTCATCCAGAATTTTTATTATTATCCTTTGTCCAAATGTTAGCTTTCTTTTCTTTGGTGTGCTACTTTAGTGAAAGTTAGTTTCCTTTCCATAATTCAAAAGCTGAAATATATATAAAATCTTTTTCCTAGATGGGGTGAGAGCAGCAGGGAATGGTGAGTAGAAATTGTAAAACTTGCTTCCCAAAAGTATGCATGTTTGTGATAAAATGCTTTAAAAACAACTCCTTCCCTGAAGTTCTCTTTAYTGTCAGATACCAAAATCCTGAAATCTACATTGCAAGCTTATATTCCTAAACATTGCCAAATTATGTGTGAATGTGTACTGAATAAAAACATACAGATGATTCATCTRCAAACAGAACTACAAAAAGCAATTTCAAGATGGGATTTAGACTTCTGGCAGATCATGTTATATGGTCAACAGAATTTTTAATAGCTGCCATATTGGCAGCCAAATCCTGTATCCCATGGCTSAGTGTCAAGAAAACCTTACCCCAAATGGCTCAACAGCTAGGACATTCCTTCTGAAAACTGGAGCTGTGGGTTTGAACTCCCTCAGGTGAAGGAARGTGTTGAAGCCAGACCTCTCGTTTCCTGAGCTGCTGTCTGACATCTCCATGTAATGCAGATGGTGTCAAGCACCTCTTACTTTCCTCTGGATGCACTTTAAAATGAAAGGTGGTCACCTTCCAGGTTTTAGGTATGCTCAGAGCACACTGCAGTCCATAGAGACTTGATGTGGTTTTGCATGTTAGCCCAATTTAAACTAAATGTGAGGAGCTAACCAGATCAGTTAACCTTTCCTTCATTCTTGCTAGATATAAGGGTCATATAGAAAAAGGTGAGCTGTGTAACTTTGCTGACCTACCTGAGAGAAAGTTTTTATTAAGTTAGTTTTAAATGTACCAGGAGCCTGTTCCAGCACAGCCTGCTACAGTTGCACAGCGTGTGGAGGGGGATATGACACAGAGCAAMAAGGGCAGGCTGCTCCTTTCTGTGGTGAGGCAGGGTTAGATTGGTAGGTTCAGAGTAAATGAAAGGGCTTCAAATTTTGGACTCACTGCATCATTCCCTTCTTGGATGTAGCCCTAATAAAACATAAGAGTCCTAGAACATCCAAGGAAGCCTCTGTTTTCAACTGTTTTTTTTTTTTTTTTAGGGCACTAAGAGGGCAGGTAACTAGTGGGTGTTATGTTGATCCCACCCAAACTGGTTTGCCTACCATCCTTTTATTCCTTATTTCTGTTAATATAAAGCCTTTCACCTTACTCTAGTAGTATCACTAAAACCTGTGTGTTTTTCTCCTTTACAACTGAAAACATTTGGTATGCCATCTTCCTCCTCTTTCATTGCATCCAGTTCTTCCTTTCTGGSACCAACCAATTAATTTAACCTGTGGCATTTCTTTGACCAGCTCAGTCTTGCCCTAGTGTAGTTTGCTGTATTGTTCCTGTCTTTGCATCTCTTATTGCTCCTTACAACTTTATTTATAATCTTGGGAATTACTTGTTTTCCATTAGACTGTGCCTACTTCAATCCTACTCTTTTTCTCACTGATTATTTTGTATTTGCCTGAAAACATTTTCATCCACACCATCTTTGAAGCCCAACGTTCTCCTCCTTGTTGCACTGTCCAGAGCCCACTGAAATCAAGGGGAGGTGCTTTTGCAATTTCACAGCTCTTTGGTTGAGTTGCTCCCCAGGCAAACCCAATGTTTTCTCTAATAAGTATTCACTTCTTTCATGAAACCTATCAGTGAGAATTGGYCCAAGGGAGGTGGATATGCATTAAAATATGTTTTCCTTGCTTTGAAATTTSAACGGTAATCTGTATCTTATGAACTTATTAACTGTTGACATCTGACTCTATGTATTAGATCTTTCTTAGGGCAGAGATGTTGTCTTCCAGTTTAGGGCTGGGCAAATGGAAGTTGCAGTAGTATTTGCAGAGAAATAAAAATTTGTCATTTTTGTAAAAGTTGGGGGGGCAGTGTCTTTTAATTATAACAATATTTATTAAAATTTGTAGTAAGACAATGGAAATGTGTTGCAAAGTACAGACTTTGTAATTCACGTTTGCTGAAAGAAACCCATTTTTCCTCCTTACTGGAAGGAGGAAAACTTTTAATAGATGGAATACTTTTAATAAGATGGAAGACTTTTAATACCCACATTGTTTGGTGTTGTAAATGAACRTGTCTCTTATTTGGCTGCATGTCCTGCCTTGTCAATATACCAAGTCAAACTCAAAATGTTTTCTCCTAGGAAAAAAATATTGCATAAAAATTTGTTGTAGCAGATGAAATTGAAAGCTTGCCAYGAATGTGAAAAAGAGATTCAGAGGTGAACAGAATATTTAAAGTGTCTGGAATACTGCTGTGGCAAGAGAATGTTAATCTGATGTTGTCTGGGCAGGAGGCAGCCCTTGGAGCCTACACATTCCTTGGGGCCCTGCTGCAAACCGAGCTGCCAGCRCAGTGTTTACAGTGAGATGCAGGGCCAGGATGGTCTGTACACATGAACTGTSCCTGCCTGCCACGCAGACAGCACATGTCCAAGATACTCTTCTAATTAAAAGCAAAGTCAGTGTTGTATTTAACCTTGAAAGGATTGAGCAGGTGGATCATACTGATATATTAGTAAGCACACAAACATAGGAAATGTCCCATATACATTGTGACAGTGTTTAAATTTATCATGCTTATTTTAACTCCAAAATGTGACTGTAATTTATAAGCAAGTGAAATGTCAGCATTCAAACCYGAAATATTTTAATGTGTTTACTCCAAAGTAATAAGGCTGTATATTTTTTTAAAAAATATTAACAGACACATATGTGGACACAGTGTCCWCTGTGTTTTAAAGATCACTATTACAAGTGAGTACTGTATCTGTCATGAAAAGAGGGTTTTATCCAAATCTAGTTTGACAGATAGTAGTAGCCAAATTTATGTTGTTCTTGTATCATGGTTTCATAGAACATAACAGCATGTTACTTGTCTTTTTTTTTTTCTGTTCCCCAGATAGTGGTGGTACCAAAGGGGAAAGACTGAGTGCCAAACTAAGAACTCTGCCTGGAACAAATGAACCGTATGAAAGTAGCAGCAATAAAGAAATAGGCAAGTGGACATCTTATACGTTTTTTACTTTCATGGTCATTAGAGAAAGGAGAAATAAGGAGAGAGGGAAAAAAAAAAGTTATTGGAAGAGTATGTAAGATTAGATAATTGGGGAAGCATTTTCCTCATAAAAATGGGGCTTTAGCTTCATTGTTCAGAGCTCACGATAAAGTAATTGTAAATACTAAGAAATGTGGTCCATGATACTATTACTTTCAATATCTGCTGCATCTTTTAAGTCAGTTCTTACTATTCTGGAATCACAAGTTCTTCAATAAGGTTGAATTTTCAGAGGGGTTTAAAACCCCCCCTGAAATCCATGTGGAAAGTGGTACTTCCTAAAAAGCCATTCCTTAAACAAGTCATCAATCTTGCTGTTCCCCTGCACTTTTCCAAAGTCTTTTTCTCACTGTAATATAATAAGAAATTTTTTAAATTATTTTTGAAAAGAGGCTTCTATCAGTAGAACTCAGGAACTTTACTCTTGTGCCCTGGCTCAGTTCCTAAATGCAGTATTTTGTTCTCCTTCAGTGTTCATATGCTCTTTCTGGTCTACATTTCAAAGACACAGATGTGTAGTGCTAAATCCTAGACTTGTCTTCGATTTTGTATGTTTRAAACAAGCTAAAGTTAAAGCTAAAATAGATTGTAACTGTTTCACATGTATTTATTTAAACTCTAGATGCCTCCTACGCAGATCCACTTGGCTCACAACCAGAAAGACCAAAAACAGCAGCAAGAAAAAGAATGGAGGAAGATGAATTTGCTGATGAAGAACTAGGAGAGGATCTGCTTCCAGAATAGCATATGGGCTACTCATCATTTTTTTAATAGTTGTAAAAGTTTTAGCTGAAAAGAATTTTCATTCATGATGTTTTTGTAGTGGATTTTTAGAACCTATTTGTGAAATATCTTGAACACRTGGTACCTTATATTAAAAACATGGATTTGTAATTGCAGTGTCTTCTGTAATTCATTTAAAAAACAATGGTGAAGTTATGCTACTCTTGCATAAGATCTACACAGGTACTCAAACACATTGCAAGCTGTATCAAATGTGTAAAGCTTTTGTTTTCAGAGWCAAATACAATGATAATATGAAACAGAGAAGCCTCTAAAATTTCATCTTTCAATGCAAAATACCTCAAAGCAATGCRTGTAAGGTTGAAAATCCCATGTCGTTCATCCAACACTAGAATTTATTTAAGGCTTCTGAGTGGACTTTCTGAAAATATTGGGTAGGACCTTGGTCTTCTTAAGRTCCCAATTCAGCAAATCACTTAGCATTGTTACCAAAGAAAGTGTCTTAATTTTAGTCTATGCTTAGATGAACTAGGAMCATTTTGCAGTCTCCTGGCAACGTCCTTATTTTTGCTTTTGTATTTTGAGGGGTCAGAGTTTTCAGGATTTCAGCTTGGTTTGTTCAGAATTACTAATTAGATTGCAGCTTTTGAGTCTTATTGTGGCACCGACCACACAGTGGTAGTTTTCTACAGCCTAAGTTGAGCGTGGATAAAGAAGTTAGGTACAGAAATCATCATTTTGCTTATGAACTGAACAGGTTTGAGCTGAAGTTACTGAGACATGTTAAATTCCTGTAGTACRAATCACTTTAGAGAGATGAAAAATATTAGTCAGATGTTCAGAATTTCCTAATAATTACTTGCAAAACTAGTCCACTGAGATGGCTTGGTTTTGGAACACTGGCWTGAGTTTGGTTTAATAGTTAGACTTTGGTTATTGCTCTTTGAAATGCAAGGATTCAGTCTTCTAAAATTTTAAATGTTCCTTCTCAGTGTTGGTGCTCAGACTGTTTCCCAACCAGTGACACTGGAAACATCTCTTCATAACTTCATGAAMTGTTTTTCCAGGTTTTAAAAATATCTACCCAGTTTCATAGGATGTCTGGAAGCGGTCAGAAAAGTCCTGTGGGGTTTATGGCACAGCTAATGAGCTGCTTGGTGTGTAAGATGCTTCCCAAGGCCCTGGAGCAGWGCTCCATCTGGGATTGTACCATTTCCACCTGATTGTACGAGCACAGGTTTATCCCGAGGGGCTCACCAAAGAAGGACACAGTAAGGTCTGGGGCCTGATCCTTCTAGGGGATGGCAAACAGCATGAGAAGGAAGTGSATGGCACCTGCTTTGTTTCTGCAAGTCTTGCCTGTTCCTCAGTCCTGCTRTATGTACTGCTCTGTCATAGAATGATGTATCCCTGGATGTCATTCCTGGTCGGTCTTTCTGTCAGGCTTAATCTTGGAAGACCTAGACCACCAGGATGCCAGGCAGGAGGGAGCATTTTCAGCTACAGACTGTGGTGGCATGAGGTATCTGACAATCACAGTGAGAAAAGATATTTGGGAACATGGCAGGGAGCGTTGATAAACCTGTGAAACAATRCAGAAGAGAAGGCAGGCAGGACTGTCATGGTCTTTTAACACAAAGACATTTGAATCGACTGTAGTGGGTTGAGCCTGACTGGATGTCTGGCACCCACTGAAGCCTCTCTATCATTCTCTGCAGCTGGGCAAGGGAGAGAAAATACAACAAAGGGTTCATGGGTTGAGATGAGGATCAGGAGAGATCACTCACCAAATACCATCATGGGCAAAATGGGCTCAAATTAGAGATATGAAGTGAATTACATGTCCATGATAAAGTGGTATGAAGTACCATTAACTAAGGATACAGAGTTCACAGCTTGGTCTGTAAAAACACTCCCATGGACATCAGAGAGATTTTGATCAGCAGCAGTTTCTTGGTTTGGTTTGCCCAGATGTCTGACTGCACATTGTGTAAAATTCTGTGGATTACAAACAATTGCACTTTCATTCCAGCCCTGCACAAACTCCCAGGGACTTCTGGAACATGCTGTTTCCTATAGCRTGAGGATCTGATTATATAATGCTCTGAGTTATGATGTATTTGCATGTTATTTAGCAAGCACAGTTCAGCTTGTTCTGAACTGAYAGAAAGCCATGTGATCCAGCTCCAGCACCGTAACAATGAGTCCTGCTGACAGTTGAAATGATTTAGCACAGGTTCATCTACTTTGAAGCCACGTTCACTATGGCTGCATCTCTACTAGAACTGCGAGGTTGCCAAGGCAAGCCCAGAGCAGAGGAGGGGATGTGTAACCAGCTGTTCTGTAACACTGGCAGCACGGCAGTGCACAGTAGCACAGTTTTGGACCATGACAATTCATCTCCCAGATAATTGCCTGGCATGATCCTAAGGTGAGCCTGGGCCAGGAACCGTTCTTTGGAAGCACCTTCAGTGCATCATCCTYCTTCTTTGGTGCAAGATGTTCTGTGTGAGGGAACAGAAGACTCAAGGTCTGCACTCAAGGCTGGAGAGTAATCCCTGATGGATGTGAATACAACTGGAATTTGTTGAGAAAGAGCTGCATGGATGTCCAGAGTGCTGTGTCACCATGTTGTTGGAAGGCCTCAGGCTGTTGGGTAGAGAACACCACTGCATGATTTGTTGGAAAAGCAGCAGTATTAAACCTAGGAAAATGCTGATTCCCTTGAGAAACTGACTGATGAGGTACTTTAGCTTCTATTGTCGTGAAAAGATGAACTATACAGTATTAAAAAATCCTCAGTTGACCTCTTAGACTTGAGAGCTTCCCCAGGATACAAAGTTACGTATGTAACTTTCTCTTTACGTGTATGAAAAACATCTCTTTTTACAGTGGCCAAATGATAGAAATAGTAGGAATGATTACTTGAGTCGTATTTTATCTCTGAACAAGCCAAGCATTACAGCATCAAAGCATCCTTAACCGCATATTTCATATTTTTCTCTGAAGACCCTTCACTACAAATTAGATGACTCATTACTTTTAAAGCAAAGCTATTGTAGAGTGAAATAGGAATTGAAAATTGTACTAACATACAAGGTTCATAGAATTCATAGAATGGTTGGGGTTGGAAGAGACCTTAAAGATTATCTAATTCCAGCACTCCTGTTGTGGGCAGGAACACTTTCCACAAGACCTTCAAAGTTTCTTCAAGCCACATCCAACCTGGCCTTGAACACTTCCAGGGATGGGGCATCCTAAATCTCCCTGGGAAACCAGTCTGTCTTCCCTGGAGAGATGCTGTAGCCTTTGGTCATCTTTGTGGTCTCCTCTGGACTTCTCCAACAGGTYCATGTCCTTCCTTCTGGAGTTTTGGGACCCCAGATCTGGATGCAGCACTGTGGGTAGAGTCTCAGCAGAGCAGAGCAGAGGGGCAAAGTCCCCTCCCTGCCCTGTTGCCTGCACTGCTTTGGATGCAGCCCAGGACAYATTTGGCTTTCTGGGCTGTGAATGCACATGGCTGGGTCATGTTCTGCTTATTTCAACCAACACCACCCAGACCTTCCTTCTCCTCAGGGTCATTCTCCACCCATTCTCTACCCTGTATTTGTGCCTGGGATTGCCAATAAACAATTTTATGATAAAGGTTCTCTTTGTTTCTTKGCAAGTGTAGTGTGAAATCATAAGAAATTAAGCTAATTTGCTGCTCTTTGATTATTCTTAATGTCAAGGACACGGATGCTCAACTTTATGGTGAAAAGTCCATTTTTAGCCTGTTTTCTCCTCAGTTCCCACCTTTGCAAAATGAAGTCCTTTAAAGATTCTCCATTTCTCAAGAATTYRCTTTTGCAAAGCTAAATTGCCTAACAACTGTAAAATATTCTGAGATTCTTGCTGTAGAAGGTGTTATGCCGTGGAGCTTCCAAGTGGTATTACAATGCTTACAGCTGCAGGGAAGATGAACAGGAACAGAACAGTTTGGGTGATGGGTTATCTGCAAACAGAAGGTGAGGGAGAAGGATATCTTTGGGGAGTAATTTAGTTCTCTCTCTGAAGATTCATACCTGGTGGTATGAATGTCAGTTGAATCTTCATTCCACCCAAAAATATGAGTTGTTCAACTCGTGAAGTTCTGTATAATGATTTTTAAAACACTTTTCACATCATTATTTCAGATATAGAGAGGATCTCATTAATGCTGTAATGGGATGGAATAAGCATTTGAGTTTAGGTCAATTCTGCCACTGCTGTGACAAGAGCATTACTGTGGTACCACTAATAATGCTTTGTCACAGAAATGTGATTTATTTATTTGTGAACCACAGTATCTGAAACCAGCTGTCATGCCAGAGCAGCTATGAAGAYAACAATCCCAACCAAGAAAACATCCTGACAATGCTGCTCGTTTGGRATTAATGTGTCTGGGAAGGGCTACATTTTTACATCCACTGTCAGGTTTTCATGATTATTCAAATGGTTCTGAATTTTTTTTCCAAATTATCTTAATGATCTGATGATAATGTATTTGAATAGGATTTTTTTCTCCTTCTGTGACACATATTTCTCCAGCTTTGGCAACAACATAAGGTTGAAGACACAAACCTGGCGTGTTCTTTGTTAAAAGTGTTTCAGTGTTTAACATTGCATGAAATGCTCTCTGATGGAATCAGATGCAGAAGATGTTTCTTTTTATTTATATGAAGTCACTAAAAATGTCTGCCCTATTCTTTCACAGCTTGGTTTTCTTTTGAACATCCTGACTTTCTCATACCAGACATTTGTGGAACTGAACTGATTAGCTGGCACTGATCACTGTGGTGATAGTCTCAGGAGAGAGGCAGAAGCCACTTCCAAGTATAAATGTTGAATAGCAATCCCCAGAAAGAACATTTAGAATATTATGTAAAAGTGAAAGACATACTTCTGAATTCATTGATTGAAGTATCATATATTACATCAAATTCAGAATAAATTTTGTATTACTAATTTTTTTTCAATATTTCATTTGTATAGATACTTTAAATCCCCATAAAATTCTAAGAAAAATATAAATTAACACCAATGGTGAGGACACTGGTTAGTGATTTCTTAAAGTTGGAAGAACCTAAGCTCCCAAAGTGTATCAGTGGATATTTTTTTTATGACTCAGAGGTCTCTGAGGTAGACTGTGCCACAAGAACTGGCATAKCACTCTTAGTTCTGTGTAATGGAATCTCGTTTGCTGCCTTTCTGTGGTTCTTATTGTTTCAATCAATGAGATTTTCCATAAGGAAAATACAAGGCAACTAATATACAGAATCAGAATATTGCCTATATAAGACACAAAGCCTTAAATCTTATGGCAYTTTAATGCCTATATCTGCTCTGATTTTTTTAGGCAGATGTCTCCCAGAAATGTCGATGCATATAAAGGAACCCATGTTTTGTAAAGCCAAGTGTGACATCCTCACGCAACTCAGAAATCAGAAATTTCTCAATATCTGGTTTCTCTTAGCAARAGTAATATAAAAAGATCTGCCATGATAAATATTTGCCATGTTGCCCCACATASCACTTGAAGGTGGTGAAGAAACATGAGGCTGGTGCATGGTCAGGRGTCAGACTGGTCTGGGCTAAATAGACAGACACCTTGTCCCAGTCTGTCACCTGAGGATACAACTGCAAAGGGGAGTTTTGAATTCAGTTTAAAACTGTCCTCCCTCAGAGCTGAAACCTGACTCAAACCCCACACAGATAAAAGTTAATATACTGCTAGTAAATCATACTGACCTGTGATGCATATTGTATCAAAACCTGAAAATGGTTAGACTTCACTCTATGACTTTCCAGAAACCATAAAATCAAGTCACTTCGTCACATTATGAATGCCAGGCCATTCTGCTTCAATTCCAGCCTACTTGGTGAAGTTCATGTCTTATATTTCTGTGGTACCAAACTGGTGTTTCTCAATCCTTGCATGATTTATGATCCTATTTTCCACTACCCTTATTAGTAGTTTTGTAGTTAACTATCCTTATCCTAAATGCCTCAAGAGACATGCAGGACTTAATTATAGCACACAAAACATTTGATTCAAGTGATGAATTCTAAAGTCTGTTTTTAACGTTCACCATTTCAGTGAATCACATCTTTTATGATGTATTTAGCGTATTACAGATGCTTATTTTCGTAGTTTGTGCCAGAGACCGCGAGTATAGCACATAAGGTGTTTTGAAAAGTGCAGAATAGATGGAGAAGCCATTAGAGGTGAGACTCACCTCAGCCTTGTTTAGGAACGTACTAAACGCAAATTTCTCGTCTTCTGAAGMGGCTTCTCTTGCAGTCAGCAGAGTGACCCCGCAGTCAGTGTCTGCCACAGGCCACCTCGGCAGGAGGAGAGGATTCATCACGTTTGCCAACCCCAGTCTTCATGAGGGACATCAACCACCACGGTACCTGCTGGAGGAACGACACAGCTGGGATGGAGAAACATGCCAGAGGTGCTACCTGGAGTGGGGCAAGCGGSAAATCCTTACGAGCGATAATACCAATTGCTCTAAAGCGCCTGGAAGAGTCCGGGCTAGAGCAGTCCCTTCCCCACCTGAAAACCCTCACGTTTTTTCACATCAGCCTTGACACTTTGACTCCCACTGGGCCAAATCCCCCTGGCTCTGCCTCATTCTCGAGGGTGCCACTGGATGCCGAATGTCCCGGCCGGGATGGGGACACCCCGGCTCCTGCCCGTGCCGCCGGTGCGGTGGGAGGGAGCGCGGGGCTCCGGACGGCACCCTCGGGCTTGTGGGGAGCACCGGGCCGGTGTCTCGGCGGGGTGGCCGCGGCGGGATGGGCTGGCGGGGCCGGAGTGGCCCCGGGGTGTCCCCGGAGCCGCGGGCAGCGGCCCGTGTGGGACTGACCCTCGCCCGGCGCTGAGCGCTCGCCGCTTCCGAGAGCGCCGCGGAACATGTTCCTGGCAGGCGAGGCCAGCGGRGATGCAGTGAGGCGCGGGGCACTTTTCCAACAGCTCCTCCGCCGGGAGAGCCAGTGGCACGGCGCGGCGCCGCAGCCCGCCGCTGTCCCCGGCTCCCTCGAGGAGGAGCAGCCCGGCCGCCATGCAGCGAGGCAGGGTAAGGGGCTGCGGGCAGGGGGGCGCGGAGGGGCGCGGGCGGTGCCGGGCGGGAGCGGTGTCCCCGGTGTCCCCGGTGTCCCCGGTGTCCCCATCCCCGCTGACGGCGCCGTCGTTGCAGGTGCGGGCGGCGCTGGCGGCGCTGCTCTGCGCGGCGCTGCTCCCGCTCCGCCCGGAGGCCGCCAGGGCGCCCAAGCAGCGGCCGGCGCGGACGCGGAGCTGCGGCGAGCGGCCCGAGGAGCTGCTGGAGCAGCTGTACGGGCGGCTGGCGGCGGGAATGCTCAGCGCCTTCCACCACACCCTGCAGCCCGAGCCGCCCGGCCGCCAGCACAACGCCAGCTGCCCCGCCGGGACACGGCCGCCCGCAGACAAGAGGGTCCGGCTCCCCGTCAACCTGCGCAGCGCATCGCCCTGGGCATACAGGTGACTCCGGGCGCCGGGGGAAGGGGGTGCGGCCGCCTCAAGGGGTGCCGGAGGCTCCAGGGAGCCGAGAGGGACTTTGCCGCGCCGTGCCCGGGGCGGCGAGGGGCGAGGGGTGGCCGTGACACCGGGCAGCAGCCCGCGGGAAAAGTGCTAAAGCACACGTCCAAATAAGCTGTTTTTACATAATTACCTTGTATCGCCTGAGTGAGGAATATATCTAATGGGCAAAAAGAGAAATGAATGAGGTGGTTCAAGCCGTGAGATGGAGCTCACACCCACAGCTACACCCAGAAAGTGGGTGTCCGGGAGCACAGACCACCCTCAGAAAGTCACTTGGGCAAATTGTCATATGTGAAGTTCATTCAGAGGACCCTCAGCATAGCACCACCACCAAAGAAACACCTCCTGACTCAGCAGCAGCCATAGAGGGGCTCAAATGCTTTCCCCAAAATGTGACTCCAGACTTTCCACTGTTTATAAAATACATCAGGGTACAGTCTGTGTTCAGGTCACCTACCAACACAGCCATATCTTCACCTACCAAACACTCCCAAGGGCTCGATGTCTCCTTTGCTGTAGGAGCAAAGGCAAGGAATGAATACAGCAATCTTCTACACCTGTGTTCTCAACCTGTGCTTTGCAAACCTCCTTCCCCTGTGGCAGAGCAGGGGGTCACAGACTATTTGTAARGGGGCATAAAAACAACCAACTAAAATCAATTTGTAGTGAGGATAGTTAATATATGGAACTGGATTTGCACTCCTATAGAAAGCTCTGGCAAAGCTTGGAAACCACTGATTTAGTACACAAAACCCAGTATATGATCACATTCTCAGAAGACTATGAATAAGACTGAGTTCTGTTTCCCGCTTTCTGTAAAGGACTGCAGAGAGCAGGAAGCTAAAACATGCACACTTAAAAGGAACTGACTTTCTTACTRCTCTTTATACATCATCCTTGGTATATACTTCGATGCAGTTCCTGTGAATTCAGCAAACAATTATCTCCTTGTTAGTGCTCTCCAATAAATATTTATTTTATGGCATGGTTTTTGCCCGCTTTTAGTGTAAGAAGTAATCCTACTGAGAGAAAGATGGTTTATTTGCTCAGTCAGCCTTTCATAAGCAAAGTATTTTTAGCAATACATTTTCTCTAAGAAGACTAAGGATTTTTAAGCTACCTAAGAATGCACARAGTAAATACCATGAATAAAACACCTACCACGGGGCCCAGGTATTTTACACAGTGGTTTTGCAAAATGCTATGCCATCAGAAAATTGCTCCTCTGGTCTGAAAACAGTGCTTTCCATCCTTACATTTTGTTGGACAGGTATTTATTTTCAGATGGAGTTCTGTATAGGCTTACTTCTTTACAGAGAACCAGCTGCTTTTTGGGGCCTAGCTTACAAAATGTTTAAGAAGCTGTAAATCCACTGTACTTTTCATCAAAAGGTTTTCAAGACAGACCACTAGCCATTCACATACAAGTAACTTGATGACATCTCCAAGCCAGSAATTTTAAAAGATAGAGGAAAACAGTATTACACCATTAAAAGTGAAATCTAAAATTATATTCAGGGGAAAAATGTTTCTCTAGGGTAAAAAGGCCTGAGTACACTGTCTAGTTAACAAATCTCATTTACAGCTTTTTTTTGTGACTGCATTTTTACTGTATCATTAGTGTGCAAAGAGACAGCAACAGGTATCTCAAGATGTGTAAAGTGTAAAATACAAGATTGCTAATGTGCATTAGCTATTACCACCTGCTATCTCATAGATTTTGAAGCCAGATGTGAAAATTTATTTTGTTATGTGGTTTTCAACTGGCGCGGGCGGTGCCCTGAAAGCTCCTTTATCTCATTAGAGGTACTCCATATMTTTGAGAAGAACACACAGCTTTCCATTAAAGACTGTAAATAATGTCCCATTGTGTTTTGTCAGCAGTTAACCAATTTCACCTATGCAATCCCAACAATTTCTTCTCCATGGCTGGAGTGTGAATCTGAAAAGCTGCATAAAGCTCTCTTCCATACTACAGAACTTTCTTGACAAGCCCATTTGCACTTAATTCTGTCCCTTGTAAATTGCTCCCCTTCACAGATCCATTTAGGCTGTCTCCTGAACTGCCTTCTGAATCACCAAAGTTGTTTTAGAGGTGAATGCTCATAAATAAATTCACTGTAGGCAGACCCCTCTTGTATGCCCTAATAGGACACTGCTCAAAGGATGAACTCGACTACTTGAAATTTACATCAAGATGACTGTCCTGTCCCAATGTCTCACAGACATCCTGCGCTCCAACTTCTTTTCTGCACCTAAGGACTTACAGTGCAATYCATTTCTGCTCTGTGCATAAAGCCTCTTTTTTCTTTTTGCCCTGCATTTTAATGTCTGAGATACCTCATGCTGTTTCTCTGTCTTCATTGGTGTTGCAGCAGTTCCCATTGTTACCATCTGCAGATTTCATTAACATACTGTTTATACTCCCTATTCCAGGTCATTAATAATAAAGATATTAAGTCTGGCTCTACTTACCTTCCCCTGGATGTCTCCCCAGGTACCTGCTCCCAGCTGTTTAAAGCTGCTGCTTGTAATTCTTCTGCTCACATGACTGTTCAGTTCAAGTCAACTGAATTTTTTTCATATCAGCATTTATGAGAAAGAATCAAATATATTACTTAGAGAACTGTGTATAATGCTGACCCTACTTCATTGCCTGTATCCGAAGCCTGTCACTCCATTTAAATGTGGAAGAATTAGGTTTGACTGGCTCAAAGCTCAGATAATCCTTGTGTGGCTTCTTTGCTTGTCTTTGTTCTGTGTGCATTATTTATTTTCCATTACTTGGTCTTTTAATTTGGTTATACAAAAATCAAGACTTACATCATTTTTTGCTTGCTAGAACCCAGAGATACAGGAATTGTACGTTGATTGCACCACAGATCCATCTGGTCCCTGACCCTACTGCTAGCAGCAACCAACAGGTATTTCAGGGAGAAGTTARGGAAAAAAATAGGAGTTTGTCTGTCTGATACTGAAATTCCATCCTGATGGCCACAGGAGATCAGTATATAACTCAKGGCACAGCGTTTAATCATGCGAATCACTCTTTGCTCTGCAGAGCTATAAAGAGGCAGCAGAGTTCCCTGAAGTCAACTGAGCATGCTGGATTTGCTCAGCAGTTCAGGAAGCTGGGCTACAAATTACCCAGCTTTTTTTTAAAAATAGAGCCAGCAGCAGAAGTTCTGCCATGAAATCRTCCTTCCATGAAATCATCAGGCCAGCTTGAGACATCTATCCAGGGGTTGCTTGTCCTTTTTAGCAATATTACATGGAATGCATTGATGCAATCAATGAAATGCAGAAAGCCTGCTTGTACAAGGAGGTTCTGGCAAGGGCCACTTGGCTACTGCTATGGTTAGGAGCTGCTTAACAAGAATTAAAGATATAGGTGGACCTTCAGACCCTGCCAACAGCACAGAATGGGTGCTCTTGTCAACATTTGCAGAAGTCACAATCGTGGTGAATCATCACCGGTGCAAGCACAGCTCAGGAGATGCACAGACAAAATGCTCATGGACATTCTAAAAAGGATTAATTTTCAAAGTCTGCCTCAATGTTTGTGGGGTCTAATCATAAAGCTCAGAGCAATGGTTGAAAAATTTGATCCTGCTGAAATCGGCAGCACTTTTACAGGTAGTGGTGATTTGTGATTCCATTCATGACGCTGCAGAGCACACATGACATTCATTAACCAGCTGTATATATCAGCTCTATTTTTATTTTCTAATATCTCAAGGCTATAATAACAATCATAGCTAGTTTGCAAACACACTTCTGCATGAGCTTAGCAAAAATTCTTTATGTGTATTCAAGAAGTCATTTGTGTTTCTATATTTCCAAATCCTTTGGCTTTTGTTTATGCCTCTGGGGCCTAATCCTGCATATACTAAGGGTTAATTTACAGAAATTTAACTTTCATTGTCTGTGTTGCTCTGATGATGTTAGCCAAGTTAGCCAGTCCCTGTTTCAAACATTGCCCCTCTTGGTTTTTCTGTTTTTCAAGGATCAGTTTCAGTTTGTAAGCATCCTTGGTTTAGTGCTTATTTACTTAATAAAAGTAATATAGGCAAGTMATTTTTCACTAGTAAAAGCTAAGCTTGTCTGCAATGTGTTTGAACAAAGCTATACAAGAGGGCTTTCCTTCAAATAATATTCCAGTGATTTTCTAGAAGCTTATCTGAGAAATATTCCAGGATTTGACAGTACCGTGTGGCACAGTGTGCATGTCCCAAAGATGCAGCCAAGGGAAAGAATGCAAGGATAGAGCTGCTATCCTTTTTAGCTGAACACATTTGTACAGCTCTTCAGAAAATCAGCACTGAGCGATTTTTGTGCAAGTACTGATCTACTTACAGTAGTAATACCTATGTTGCTGCCTGTATATAAACTAAAGTAAGCATAACGTGAACAAAAGGACACCTGCTAYAGGGAAATAAATGTCTTGGCAARGGRRAAAAAAAGCTGTTAGCTCTTAATCCTGTAAGTATTTCAGAGTGAGAAGGAAGGGKATGATTATGTGTTTATTAGACTTCTGATAACATCCAGCTGTTAGCCCAGTGCTAACAGTGATTTTCTGAAGAGTCAGCTGCCTGCCACAGCACAGCATCTGACCCCGTGGAATCAGAAGCTTGGAAATTATGAAGTGACAATATTATTAAARATACTACATATAAAAGTAGAGCACAGGAGAAGGCAGAGTAAGTCTCTTCAAGAGTTTTACTTCTGACAGAAAGTTTTCTCTTGAGTTTCCAGGCTTAGTATGTAAATGGCAGGAAGTTTGTTTTTCACTGGGAGCTCTCAAAGCACTCGTAGGGTCATAAGGAAAAGCAGCCGAGTCACACTTCATTAGCAGTTCCAGTTCAGCACAAACCTGCTTCTTGTTCCAGCAGATGGGAATAGAGCAGCCCAGCACAGCTCATTGCTCCTGTCACTTGTGAACCAGGAGTGCTGGCGAGGCAGAGTCAGCCTTACCCAGTGGTGACCTGAGTTCACAGGACAAGAGCAATCCTCATCAGAGTGTCTGGACTGTCACTGCAGGAGTGACCACAGCAAATGACACGAGGCTGCAAGGGACACTCGAGTACCAGTGGGAAGTTGCACTTCTCTGGTTYTCCACCACTCTTCCCAGCCCCGTTYATCTCTTGGGTCTAGGAAASACATAGCAGGAACTTGGAGCATGCATTTTATTTAACCTGGTCAAATAACGTGATCAAACATGTTTACCCTGTGCCAGGAGAAGATGTTAAAACATGTCTTGTAGTGGTTGAAGGAATGGAGAGGAATCAAATCAGCAGCTGAGTGCAGAATTCTCTGCACAGTGTGATTATGCTCAGTTCATGAGAACAGAAGGAAGCAGGTCTAACTGCAATTATGCAGCTAAATGCTGGATGTTACTGGTGTTTGTTAGTAGTTCAGACCCAAACATGTCTGAGCTGCCTAGAAAGACAAAAATGAGGGTTTTTTTTTTATATAGCTTTTCTGAACAGGCTTAAGCTGAAGATGCAGAGCCTTGTATATGGCTCCAAATTTTAGTGACATTTGAGTTAAGGTAATAATTTCAGGAGACATCACTTAGAGKCTTTGGCCTTGAAGTTCTGGTCTGGATGCAAAACCACACCTATGTTTTGAATCCATCATTAAGTTTGGATTCTGATTCCTTCCAGTCCTCACATRATGTATTGACATCAAACTTAGTAACAAAGAGATTTTTTCCCTAGGAAAGTAAAAAAAAAACATGCCACAACCACACCATCTTTCAAAAAACCCACCCCCTTAATACCAGCTTTTTTCCACATGGGAATTTTGAGGAGAAAGTTGGTTGTAGACTGTGATTCCAGTGACAGTGTTCTCCTYTTATGAGTGAAACCTCTTATGTTTGCATGCAGAATCATGTTCATGCTTTCCAGTAACATCATAAACCTGGTGCTAGAGATAATACAATAGAGGAAATACCAATGACTTGACATATGGTGGGTTTAACAATCCACCACWGAAATGACTYACACTTCAGTTTGAAATGGGAGTGTATCACAGTAGAAAGGCCTGTGTTCCCCTTTCTTCCCTTCTGCTGGYTACCAGGCATTTTATTTCACACTGGTGCGAGATTCTGTAACATGAAGGTATTTCCTGGGGAAAGTAAGTGAGTATAAATGGGACAGAGGAGAATTGTAAAAAATATCTGCAACATCACAGATGTCTGGCTAGGAGAAAACTGGTCAGATTTTTTTCTGAGGAAAACAAGCTCTTAAAAAAAATTATACATATATACATACATACATACATATATATATATATATATATATATATGCATATTATGGTTATTATATGTATATTGAAAAGTTTTTTCCTTGATGACAGGGTAATCAAGTTTGTGATTGGCAAAAGCTATGATTCCAGATTTGCTTCAATTTGATAAATTGTTGATCCTTCTGAAAAGGGCAGGTCCCTTCTGACCCTGTCTGCAGCTGMTTGTTAGCTCTGGCCAGTTGGTGTAGAGCTCTGTGTACATGTGGAAAGACAGCTGACACACCAAAACTCAAGTTTTGATGGAGTTACCCCTCAGTGGAATGAATTCCTTGATCAATCCTGTGACCAGAAAAACATCAGTGCCAAGCCAGGGGTGGATGTAAGAGGGAGAGCCAGGGGCCTGTTCTCACAAGGACAGATTTTATTGACTATCAGTGACTGTAGTCATAGCTTGAGGCAGACTTATGCTGCCTCTTCCAATGCTGAAACCTTTTCTCATCTCAGAGATGGTCTGAAGAGATAAAAGGTGAACACTTTGATACCCAAGCAAGCACTGCAAACTCTTGGAAACAATTTAGAAATTGCTATAAATCTATTTAGATTTAAGATCACTTTTAAGGTCTATTAAGAGATCCCACCTGGAGAATTGCATCCAGTTCTGGGACCCCAATGCAGAAGGACATGGATATGCTAGAATGAGTCCAGAGGAGGCCATGAAGATGCTCAAAGGGATGGAGCACCTCTCCTATGAAGACAGGTTGAGTCTTCCAGTATCTAAAGGAGGCCTACAAGAGAGCTGTAGGATTCTTCACAAGGGCATGGAGTGATAGAACAAGGAATAATGGCTTTAAACTGGACAAGAGCAGGGTTTAGATCAGATATTGGAAGAATTAAGAAGTGAGGGTACTGAGACACTGGCACAGATTGCCCAGAGAAGCTGTGGATGCCCCATYGCAGGAAGTTGTAGTTTATCTCAGTGTGGGCATGAAAATGTGCTCTTCTCTGGTTAGAGGGAGSTACAGCAGAGATAAATTAGACAAAGGAGTACAAAATTCTGCTTTCAAGGATAAGGCACCTTTATGACCCCAAGTATACTAGGGAACAAAACCTATTTCAGGAATAATAGTACAATTCAATTCTATTTAAATTACTAAATTCTAAAACATCATATCATGGCTTTAACAATAATAATGTTAACAAGGATTTGTACCAGTTTTTTAAGAACTCCAGGCAGATAAAAAGTTTAGAGACATCCAAGTGTCTTTTTTAATGCTTTGTCTACCAATTCAGTCCAAAATGCAAAACTCATTCTGTTTAAACYGTTGAATCTCATAATAGAGAAAGCCAAACACTTCATAGTTCCATGTGCACTGTAGGACCCAATCAGTTCTGTAAGCTGTTCATGTTCTTTTCATTACACTTTATGAATTACAGGCAGCAACAGCTACACCTATTTTTGTTGGCAAAGACAACAAAAACATGATATAATTATTAYAGTGATATAATAATTATTGTAATAGATAAAATTATAGAATTCCAGATTAATATACCCATTTTTAGAAATACTAATTAATCTTTCTCTGCTCCCCTCTAGAATTTCCTATGATCCCATGAGATACCCTAAGTACATTCCTGAGGCCTACTGTCTGTGCAAAGGCTGCCTGATGGGGATCTTTGGCGAGGAGAGCTTGCAYTTCCGCAGCACCCCGGTGTACATGCCCACGGTCATCCTGCGCCGCACGCCCGCCTGCGCCGGGGGCCGCTACGTCTACACCGAGGATTACATCACCATCCCCGTGGGCTGCACCTGCATACCTGAGCAGGAGAAGGAGGCAGAGAGTGTAAATTCCAGCATAGATAAGCAAGAAGTGAAGTTGCTGGTGAGCCAGAACAAGCCCTCATCAGAATGAAGAATCTATTTGGAGTTCTGTTTCAGTACTGGCCTCACATCATCATCTCACCACCTCAGGAAACTGAACTGCAGCAGCAAACACATTCACTTGCCCTCTTTTTCTGCTTACAGTAATTTCAGATATAAGAYGGAAAGTCCAGTCACCCAGATCATTAGAGATGGCAATTCATTCAACTTCTTTAGTTAATGGAAACTTGTTTAGTTCATTGTTGCAAACTCCATAGTAGCCTTTTTYCCCCCTTAGAGCAGAACATTTTATCTTTGCTTATTCACAATAAATTTTAGAAGATGATGTAACTGTAAGACATGGTAGCTATTACTATAGCAGGCTACTGTTGTAGATATTTTTAATGAATCTCTTATACTCTACTATTAAATACCCTTATATAAAAATCACATACCTGCCATACATGTGCCGAATCTGCAGTTAAAAGGATAACTTCTCAGGCTGGAAGAGCCTTCCTTTATCCTGCATAAACTCCAAGCTTTACCTCTGAGATGTTRCCTAATTTATACACTACAGCAAGTAAACCTTTGCTGACTTGGAGTCATTCACTAAGCAATATTCTATTTGCTTGCTATTTTAAAACTTGCCAAGTTGCTAAGGGTAAAAGGTGCTGAGAAAAACCATTAATATAATGGTAGAATATTGTAAAAATGCACTGGACTTTCTTGATGCACACTAAGTCTAATTACACAGAAAATATCAACTAGAAAAAACACAGTTTTYCTGTATTCGATTTCATCCTCATTGACTGCTTAACTGTTTCTTGTGATAAAAAATTTATTCCATGCAGTCGAAAAGCCAGAACCTTTTTCATTTTAGGAGAGGAGATTCTCCATTAAAAAAATAAGTACTAAGGATACACTTCCCCTCAGGTGCGCTGCAGGCCAGCAAAAAGGCAAGGTCTTAACCTCCAGATGCTACAAGTGGTCACTAAGTTGAATCCCAGCCAATCCAAACTTGTTAAATCCAACTGACTTTTACAATTACTGTTACTCATTTCTCCTGTGCTACATGTAACAGACGATCACCTGCAAATGCTGATGCACTGTGGACACGCAGCCTTCCATCTGTGCAATCTGCTGCTGATGGAACTTGACCCGCAGGCCCTCACCAGAAACCCTGGATATACAAAAACTTAGATTTCCAGAACAAGAGACTGAAGTTGACTCAGCCTAGTGAATGAGAATCAGGAATGACTAGGCGTGCCTTGCAAAAACATAATTCCTCAAAGGGTCACACTCGCCAAAATGGATAAACCTCTGAATTCACAGCAGAAAATCTCTTTTACAGCTGAAAGATCATGACTGCAATATCCTTACAGAATAAACATCACATGCAGCAATGTATCTGCWACATAATGGATCTCAAAACTGGCCTTAATTCATAGCAGAGAAAGCCYCTACACTACACAAAAACACACATCTTTGCAGTGTCTTTGGATGAAAAATGGAAAGATTATGAGCTAATCACAATTAACTGGTTAAAGAGAGAATGGAAGTCATAAGACAACTTCATGTCTTAGTGCAGAGTTATTGACTGTGCTCTYTCTGACTCAGTCTAGCATAACAGTATTTTTAGAGTGGGATCTGTGTAACTTCTTACAAAGCCAAAATAACTTCAAAAACCCCATAAACAAATAAAAGATTCCTATCACGATGTCAGATTGAAGTTTGTAGCTGTGCTCCTTGTACAGATGCTTATCCTCAATTCTCCTTGTCTTTAGATCTGTGTTTCCTCAGATTGTGAGGCTTCTATCTCAAGGGGATCCTCAAAAGTGAGTTCAAAGACAGTCATAAAATGTTTTTACTACTCAGAGAGCAGCTAATTGCCTGGCTGCTGCCAGAAATTATAGGTAGTTACCTGTTCTCTGGAGAATGTAAATACTTACAGCAATTACAACCTCTTTTCCTTCCTCCTAATGTGGAGAAAMTTCTCACCCTCTGAGCAGAGGGAAATGGTTATCAGAGGGGCTCAAAAGGGAGGCAGACACACAAAACTGGAGAGACACCACTCCAGGTGATGTTTTAGTAACCATACAGTTTCAACATTGCATTGTGGAGTTTTTCTCCACACGCACATTTAAGGCAGTGTGAAGGTGAACCATCAGACACCAGAGCATAAAAAGCAAAGTTTTCACCTTAAAAGGCAGTAAAATGACCCCAAACAACAACAGCAAAATATCTAACCATGCAGCCCTTAAAATTTAGTAAGTATCCAGAGRGGCTACCAGCTAAGTCTGGTCAAACACTGCCCTCCAGCAGAACTAACTTGTCTGCCCAAACACTTTTGTTATGGAAATTTGTCTGCARATCAGTTATTAGAGCACATGGATATATTTGCATGATGTGGAGAAAAAATAAATCGCACTTTTTGTTGCAACTCTCTTGTATTGCAGGCATTAATCATGGAGTCATTTTGAAGTTTTCAAGTAACTACAGCATGTTCAGGAAATTCCTGGGAGTTGCAAGCTAAAATCAGGTAAATGGAATATAATGAGTTTCTTCAATCCAGAAAAGCTTAAAGATGCTTTATCTTATATAAAGCTTCAGAAACTGGATAGCTAGAAGTACTAGAGCACTGCAAAACCTCCATGGATCAATAGAGCACATAAGTTGGCAACCTCGTTCTTGTAACACCACAAGTGCAGAAACCTTCCCACGGTTACAGGCATCTTTATGGTATTTGTTCRGAAGCCCRTTTTCCTTTTTTAAYCCTCCTCTTTCCCTGTGACAGACATTTTAGCTGAGCCAGTTTGCTTCCTGATCCAGCTTTCCAGTTAGGTGTCTTTTAAAAGCTGTTTGGTTTAGCACGAACAACAATTTGATATTTGTTCATTAATACTTAACATCAAGAACTATTAACTACACAAACACTTGCTTGCCTTCAAAATATCCTTCCATATATCCTTTCCCTCCACATTACTTGTGGGAAAGGTTGAGTGTTAAATGTAGTTTGCACTTGTTTGGAATTGTTTTGTTTTTTTTTTTTAAGGAGGTCATCACATCATGGATTTATATCAGTTTCATTTCAAATGTGRTGTGACATTTTCCAGCTTCCAGCCCTCTGGTTACAGCTGCCACAGCCTTGCCTTTAATTTGCATGGGGGAGGGAGTGTTCATTGGACTTGCTTCAAGGCTTCACAAACTGTTGACAGAAGGCAGACATGAAATGCCTCACTGAACCAACTCCAGGCSAAATAAATGCAAACAATTCAAAGCTAGAACTATCTGGCAGCTGCAGCTGATTTGAGAAAATTTTTTGTTGTGCCAGGAAAATCTTTTCCTTCAACAAGGTTGTCCCTGGAATACATTACGAGCCACAAAACACAGAACAATATCCTTGGTAAAGAGATTCTTTTCTTCTCTGTAATATCGCTTAAGGTAGGTTGGAAAATTCCTATMATTCAGGAAGGCTGAGAAAAGCCTGAGATGCTAGTTTGAGTTTACTGCCAGTCATCACCTGAAGGTGTCTGTCTGAATAGGTGACGATTAACAGCTACAAGTAAACATGAAATTGCATGGGGGAACACGGACACAAAAGCAGCAGGAGGAAAAGGGAAAAAGGCTGTGATGTGCTCAGAAAGTATAAACACCCAYTAATCTCACTGGGATTAGGGAACAGCCGTGACTGCCTGGAGTAGGGTGATGAAAGGGTTTATGACTGTGCAGTCATAAATGCCACTGGAAAAGTAACATGGTGCTAACACTTCACCATAGTCTGCTCCAACAGAAAGTCCATCCATGGGACATCCCCAGCAAAGTCAATTGCTACTTGACACTGGTATTTTTATTCATAATCCTGTTACAGAAGAGGGATTTTGCTGTCACATAATATTTCTTGAAGTTACCATGCTGTTACAAAACACAAATTCACTATGAACTTTTGTGACTTGTATCCTTCTCAGAAAAAGTTACTTCCTTGGAATCAAGTATGACAAAAATAATTTACTTCACATCACTGATGAAGGCTGTAAATGCCACCAGTCAAGCTCTGCTTAGGCAGCTGCCTGCACTCCCCAGGCTTTTAAGAGGGAAGCTGGTGGACAACAAGCTGCTCTGTTGAGTACATCGGCACAGATTTACATGTACACTCAGTTCTGTAACTGTGCATCTTCAGCATCTTCACAGTGCCCCTTTTCAAAGCCATCTGACCTACATGTGAGAAGCAGCAGYGATTTTCTTGGAAATTAACTTATTGGTACAACTGAACGGTGCACATTTTCAAAGAAATATCTGTGATGAAATTAGCAAAGTTGTCTTTTGATTCTGCTGTGGAGAACCCGATAACACTCATTTACCAAAATGAAGTGAGCAAAGCAGCAAAACAAGTGAAGCTTCGTTTTAAACAGCACATTCTAATTTAGGTAGGTGGCAAGGGCGTAGTATCATCCCTTCTGGCAATCATACTTGTCCCACTTGAAGCCTCTGTGTAGTTAAAAACGAAGTTTCATGAGTTACTTCATTGTATCCATCTGCTTGGTGCACAAGACACTGTGGTAAAAAAAACAGTTTAAAGAACAGAACTGTTTAAAGAACAAAGCTGTGCCAACAGCTGTGCAGTTAACATTCTGGTTTGCTTTATTTTTAAACTGGCCACATAAAAGTGCTAGTGTAGCCTCCTGGAAAACAACTAAACCCAGCTGTATTTCACCTGTGGACAGTCATTTTCAGGGGAATTCTGGCTCAGCAGCAAGGATGGCACCTGCTTTGAAAGGCGAGACTTTATGGGCCCTGGGCTCATAGAGAACTCATCAGGAGAAGCCAATGCCTGTTCTCCCTGTGAGCCCTTCCTCTGCTGCACTTCCCTGGTTTTAACACCTGTGACCAGTCTGACAGTAACCAAGGCATGTGAAAGAGGRAGGAAACTATTACATGGAATCCAGGAACACTACATGCAGGGATGAACCAGCAGGTATAAAATGTGAGGAGGGAAAAGCCCTAGGAAGCAAACAGATCTCTTGGAAAATGGGGAAGAGAGTTACAGTGGCTTGAGCAGGTATTGATGAAACACTGCTGTGTCCAGGTCAGACAGCACCATTCTCTGAGTACTGTGAGGATTATAACCCATCTACATTATTTCTGCTCACCCCACTACATGGGAAAATCTGCATCCAAACAGSAGAAATACACAGAAACATGAGTATTATCTCTACCTTAACAAAAAAACTCATCTCACAAGCAAATTAGATTTATTCCCACGACAAAATAGATTTAGTATTTCATTTTAGGTGATTCCTTTTGTAGATGTAGCATTTCTGTTAGCCTTTACACCATATGACACACAAAGAAAAGTACTTGTGTTTTGTAGAGTGTATTTAGAGATTACAAAACTGTTGAGGGCCTTGAAATTTATGAACCAACTTCTACCCAAAAATACTTCAGCAGTGTAGTCCAAAGATTAGTCAAACCCAGCTTTTAAATTCCCAGTTACCAAAAATCTCAGCTTACCCATAGTTTTTTCCAATGTATCATCTATTTTGACTGAAATATAGTCCAAAACCTGATTATAAAATGTAACATTGTTCTATTTGAAACAGTGGGAATTTATCAGTATGTTATTCCTCAGTGACCTTGTAAGATTCAATGATTTTTAAGATGCTTCTATTCTGTTGCCCTGCTGCTTTCTGTGGAACAGGAGAAAAAGATAAAACCAGGCAACTGGAAAAAAACATAATCATTCTTGTAACTATAAATTTGACATACCTGTAGACCATCTTTAGTTTGATATTGAAATTACTAAAAAGCAGGCACTATATTTAATCAGAGATATTATGATTCAAGATCTAAAGGACATGTATGGGTCATGTTACTACAGAAGTATCCAGTTCTTAGGCAATGATGATTCTGATGCCTGCAAGGCAAACACCTATGTTGTTATAAGCTAAAATCACTTCAAAGAGGTCACTGATGTGTCCTCAAAYGGTAAAAGCTACCATTTTAAATGAAACTAACAGAGAAGTTCCCATTATCCAGCACCTGCACTGCTTGGCCCACATTTACCTAATAAAAAACACAGTAATTGCAAATGCTTACTCATTTAAAACAGGCTATCAAACTGTGTTGATTCCAGCTATCCCAGAAAACAGTACTTAGGGCCGAGTATTTCAGCACTGAGAAACGTGGAGTAACTGATAAAAAACAGTAAGAAGCTCTACTGAAAAGGTTGTAGATTTGTAAATGATCTTAGGAGAATCAGTCCAGTCCAGAAGCATAGTTCACATAACATCGAAATTCATTGGCTAAATTTCGTGAGTGTTTTGGAATAAATTTGCACATCTTCACACCAAGCTGCTTTGCTGCCTSTTCCTCCATGACTGCACCTGCAGCAAAAATAATTGGTATTCATAAGAAAAAACAGTAACAAAACATTGAACTTTTTTAATAGCTCCTCCCAAACGCATGTAATAGACAGCTGGGTTTTTAAGGAAGGCAGCCTTAAAGCAGCTATGCTCTCAGCCTTCCTTAACAACTGAATGTAAAGGGAAATTTAAAATAAATATARAAGAATGGAAGACATTTCAGGGAAATGAACGTCAAAAAAATTTCATAAAAATAAGTAGAGGGTTTCAGTGCCCTTTTCACAGAAAACAAACTTGAAATCAGTCTTCTTGCTACATTCCAAGAAAGTTAAATGGTAGGGAGCCACGGGAAATGCAAACAGATTACATCTACTCTTTAACTTAAATAAACCACAGTGTGATATTTGCARCTACACACTGAGAAATCACTGCCTTGAGCAGTAAACCGAAGGACCAGCTCTCCATTTTAGGGAAAAACCTTCTGAGAACCACCCTTGTTTGTGACTGCCATGTGCACTTAAACCAAGGAATGTATGTGTTATGGCCACATTATTTAAACTTTTCTTTATTTTGCCTGCTTGGTTGCCTTCCTTCCTATTGCACAGAGGGGTTCTGTCCTTTGCTTTTCTGAAAGGTTTCCCAAATGTCTTCAGAAGTCTTGTAATAGCAGTACAAATTAGTTGGACACACATCACTTCTCAAACCAGCAAGAGCATCTTCCTAAAGAAGGGCCCACAAGTACACATATCTAGTTACTGGTTTCAGTGCCTTTATCACTACTTTTTGATTCTGCCTGCTGTATTTCAGTGCCTAAGATAGAAGCAATAAATTGCACCTACGTTTGCTGTTCCTAGATTTCAATCATTGCAGTTATAGAGAGCAATCCTTTTACAAGAAAGAAGATATTTCTGGAATTTTGCAGGATGATCTTATAATTCTTCAAAAATTTAGTAGAACTTATAAATCCATAGGAAAAAAGACTGACTTGAACTATTAAGTTCTAATAAAATTATACTATTGAAACCCACTTGCCTTCTGTTTAAAATAAAGGTTCAAATAAAACACTTAGGATACATACTCCCCCTTAAATTAACGGTAATTCTGCACTATTGAGTAAATATTTGTCTCATGTAAGTTTGTCATTAGAAAGAGAGAAAAAGGTACTTAAGGGGACCTAATCCTTTTATTAGTTATACCTGTGCAAAGCAGAATCTTTCCTTTTGTTAGATATTTGATGGTCTCTGCAGTCTTCTGAAGACATTCTTCAGACAAATAGGGTGGGTCTGCTATTACGATGTCAAAACTGTGTGGCAGGAGATTTTCAGGTAAGTCCAAAGGGTGGTTGTAATCATAGAAGACAAATTCTTCTCCATACACAGAAAACCTTCTGTCATACTCCAGTATACACACAGAAAAATCTTCAATATCCTCTTCTTTCAGTTTCTGGTACACACTTGGTGAACTAATGCATGCTATCCTGAAAAAAAATACACAGTAACTTAAAATAGTAATTTTAAAAGGCAAGCAACAGCAACAGAACTACAGCAGTCCTAAAAGGGGCTTTGGGAAAAACATTTTAAACAGTAGTCCCTAAAATGTAACGTATTCTTCCTTCATTCYAACAACTAATTACTTTAATAAGAGAGTCTTAAAGTATGAAAGTCATTACCTATTCAACCCCATACTACATAAAGAACTTAACTAYACAGAAAGTCTTGCTTCAGAAAAGCAAGGAAGTTTAAAATCAAAGATTACTCTTTACAGAAATAGGAAGAAAACCAAGTTTTTTTCCATCTGTTCTACAGAAACATTGTATAAAAACTAAGCAAAGAATTAAAAGTCATTTATATGCTCTGGAGCACTTCGTATTTCTCAAAAAATAAAAAAGATTTTACAAGRCACAGCCTACAACATACAATGAAAYGATAAACAGGAAGATCAGTATTAACTATTAACTAAATAACAACAAAGCAGTTCTGCAGTATTACAGCTGAACAAAAGTGAAGTACAATGAGTATTGAATTAAAACGCATGATCTGTCTATACAGTAGAAACAAAATATTTACAGAAAAGACATGTTAAATCTACAAGACAATAATTAAAAATGATTAAATTACCTGCCACCTTTTCCAGCTGCCAAAACTGCTTCCTTAGCCAGACACGATGCAGTTTCATCATTGTACCAAAACTGGCTCAATTGCTGAGAAAGATAACGCACAATTACAAACAATACCAAATCTTCTGACTGTGCTATGGAGAGTTAAGTGTGATGAGTCATAACTGAAGAAAACCAGGATCCATAGCAAATTCTCAGTTCATAAACTGTAAATCTGGAAAGGYGACTGTTTTTCTGACAGTCTTTCCACGTCTGTAACCTAGTGACATGCAGCAGGTACCTTACACTGCGTTTCCAAAGCATGAACTGCAGTTTAAGGAAAACCAAGTAATCCAAACCAGTGACATGGTATTTCAAAGCCAATGTGCAGATGCACATTGTTTATGTTCCTTTGAGTTACTTTAGCAGAAGAGGAAGGAAGGAAAGCGCGGAAGGAAGGAAGGAAGGCAGGAAGGAAGGCAGGCAGGCAGGCAGGCAGGCAGGAAGGAAGGAAGGAAGGAAGGAAGGAAGGAAGGAAGGAAGGAAGGAAGGAAGGAAGGAAGGATAAAACTACTGAAACAGAAGAGATCAGAAAAAGAAAGAAAAAAAGAAAGATAACCCAGAGACAAATCAGAAATTAGTCCGTCACAAATAAAAACAAGCAATAAAATAAATAAAGCACAGAAAGAAATTATGTAAAAGGAAAGATCACTTGGTCTTCTTACACTATGTTTGCTCAGACTTAGGGAAGAGTTTTTACTACCTTCACATGCCAGGAGGGACAGATGCTTCTGTTAGCAGCTTTATTCCCTCTCAATGTACTTTCAGTTTGTACCCTATACATAGATAAAGCAACAACTATACTAATAGATTTAATTCTAAAGCAAATCTCCCTACAGTGTTGACATCCACATATAGAAACATCTTGAGTGTTCCCCTTTTTCATTTCATTTCATTTCATTATCCAACCACAAAAGAAACTCAGTAAGGGCTACTCCTCTATCTGTGCTTCATTAACTGAAATTTATAGTTTCTTACCCAGTCTTCTTCTATTGAGCCAATGGAATATTTATTAAACCTCTGGCAAGTCTTCATGCCCTCTTTCTGCTGCTGTTCCAAATAGAACTCCTGGAGGGCAGCCAACGTATGGGATGAGAGCTGGGGAACGTCATCATCAYCATCATCATCCATTTTTCTAAACATCAGCCAGAAAAAAAAAAATTAATTAATTAAAAACAAAAAAAAAATTAAATTAACCCTTTTCAGTGGTGAATGTTTTAAATAAAATCATCATCTCCTGAGGTAGAACAACTTCCACCATGAATGCAACTAACTAGGTAAAACCTCCTTAAAAAACCCACCTTATTCCCTCTACTTAAGCACTCTTAAATCAGTGAGAGGCCAATTAGAAATAAGAAGCCTCCACAGATAATTCAGGAATAACAGCAACACAGTTCCCTTTCTATATAACATGGATTTGGCTTGTATTCTTACTGGGAACTTGTCATTACAGATCTTGGTTTCCTGAATCCTTACACTTCTTTTGCACGACCTTGCAGAAAAAAACTCCTTTAGTGGATCTGGAAAATCCTATAGAAATATTCCCTTCCTTCCTAGAAATAAAAATAGCTATTGGTCACTCCTTTCTTTGTGTTCAAAAGCCAYACAATTTTGATTCCAAATGAAGTAAACCAGCATTCTAGCTCAGCATCACCTGGCTTTAACTACCATTTTGTAAAAAGAGTCCTCTAAATGCCACAAACCTACAAGAAGAAAAAAAAATCAGGCAAGAAGCTCCAAAAAGATATGGTATATACCAATGGAAAAGTGGAGCCATTTTCAGAAAGCTCCTGAAGTSGGTTCTGCCACGCAGCATCCCTGAGCCTTAAGACCCCAGGCAGGGGTCTGCCCAGGGAACGGTGTCACCTCATGGAACCGGGTAGCCAGAAAAGACTCAGCGTGTGAAAAGTACCAGAGAAAACTGAGAAAGTTTCTTCTCTCAAGAAATCCATTTTCTCTGCATCTGGCCTAAGAACCAGCACACGAGCAATGCCCAGAACAGAGCTTGGAGAAAGGAATACACCTGCATTTGTGCAGAAGTCACCAAGAAGCGCCAGCCACCTGAACAGTGCCTGAACATTTTGAGTAATTTGAAGTAGAGCTGCTCCTGGTTTTTCTTCTCCTCATTCCCTGCATTACAAGGAGAGCTCCAGAACTGGGAGTCTGCTCCCCTTCCACCCCTTCTTCTGCTCTAGCAGAGCTTTCAAGATGAAGTTTCCKAAAACAGCTTCTTCCTACTTGCCGAAAAAATGGTACCTTATTCTGCCATTGTAAGATAACTCCCATAGTTACTTTGCCATTCCACTGACATGGTATGCACCTAAGGAAAGCTCTTATCTRGAAAACCTGGCTTTTCAGAGTATCATTTATTGGCTTGCTGGTTTCTCAGGCCAGGCTGGCCAAACAGGGAAYTGTTCAGAGCCCAAAAACTCACCTATGGCATTAGCCTGACACAGCAGAATTCCAGAGTCAAGCTACCTAGTGAAACCAAAATCATTATTTTTTTTTCCTTAGTCTTTTTTTCTGAATTAAACAAAAATGCTTTAAAATATTTACATTTTAAAATTATGTATTATTTCAGGTATTTATTATAGAAATGACTGCATCAAGACAGATAATACAGTTTCCAGTCATAATGCTCTAACAAGACACAACCCTACCAAAAATTATTTTTGTTAGGAAGTGATGGAATTTTATAATAATTTCTTAACCCACAACTTCTTTTTTATTAACTGAATGATACATGTAGTAATCTGGTTTGCTATTATCCCCTAAGCATGGACATATCTATGGTTTGACACTAAGAAACTGAAACAGGTGCAAAGCTCAGTTCTTAAGTAAAAATCTGAWTTTTTAAAAAATTCTGTTCTGAGCCCATACTGGCATTTGCAAGGACTCAATCCATGCCCACAAAATAAGACCCTCACAGATAAAGCTGCTGATGAAGGATCTCCCATTGTTTCAGAAGATAAAACAGCATACAGTCACAGACATCTTTTATCTATTAATAACTTTTAGTTGATTTTTTTATAGCCTTCATTTTGGTTTGTAAATTAGAGTCTTAGGAACCAAGCAGTATTTAACTGTGAGGTTTTGCATGGAGAAGTAACTCAGAACATATGGTAGAAATATTATGTACATCTATTACAWATGCCTCCAAAATTCAAGATATTTCTCTGAATGCATATACTGATTCAGGTCATTAGCATTCAGGACATTCTCATGCTTAAGAACTACATTAAGAAAACTATTAAAGTGAGTTTATGTCAACAAGACTTTTAAATTCCTTCAAGGRAGACAGTTCTACTGTTTGAATACACCCTTATTACCCCTTCCAGAAAGTTCTCTGCTCTCAAGTGCAGAAGCAATCCTGAAAGTTTTGGGAGAGGATGAGAAGTACAGAAWTCCACAGTGCCACTGGCCCATAGGGAATCTACACTCTTAATTCCCAAGGCCCCTGAGGCTCCAGTTGTGCCTGCCTCAGGCCCCATGTCCCTTCACTTGCAGACCGTGCTCTGTTCTTACACAGATGCTTTCTGAAAGCCACACAGGGGGGACTCGAGATTTTAGGAATGACCTGGCATTCAGAACATTCATAACACTGAATGATTCAGTGCTGATTCAGCCAACCTAAATTCAACCTGATTCAACATCAACTAAACCCTTGTATTAATAAGAAAACAAGGTTTAAAACTGGAAATGTGGCAGATCTTCTTTACTATTAATTCTTAGCTTACTTGCGGCATTTGTACCTAACTAAAGAGCAAAACAAGAAAGAAGTCARATCTCCAAGAAGAGCTCAAGAACACTGCAWAAAGTTTAGAAAAATRAGACTCATGGTGAAGTCAAAGTTCACCTAAAGGAAAACACAAGAAAAGGAGGTAAGCTCCCTCAGATACAGTGCTACAGGAACAAGCAGGGCTGTGTTCATAGAGTCAAATGGCAAATTTCAATGCTACTGTTCCCTAAAGGTCCAGATCTACCCATAAAACTGGAAAAATGAGGTGATTAATTACACCACATGACCTGCAGTGCAACAGGTAGGATGAAGAGGGTGGAGGTGCCTGCAGACTCCTTAGTCCCTTCCCCTGTGCACAGCTCAATCYCTCTCTTACTAGCTGATGCACTGTTCAGGCAAATGTCACCATTACAGAGTGAAAGCTCTCCAAAGGAAACAAAAAAGAGAATGCACAGGAGACTGCAAGGTCTTGTCCACACAGGAATATTGTATGTATTGAACAAAAGTTTCTGGCTGTCATGTATGACAACTCTATTTTTATACAGCCAAATTCAGAAAGAGAGGGGGGAAAACCCCCAAAGTTAGAAGAAATTTTTCCACACTATGGAAAAATTAACAGTCTTTGGTCCCCAGTACATTTGTTTCACCTGTAATTATGACCACCAGCAGAACAGGTGATAAGAAAACAGTAGTAAGACTGTTGAAAGGCCACAGTAACAGAAATACAACTGGAAAGCTATGCTGTTCATGGCTGGGTAGGAGGAAGAAGAGGACAGCGTTAGCCCCTTAGATCTTTTACTGAGAATATAAAAAGCACATGTGCATCTTCAGAAAAGATCTTATTCTAGAATGTCTTGGATCAAAAGATAGACAGCATGAAATGGAGTTAAATCAAGTTGTATTTTTTCCAAGCTGCCCAAGTCAGTCTTTGAGACAAGCAGTTCATCATTCACAGTGTCTGTAGCACGCACCAAGAGAAGCTGGCCAACTGTGTGCAACCTTAACAAAAATCACCTGGAAAAGGCTGCAACCACCTGCCTGGAGGTAAAGAAGTCCTGATCTGAGTGACTGGAAAGTTACTAAATGTCTGGACTCCTGCCCCGATACCTCAAAAGCCAGAAGATACTGCACTCTGCTCAAGCTTCAGCTCATYATAYGTACAGGAATTCAAATCCTGTGTCCTCAGACAACAGTCAGAGGGGTGATCAAATTCACCCACACATAGGTGCGGCAGGAGTCTGTCCCTGCCACAGTAAAAGCCTAAACAGAGAAAGAATCTCTCCTACTGGAAGCAATTTTCCAGATCTTTAMATCCTAAAAGGAGTTGATTGTTAATGATTTGACAAGATACTGGGAGTATTGCCAAAAGCACTTTGACAGGAATGACTGACAGAATAAAGTATATGAAATGCATCGATCTAAAGTGATTTAGACAAAAAAGTCCTCCTGATAGCTAGCGTGGTCTAGCCCRAAGAGATGAAGCATTGATAGGCCATATTTATATCTGTCACGTAGAGTTTTCTAATTCACATTGGAACTTCTCAAACACCTGAGAGGTCACTCTCAAGCACAGGTAGGCAGCTTGCTCCCTTGCACTCAAATGGGAAAAAAGTCAGAAACTCAAATATTTGTGGCCCAGGTGCCATGAAACAAAACAGCCTCTGAAGAGGATGGCCAAGCCAGAAGATGTCAGAAAAGCAAAGCTGGCAAAACCGAAACAGTTTTCCTATGTCCTAATGGGTTCTGTGGAGTAGGGAGAGAGGAATGACCAGGATTTGTAGACCAGGAGCAGCTCACCTGTCACAGATTTGAGACAGCTCTGTTTCAGGATTAAGTCTAAATAAATTTTTGTTCATGTCCAYAGCAAATGGTTCACGAAGAAAGCTGTACTAGTTCAGGTCAGGGGTTGATACCACTCATTCTTTTGTCCTGAAGAGTTGATACTGATGGTCATTCCATCCTGAGGGCAGCCAAAAGCAGCTGTCTCAATAGGATTGAGATAAGGCAAATACATGGGATGCCTCCACAATTTCTATGCTCCCAGACTTTAACTATTCAACTAAGGAAGTATTTTCTGMATCTGAATTTTCTGCATCTGATTAATTTCATGAATGCAGCTCTCTAAAGCACTTGTCCAGGGTCCCCTAAATTCCCATAAATGTTTATAATCAACAGTGTTATCTGGTAAGAAGCTTCCTTTGATCAATCACTTTATGAATAAATCCCTCCTCTTGCTGTGACCATGGCTGCCTCACGTAGTACCGTTGTGTCAGAAGAGAAAGCAAGTGCTTGACCCCTACTCTTTTCTCCACATGTAACTTCACAGACTTCTAAATCACCCCGCCTCTTTCCTCCCTCTGCAAATTGGCCATTTCTAGCCTGAAGGGTCTTAATCCTCTCTGATGGATTGACAAAAGTCTTTCTATGCATTCACTGATCCATGCTGAAACTAATATACCCTTTTTTTGAGACTAGAACTCGACAGTGTCTAAGATACAGGTGATCACGCATTTATACTGTCGTTTTTTGATGTTTTCTGTTACACTCTAACTCTTTTCCTAAAAAATTGTAACACTTTACGTGTTTTTCTGGCTGCCACCAAATACTGACATGGTGTTTTTGGAGAATCATGTCTCATAATTCCGAATCTCCTGACTACGAGGGAATTGTGTCTGATAACACGATTAGGGAGAATTTACATAGAAATTTAAAAGCTGTCAAGAGCTCCATGTTACCAACACATACAGAACAAAACGCAATAGCAAGTGTTGTCTCTTCAGTTCAACAAAAATCAGGGAAAATACTAAAACTAGAAAAGGTTCAAGCAGGGTAGTGAGACATCCAAAGACTAGAACAGCCTTTGAGGGGAACGAGTACGAGGAAGAACTGAGAAAGGGTACGACAGAATCTGTAATAATGAGTAGCATAAACGCCATGGGCAGAGATGGAATAGAGTTTTCTAAAGAAAGAATAGGCTAGGTTGTAAGGACCTTAACCAAAACAAAAAACCAAAACAAAAACCAAAAACAAACAAAAAAAATCCAAAACAAACCAAAAAGAAAAAAAACCCAACAACAAAAGGAGCTCGTTCATGACACAAGGTGCTGCTGAGCTACAGAACCCCTCTCGGGGATGAAAGTGCATCACAGTGACACAGAAAGCTCGTAGAAGAAAAGCTCTCAAAGGATTACCAAATACACAGAAACGGTACGGTATTAATAAAGCAAGGTCGGGAGGCCTATTGRCTACTTTAAGGAAAAAACATAATGCGTCCTATCCCCATCGCGTCCTTTTCAGTAAGCGCGGAGGGCGCGCAGGCCGGGCCCGGGACCGCCGGTCCCACCTACACGTGGGTGACGGGACACGGACGGTTCCCGGAAAAGGGCCTTTCTGCTGTCCCCTCCCCGCGTATCGCTTTGAGGGCACCGTGCAGTCACAGAGAACCCCCCGGGAGGGTGGACGGGGTGACCCCGGCCGACCCGCCCGCGGGGCGCAGAGGGGTCGGCCGGCGAAGAGGGGTGAGGGATGAGGGGTGAGGGGTGAGGGATGAGGGGGCTCCGCACCGCCCCGGCCCGGCCGCCCCCGGAGCGGGATCGCCGCCGCCCTCACGGCGGGCACGAGCGGGGGCGCGCGGAGCCTCCCGCGCGCGTCCCCGCCCCGCGCGCGCCCCTCGACCACTCACCGCCCGCCGGATCCTTCCGCGCGCGCAGAGCTCACCCAGGCCCCGCCCCAGCGCCGCGCGCGCCGTGCCGGGAGACGCGCGCCCCCTGCCGGGAGCTGCAGCGGGGGGCGGGGCCTGGCGGCGTCCCGGCCCCGCCCCCTGCGGCCCCGCCCGAGAGCGCCCCGGACAGGCTCCGGAGGACGGGAATTCCGTGCCTGCTGGGAGAGCTGACAGCTACGGGAGCCTGAGCTGGGGTGCGATACAGCCAAAGACTCCCGGCGGGGCAGGCTTGGRGAGCACAGAGACTCCTCGAGGTAGATGTCGAGTGTTCAAAAGCCACCAGCTTGTGCTTTGCACCGCAGCCCAGCGCCCCAAACGGCTTCTCTACATCCGGCTCTTCTTTCCAGGCTTTCCATTTCTGTTAAGCATTAGCAGATTGGAACAAGTTCCCTTTCTTGCAAACAGAAGTCGAGCTTTCAACAGATAACAAGTTTCAAAATACCTTCCTTGTTTAACTTCATAAAATCACAGAAGGGTTTGGGTTGGATGGGACCTTAAAGATCCAGTTTCAACCCTACTTCTGTGGGCAGGGACAACTTCCACTATCCCAGGTAGCTTCAAGCCCGTCCAACCTGGCTTTGAATACTTTCAGGGATGAGGCATCCACAGCTTTTCTGGAGAACCTGTTCCAGTGTCTCACCACTGTCATAGTAAAGAATTCCTTCCTGATATTCAATCTAAAGCTACTTGCTTTCAGTTTGAATCAATTTCTCCTTGTCCTGTCACTATGTGCTCTTGTAAAAAGTTTCTCTCCATCTTTCTTGTAGGCTCCCTTCAGGTACTGGAAGGTCACAATTAGGTAACTCCAAAATATTTTCTTTTCGAGGAAGAACAATCCAAATTTTCTTAACCTTTCCTCATATGAGAGGTGTTCTCTGCCCCTAATAATCCTGTTGTCCCTTCTCGGAACTTGCTCCAAGAGGGCAATGTCCTTGTGCTGAGGACCCCAGATTTAAAAGCATTATTCCAGGTGGGGTCTCAGAAAAGCGGAGTAGAGAGGAAGAATTTCATTCACTGTCTCTTTCCCTTTGGTCATAGAGGAAAATGGGAAGTTCTTTTCTCMTGTGTAGGCACAACATGCTTGTCAAGCACCTCTCATGATCTTACTGCCCCAAGACAAAAAACTCACCTGTTTTTCTCATTCCTTCTTTATAAAGTTTGATGTCTGTAAAAATCTTATTATTGTTTCCATCATTCAATGACTCTCCTATAAACCAGCTCATACAAGGTTGTCCATTACATTATTTAACCCAACACCAGACTGTCCTGACATTCTCCAGAGCGTGTTGTATGAGCAGTGAGCTGAGTAAGAAACTGCTGTTTCACCTATAACCTGCTCAGTCTTCATCTGCCACAACACTGTGGGTGAACAGAAAGCCACAAGCTCAGCACTGGGCATCAACAGAGTAGAACTACTGCCTTGGAAGACAGAAATACTAAATTAACAATAAAATATTTTTGCAGCACAGCTTACGTAAGCAGCAGAGAATCAAATTTTCTTGCCACCATATRATACAGGAACAGGCTGCTTTTTCCTTCAGATCTCCATATTTTTAACCTCTCTCTTTCTCACATGGAGACAAGGCTTTCCATGACAGTAGAGAACTGTGGGCATTTTCATCTGATTTAAAAGATTTCTTTGCAGTCTGGATCTGGCATTCAGTGCATTACCCACTCTGAAAGTTCTTGCCAAAACAAGTCTTTATCCCAGCACAGAAGACTGTCCCATGTGGAGGGCATCCGTGACTATTGATACTATCACCACTGCTGTAACTTAAACCAAGCAACCCCTTCTCCCTGCATTGTGTAAAGTGAGAGGTGTCTCAATACCTGCATAGCATTACTGAGTGCAGCAAGAAATGTGGTTTAGATACTATAGTGAAGTGACACTTCAGTAATTTTCCTATTTCATGCATGCTTGTAAAACATTTTAGACAAAAAACATTCTGTACAAGGCCGATAATGAAAGTATAAAGGAGACCGGGATGACACATACTCAGTCCAGATTTCCCAAAGCAGCAGTCTGCCCCTTGACAAGCAATTCCTCCTCACCAGAAAGGTTAGGCAGATCACGTAAGGACATATGGCTGTGTGGGGGCTTGGGGGTGGGCAGGGTGACATTRCTTAGCTTATGATATCAGATACTACTTGGCAGCAAACAGACAGCCCAAGGCCTTGCTTGAATCCTGTTACAAGACAATTCTAGAAGRAAAGCTCCAAAGGAAGCTCTAGTGACCCTGTAGGAAGGAAAACAGGTTATCTCTTGCTGCGATTTCTTTGAGATGCAAGAACCACAAACACAGGAACAGGTGCACCTGCAAGAAATTCCTTATTAATAACTGGGTTTTATTGTTTCCTAATATTTTTGCAGACAGGTAGTTCTAGTTAAGCTATTACCCCTGTCCTTTCACTGACARACCCATGTCACACATGTGACACCTGTGTCCTTAGACAAACTTGTAACATAGACCACTGCCTCTTCCCTAATGCATTTACTAGATCAGAAACAGTGTTTAAAAACACAGTTCTATCCTAGAAAGCAATAGCAACTTGTTACCAGGATTTTCTGGTTTGGTGTTTGAGTTTTAATTTTTATGCTATTGTATTTTTTCTCTACTAATGAATTTCTATAGTTTTGTTCTCTCACTGTAGCACAAGCCATAGCCATATGAAAAAGYATAACCAGCTTTAATTAAAATGAAAATAGATTATTAAATTCTAATTGTAAAATCTTTCCTGTTGCCATTAAGTCTGAAATACCTCTATTAGCATTTTCCCCAAAAAACCTCAATATGTTTAGGGCTGGCACACCAACTGCACTTTAATTTAGAAGGCAGCCAAGCACAAAATGYTTTACAACCATACAAGGATTTCTCATTAACGTCAACATAATCCTACTTCTGATGATGGAAAATAGCAAAGTGGAAATATTCTACTTGGAGAACAACCTGCAACACCTTATCTTTGTAAGCAAAGCTTGCTGCACTTTCACTACACCAAGCTGTTCCCCTACAGATGGAGAATCAAATGAGTGCTGGAGCCCCATCGGGTACCTGTGCGGGCCAGGTGCACCACAGCTTCCCAAGACCTTGTGGCACAATGGGAGGACAGACTGTCAGTCAGCCTCTCAAAAGCTCGCAGTCACTCCATGAATTCCATGAATTACAGTAGTAAGCTTTCATCTTCAAGCAGTTCATGGAGTCCCAACTCTTTCCCTATGGAGACGCAAATCTTAGAAATGTGACAATGATGATACATGATCCCGGGCACTTCTTTCTATTTTGTCAGGCTTTGTGCATTCCTTGGAAGTAATTCAGRGTCCTCAAAGAGGGCTATAGTTTTCAGATTGAAAAATGCTCTACATAAGTGACCACTAGTCACCTAATACCATCTAGTGGTATTACATTTTAAATGGATTTTACAAGTATTTGAAAAAAACCAAAACCCAACCCTTCAACAGAACTACTACTATCTGTACTTTCATACATTTTCACATCCCCATCGATTTTACCATGCTGACTTACACAGTTCTCTCAAAAAATGTCCCGAGATAAATGGCAACGTACATCTTCCTGGCATTTTCTAACCCCTAAGCCTTCTCATGGTTGTTTTTGCTTTTTCCCCAAAAAGATGTAATCACTCTGCCATCACAAGAAGCAGGAAAGAAAATATATAAAATATATTTAGCAAAACCAGTAAAATTAAAGTGGAACAGAAAATGCAGTCAAGTAGCAAACATGTACAGCAGCAGATTTTACAGTTTTTCCTACACATACCTCTGCACTTATTTCATACACGCTTTTTAAGGAGAAGAAAAYAGAAATCAGATAGTGTTACGAAAGAAAACATTTCTTTTCCTGAACAGTAGATGGGGTTTATTACTGCTCTCTGCTTTTGAAACTCCAATTCAGACTATATATATATACTGCTAAGAAAATACGAGGACATCTTTTTCTCTGTCCCTAAAGCAAAATTACACTGTCCTCCTTTTACAGACTATATTGGTATCTTAAATAGTTACACTTGCAGGATCTAGACATTATCTGGCCATCTTAAGGGATGCAGGTAACAAACATTTTAACCAAGATACAAAACAGGTATCCAATTTTTCCAGCTTTCCTGAGGCTGAGTGAATTGTTTAAACACATGTGCGCTTATCAAAATCCATGTTACAGTACATATTAACAGTAGTTTGTTAAGAAATCATGAAAGTGCATAACAGCCTAAAAGCAGGCAAAAAGTACTTCAGAAGAACAGTCTTTCCTTAAAGTGGCAGAAGAATATAAGCCTTTCCCAGAGTAGTGTTGAGCTTGTGTGAGGACAACAGTGATCTTCCTAAAGATTCCACAGTGTGGTGGTGGGGTTTTGGCTTTGGGGCTTTTTGTTTTTTGTTTTTTTTTTGTGAGTTACAACAATCATTTGAATGAACAAAAGACCATTAGTAGTATTGGTGCAGTCCCAAAACTAAAGCAAATRTCCTGACAGCTTATTAAACCAAGTTACGAGTGAGGCTTTCAAAATAACGCTTGTGTTGGAGTCTAGCGATAATTCATTTAGGGAACACCGAACACAGACACTGGAAGCAGTTTGAATATGCCACAAACCTATAAACTGCAGCATCCAAAACAACAAGTTAACGCAAACCAAACATACATGTCTTTACAGCCATTAACAGTAGGCCAGACACAGAGGGGAAGAAAAAGGGAAATATATCTCACCCAYAGCTTTGCTTTACTCTAACTTGCAAAGGCAACAGCATGTCAGGAAAATCAAATCCGATACCATCTAATAGATGTCAAAGTGAAAACAGCTGTTCCACAAGATTCAAATATAGAAAAGAGAGAACTAGTAATGAATTACGTATCAGTCACAGTGGGTAGCTTCTTTGTTCTCTTTGGATATATAGATTTGTCTGGAATGTTTTCCAAAATAAAAAGAAATTCATTATTTAATTAACAAAACTCACACTGATAGWGTCACATTTCATTTCACAGAATTCCAAAACAGTACTCTCTCTTTCCTCCAACCAAAGTTTT